ATATAATAATTATAATTAATTATTAATATATATTATTATTATTAATATATATAATAATAATTAATAATATTATTAACTAAAATTGTAATTTCGTGTATCACTAGCAGGCAATAAGCGGCCGGCTGCGAGAATGAGTAAAAGCTTATTCAAAGAATACAGAATAAAATGGTTCATAGAAGTTAACATTTTATTCGATGATAACTCCATATACTTTCTATAATAAACAAACATCTAGTTACTGTACATCGTAACAAAGGACGCCTGTATTTGTTGTAGTTGTGTAAACTGAAACAGCGCGATTATGAAACAACAAGATATATTATACCACTGTTATCGCCTTGCGTAGAATGGAAGGGATAAATAAAAAGCGTGACAGGCAAGAAAGATCAGCTATAAAAGAACCCGCACATTAGTGGTCTCAGTTAGTCGTCCATTAGCTTTTATCAAAATATCATATACCATTTTCCTAAGGTGACTCTCGCGTGTTTTCTTATATACTAGCTCTTTAACAATGTAACAGTTTTTGTCAGTTCCTAACCTGAGTTTGGAGTCGCCGCTCAAGAAAATCCTCAAGCTTAAGCCCTAGCACGTAATCGAGTTTCATCTTGGACTCTTCAAGTACACCAACACGGACTAAACGACGAAGGAGGGCGTTACCCTCAAATAGACGCTTGGGATCTTTCTCATCCTTAGTCAGAAGGTCACGAGCGGCCTTGCGGATCTTGGCTAAAGTAAGCTTCACACGCCATACCTCACGCTTGTTACGCAGACCGAAATGACCGATTAGCTTTAACTCCTGATCGAGACGCTCCTTTTCATAGGGGCGACGCGGAGTCGAGTATGTTTTACGACATACCTTACGTACGCGACCGTTCACCATCTTTATTCAAGCCACACAATGTTATTTTCCTTAGGTATTACATAAGCTAATATGTAATGTCTTAAAGTTGGTTAAAAAAGAAACCGTTTTAACCAACAATTCGATAAATACACATCAGTACTTTATATAGTATATATGACTATAACAAGCTAGAGACTGCTGTATGAAATAGACCACTGTACTAATTTGTCCGACCGTATATACCGCATATATATAGAGAAAGGACTCTAAAAGAATGTTTCGCTTATCGACACACTCTTGTTACTGGCTCGGAAACAATATGTACGGCCACATCAAACAAATTCCATTTCAAAATAAAGCTTGTTCCCATAGTGTGAAGCACACTCCAGTTTTCGAACGTGTGCCTATACAATTTCGAAAAAGGCACGTTTGATTAGTTAGGGTTTTCTCACAGGGCTTTCACTAACGGTTTGGTCCATAAAGCACACGTCTGCAGGACGTACACGTAACTTCTATGTTTCGAGTTTTACGTCCGGTATCACCGTTAAGCCATGCATAAACAGCCAACAGGCTATCCATGCCGTTCCTTAAGCGATTTCGAATCAGCATTCAAAAAGAAATGTAAGCCAAACCCTGCTTACGATCCAACTTCTCCATATTTCAGGGAGAGTGTCTTGTTTTTACTTTACTTTTTCGCAAATAGAACCGTCAAAATATAGTAATATAATAGTAAATTTTTGTCTGTACTATAACGACAGCATGGCAAAGGAGGAACGCTAAGCAACCCTGTCGGAAGCTGCAGGTAAATGAAACACGCTACTAGATATGGCTGAGAAATTCACGAAATGCACAATTTTTTTCACACTATCCACTTTGAACGGTCGTATACTTTTGTCACATCCATTTTAGACGAGTTGTGCATACAAAAATTGGTGAAAAGCTACAAAAATCACTACCTTTGGAAGTCTTCCACGTGTGGTTCGCGAGCTTCCAAGAGAAAAGATTGCCAAAAGGAAGCAGACGAAGCTTTCCGACCAAAACAACAACCCACCACTTCCGCTTGGCGGGCAATTTGAATTTGTTCGAGAATCAATCAAAGTAAATTCGAATGTCGCAATTGTCAACATGAATATTATGAGAAATTCATGTGGAGATTACACTTTACACCTGCATTAGTACAGCATTGTAGAGCACAACTAGAAACAACAGCAATAGCAAAACTTATAATGGCGTCTATGGCGCCGTTTTTGAAAACTTGCCTGGCGGGACTCTCTCCTATAGTATGAATTACTTGTGACCGTCAAGTTGAAGAGTAAGGCACGTTTAGCTGGTGTTAGGTGATGATAACAGACAGTGGCGTTTATGGGGTTTCCTTGAACACTGCGAGGTAGAGGATAACTACAGACCACTCCAGTTTATATCTAAATTTTATTTAGTTCATATTTTTCTACTGATCGTATTGCTACCGGAAAATATATTGGCGTTAAAATGCATATGCATCTAAAACACTAATATTAAAAAAGCAGTGGTAGATAGACCAAATCACCAGGATTCGAAGCCAGCCGTTGTTTATAGTTGCCTGTGAGATCTCCATGGATACGTGACCGGCTATCGATGAATAGGTAGGCCACAGTCGGGCGCCAGGGGGTAAATGAGACGGTCTGAGGGATTTTCACGGGAGAAAGACGGACAGACATGCGGAAGTCGGCCAAGGAACGTTGAGTGTCCGGTCAGCTGGGGCTTTAAACCATACCTTAGTGTTCCCCTCGAGAACGAAGCTGTACCCGTGGCTCAGATGGCGGTTGACACTGGCGAGGTAGGGCATTGGCCGTCGGCAGGAAAGGCTGACATTTGAATAACGATAGAATGCTTTGTACCGAAAGCAGACGCGTTAAGGACCTCTGCCATGCGCCATCACTGTAGCTAACTTACTCAATAGCACTACTAAGCCATAGAAAAAGCTCACCGTAGAGAGAAGTACATTTGTGTCAAGAGCACACTCTCAGCATCCGCTTTTTTGTACAGGGCCGTGTCGTCCTTTTATTTGTGTACCGGTTGTGTTAAACACGATTGATGTCACCCCACGTCACTTGGTCCAATTACGTGTCTTGCTATACAGTGTATATCGCTGTATCGAGAGTACGCTACTGGTAGTAGCTGAGGAACATACTAACGACTCAGGACGCCCGCATTTGTTCTTTAATGGTCACGCATGTGTAATGGTTGACTAAGTTAAAATTTCAACGGCAATAGCTAATAAGGTGCGTGTGTACGTGTGTATCGTCTCGGTGTACATTAATGGTAGGCTCTGATAAAGCAGTTCCGTTCCACGCTGTACTCTGGCAATGAATGTACCAAGCCGTGGTCGATGGAGGTGAAGGAGTTATATGACTAGAAATACTGCTTGAGGTTGTTTACCGGTTGTCCCAAGAATAGATTTATTCTGTATGATCAAAGATAATAGACGACCGTGTTGGTTTGTCTTCCGTGGCTTGCTTGAAAAGGAGGGTTACATCATCTTACATGGAAGAAGGTTTTAGGGTGACTACGAATAGTGGTTTATAACTGGCAGTGCGGTAATTGCCAGACATGACCTCCATTGCAGGTGGTGGAGTTGGGAGTTCAACTTGTGTTAGAATCACAATTAGATTCGTTGTTCCCCTTAGTTACCGTTGTTGTTATTGTTACTGCTGCAGCTGTTGCTTATGATGAGTGGAACTAGTCACGAAATGCTCAAGGGTACCCACGCCATCTCAACTTGGATCAAAAGGACGGTCAAACCGCTGAAAGCAATAATAGTCAGGCTATGATAACATCAGACTTCGAAGATATCCTACAGCATTGTGCTCAAGCAAAGTATTGTTTTTGCGCTATTTTTACCAGACGAATGAATTTGATTGCATACCTTCAATTGCTTAGGAAGTCAGTGATTGTGATTAAGCAAACTAATTACTGTCCTTCACCAATGATGACAGAATAAAAGCACTACTTATGATATGTGTTAGTGTGGAGTAATTCGTGGACGCAAGTAGTTTTCAGAGAATCTGCCGAGATGATGGTTCGGTGTAGTTTATGCGTTTAGGAGGATGGAGGCTCAATTCAGCTTGAAGGGCCGCATTAAAAATCGGTAACCATACATAGTACGCCATGAAAATGCCGCCTAACCTATTAAAAAGCCCGGGAAGTCAAACCCAGGATCGAGTGTGTTTAAAGCAAGCTAACGTGACAGTGAATTGATACTATAACACATGTCAGTTCTATATTACCTACGAAGAACTTTGACACCGTGTCAATTGTAAAAGGGTTCTATGCTGCGCTTTTATATTGTACCGTAACAGCCTAACTGATTGATGTTGATTGCAAATTAATGTTTACGTAAAACCTAATTAGTTTCAATCAGAGATCTCAAAAGAAGTTTGTTCCTAAACTTCATTTGCTTAATAAAGATACTATTGTAATAAAGATACGGTCGGGTAGGTGAAGGATTCCTTTACATAGATAAATAAAGGCCTTGAAGAGTTTGTCGGCGAGTTGACGTTTATTATTACTGCCTTCTCGAGAATTAATATAATTACCGATTAAGTACTCGAGACCCGACAGGTTTAACCGAATTTTTAGCTCTTCGCATTTGACTAAACCTCATTCATAAAATGCAAACGTGTGAAATTGTGATTTTGAGAGGAATTTACAATATGCTGTTAAGGGTAGTTCTAGTCGAAACCGTTATCCACTTCCAGCGTTTAGTAAAATTCATTATCAGCTTTTTTAAGAAGGACAACGAATATATATTATATAAGGTATGAAAGATACTATTATTACCGAAGCTTTTTGAAGTTGAATTAAATTAATATTCCCAAAACGGCCACGTGTCCGACGTTTAAAGCACGAAGTCAAAAGCGATCTTGTGCTTTATTTAGGGTGTATGGCATTATTACGAAAATCAACCTAGAACAGCTTTTATTTTATCCTTGGCAGCTGTGAAGCAAAGATTCGTGAGTAATGGAGGAAGACCGAGGTACTTCACAAACCTCCAAAATACAATATATGCGACTCCACATAAAAGACAATGCTAGGGAAATGTTAGGATCACTTTTATCAGTTAATTAATGTGACCAAATTAAGTTAAACTGAGCTAATTACGAGAAGGCCACGTACAAACAATAGAAGGTTTTGATGAGCCTGATTTTCAAGCACATTAACGCTTGTATATAGATATGCAGCGTACTTCGTCGACTTTATTATCCGCCATGCAGCTTCTCGTTGATCTAAACCGTGAAGTAACTATGGTTTGAAACAACGATTTCACGCTGTTGTGACTCCTCGAAATCTTTTCTGCCTTTAGGTATACTGGCGAAGTTGTGCGTCGGTATACTATGTATAGAAAGTTGCCACGAGTCGACGGAAACTTCGTTACGTCGTGTCCTATCAATCTAAGCCGCTCAGCTGAGATTGCGGACATCCTCTTTTTTTCAGTGCGAGTTTTACGGATTTGTATAGCAAAGAGTATTAGCCTCTCGTATTGAGAGAGGGCGTCAGAGATTTGTGCTCACCTATGCTTGACGACGGTGCTCCCGTATCTCCCCACGGTACACCCCCCATCGTACCATGGAGTTGCTTGCCCTTCTAGCGGTGACTTCAGGGAAAAATGGGTGCTCCCGATTTTGCTATGCACCATCATCATGTAGCATAGATGAGGTCGCAATATTCGGCCGTGGCGTCCCACGTAGCGTATCGCGGCTTAACGTATATAAATATATATGTGTGCAGTTAATGCAGCATACTGGTTCACGTAAAGGGAAGGTTATTACATAGCATTGTTAAGGCCATTCGCAGTTGGGTCAGTTAGTAGTTTCGCCCGGGGATGCGACCATCTCTGAACAAGCGTTGAATACCAAGACAAACCACATATATGTATATGATATTAATATTGTTATATATGTACTTTTTTGAGCGGCGTTATGTGTTGTGTGCTTATTCTAAAAATCCACTCAATCACCACATGTTAATTTGCATATTTGATGTCATGAAGCGAATAACGTATTCTTAGATAAAAGTGCCGAATGCTTCGGAAGTTACTTGTCTAGGGCAGGGTATCATCCATAATATATTTAGTACAGTGCGTGGTAATCAGATTGAACTCAAAATACCCGAGGTGCCCATCACAGCACATCTGTGTCGTCTGCTACGAGGATTTCCGCTTGGTTATGTGAGACGGATACATGAAAGTCGTTTTCGTAAACTAGCTAAAATATAAGGCAGTTTACATCTCTATTAGAGATCGATATTTACGGTAACATCGAGTATGTGTCGAACGTATTTAGCTTATTGATGAGTTCAGATCTTATAGGTTCCTCTCACAGTCAACCGCAGAACGTTATTCGGGATATATGCTTTAGATAACAGCTACTCTACCCACCAGAAACGATTGATTGAAGATATACTGTTAGTGGCGACGATTTTGACAGAGTTTCTTTCTTCAAATGGTTTATGGTCAAGTCCGATACTACACATCGAATTTGCATATTTTATAATTGCGCGTTGATGCTAATTAACTGACCTACGTAAGTCGACTTACAGCGATATTTATTCATTTTCGTGTCACGTTGGGGGCATTATTCAACTATGGAGGCAGTCTGGGAAACATTATTAAGTTTAACAATAACGAATTACATTTCTCGAAAATATTATATTTCCAACGTAGTAGCAACAGCTCTGGGTATTCTTAATCGAACGGCTAAGGGATGAGAAATTCAGCATAGGAAAAAACTCATTGCAAAATCGAACGCTTCTAAATACATCCGTTAAGCCATGTAAAGCGATATTAGTTGATAATCTCGCCTTGAATCTTGATTTAAAGGGTCTTGCGAACCCTTAATTATCAAGACTAATTAAAGCAGAAATAGAAGAAATAAACAAATTGTTCGGTTGCAGAAAAAAGCTTTGCAAGTATCACTGTACTAAAGGACCGTTAAAACAGAGACGAAAAAGGTAATTTAAAGCTTCGATGCAAATGATTCCTTGTCAAAACGAATTTCCTACATCGTTTTGACATGCCCGTCCCTCGTCCGACCCTCTAAACGTTGCTGCCCTCTTGAATGAATCTAGAGACCGTCAAAATTTCCGTTGTCATAATTTTATGACGATTATCGACTGCACTCGCTGCAGGTTTTATTGCAAAAGTGGTACTTCCCCGGAAACGTGTTTAGTTGCTTGTGATTCGTAAAGGCTTCGGATTTAACGCTGGGAGCTCTACGACTAACTTCGACGAATCGAGGGAAGACCAGTTATAATAGATAACACTTGTGTATAGATAAAGGCAATAGGCCAGACTCTGGAAAAGTATGTTTAATACGTACTCCGTAGACGGCAATGAGTCAGAACCAGAAATGTGGAACCAATCCCTGAATTCCTCCTTCGCTGCTTGAATAGACGGGCTATCCCGATGTATTATGTTTTTACGAATTGTGGCCCGTATACGAAGCTTGTCGTTGCTGTTGTCGCTTTCCGTTAAAAGGGTTGCTTCCCTAGAGAATCCCTATCACAAGGCAGTAGTGACGTATTGGTTACTAAGCTTATGAACACGTAATTGTAACGTAATATGGGTCGAAGACCGTTGCATAGACATACTTTGTTTCGTGCTGGAAGGAGTCGACAGTTGCAAGCAATGCTTGATCACACCGGATCTAAGACACAATACTATTTAGTTAATACCAAGGAGCAGGGATTACGGGTAAGATCACAAACGCGAACAAATGCTATAACCGGGCGGACATTTACTGTGAACGGACAGGTTGCTGCTGTTATAGGCGTACGCGCTGCCTTTCCTTACGAATTCTGGGATTTGTTGTTGAAATTCTGGATCCGAATTTGACGTGCTAGTATGTAAGAACGAACGAACAAATAACGTATTGAAGGGCAAGCTTTTTGTGCGGATAAACCATTGTATAAGTGTTTCTATCATTATATTAGTCAAAAACAAGTCATTTAAAATGTGCTTGCGGTGATATAAAGTGTTGTGGCATTGTGTAACGTATAAATGGCTGTGATTAAAAGGATGATGGGCAGGGTTGTTCATTCGTAGAGAATTCTATTTGATTGTAATCTACAGCTATGTTCGCTACCCTCGGATATTCCATTGGTAAACCTCGCATCAGCCGGGATGCGAGCCCAATCCTGGTGAGTATGCACCCGCATGAATAACTAGTGATCTGGCACAGATCTCGTATTGAGATTCAAGGAAAGACGAGTCAAAATCGTACTACATAACTCCTATTAAAAAACGAAACTCCTCTTTTTGGGTAAGAGGATATACAGTGCAATATGAATGACGTTCACGTGGTGACTATCTATTTACTTGCCTTGAGCGTAAAATTGGCCATTTTCTCTTCGCCCATCCCCTATTTATTTTGGGAACGTTGTTAGGATCGATGATAGTTGAGGATATTGCGCTTAATGTGTGCGTATGCTAGAACAAAAATACCAGAAGAGATTGGAAGATTGCTGTTTAACCGATTTTATTTTTGCTAATAGTCATTATCTTATGGAGATAAACTGGGGTTAAATCTGTGCACTTTGTCGGAATACGCACAAACTACAGAACAGCAATAAAGTAATATAAAAGTGTGATTCAAAGCATTTTTTAAAAAAAATGTCTTCATTTACGTCGTATTACACAAGCAAATCAGATGACACACAAATGCATAGCAGTTACATGGACTAGAAAAGTTCTTTCTTATAGGTTCATTGCGCTCATAGATAAAAGATGGATATCTACAAAACGTGATCGTTTTTCGCTTAGCCGTTCCATAAAACTAGCGTGTATGCCAATACAAGAAACCTGATGTCTGTGGTTAACAAAATTAAACTATACAGGGCAATTTAGTCTACACTGTTCTATTATATCATGAAAAAATTTTCGGTGGAACTTTTTTCAGGAGTCGATTGAGCATTGGGCTAGTGGGCCTTCCGCACAGTCACTCTCACTTGTTTCCGGCCTGTCCAAGTCGGACTTGCAGCACTTCTTGGGTACATCTCTTAACGGAAATCTGTCTTTGTCACAAGGACAACTTATTCCGCAGGCCCACAGCAGGAACACTGCCCATAGTGAACCTCGCCGTCATCAGGAAGACTGCAATCAAAAGTAAATACTCGTTGGTCAGGTTTAAGAAATGTTTTTTTTTCCACTTGCCATATATTTACTATTTTTCAGGCAATAGACGTTAAGATAAAACAAGGATCAGCTTTACTGGCATTGTATGCACTAGTGGGCGTTTTGCCTACCTCACTTCAGTAACACAAGGCCTAGTAGTTACGTAACAAAAGAGCCTGTCGTTGTAGTATAAACGATGCCGTATACGTTCCGCTTTACCTGTTTTCAGTGATCAACCACAAGACCTCTCAATAAACCGGACTCAGTCACAACCAGAACTGAGGCTTCGACCCGAAGAGGCCCAAGGCTCCGGTCACGCACCGTCTGTAATAAGCCGACCTCTGTCCAAGATGGAACAAAAACAAATGCAGTGGGAGCGGGAGAGATTAGAGTTACAGGTACAGGGCTAACTACTTATTGTAGTGTAGCGTTATTTTTCCAAATTAGGCGAAAATTCTCAGCTTTGAAGGGCTTCAGATCGAGGTCAATTTTACAGTCTTACGTCATGGTAGCTGCAAGGCTTTGTAATCAAGGCTTTATTCTGGGTTTCTATTAATGGTCAACTGAGCTGCTTATGTAGATTTTATTCTCGTACGCTATATAAATATACGTGAAAGTTGGGTTATCGATGCAGAGCGTAACTGCTTCGTGCAGTCCGCGTTAGGAATGTCGCGCTCGGTAAAAGTCTGAAGGTCGTCTATAACCGAAGACATCGAAAATGTGAAAATCAAATGAAAAATTTTTTTAGTGCATCTTCGTGCAGTCTTTGCCTAGAAACTGCGATACCCTCTAAAAATTAAATAAATATAATAATATATTGTACTACGCATGCCTATATTTAAATGGGTTAGCTTAAGTTTCATGACCTCGTACGTTGATGATCCAACGTTCTATACTGAAGTACGACGATATATCGTCTAGGGTCTCTATGAGAGTCTCTGCGATTTTTGTTATTTCTAGGCAATGCAATCCTGGGGACCACCGTCGATGGTCGACAGTGCTCGTAATGCTGGTCGTCGGCTTCAACCAGTTGCAGCGGTTAGCCCCCAGAGGGCGTCTTTCAGCTCTCCCTATGACAACAGCAGCTACAATCGAAAAGCTACGAACATTCTCAATATGGAATATGCCAATCACGTACAGCTCACGGGTAAGCCCATGTATAGTGAGCATGCCTATAAGAGGCACTAGGAAATTAGTTGTAAGTCATGGCCACTGATCAGTTGCTGGGAAGGGACTCGTATATGATGGAAGCACCCAGTCGTTGCCCACGACTGGCGATCGGCGATTTGTACTGTGCCTTCCTATTTTCTAGCTAATGATATTATCTGTGTTAAAAAAAAATTGACCGTGGATACCCGGAACCGAATACGCAACCTTTACAACGGTGGCCTTCAATACTAGTTTTGTCACTACATCGGCCACCATCGTGACAGTTTGCATGACAGACTGGCGGAGTCCAAGGATCTCCCGGAGAGAGATTCCGGAGCCGAAATTTCTGAGGTACTTTAGACACACGAGGGTCGGCCGAAAAAAAAAAAATACTATCTGTGAGCTATATTTTGTGCTTTATTCTCTAATATTCCTTTGTCGAATAGACAAACAGATGGAACGGACTGACATTCGCATTGGCCAACTTTTAGGGTCTAATGGTCACAGGCGTTCCATAGCGCGGCGGCCTATGTACATTGTAATTAGACGTAAATCGTCCGTGGAAAAGATGGCATGTTTGAATTCATTCGTGCCGAAATACTGTTTGAGTCTTTATAAAAAAATATCGATACATGATAAAATGTAATAAAGTTGCCGATCTTATTGAAGACTGATGTCATCGGGAACATATGCACTGTACGTTCATTATATGCGTATAGATTATGCTTTCCTGATGACTGTAGTTCTTGAATTAAATTTTTTTTGACTTTGCACAGACCTTCAATTATATTCCCGCAGCATGTATAATAGTAAAAAGTTTCTTTTGTTCATTGGACTCTTTCTATTAAAAAATGTCACTATGTATGTTTATTTAATCACACCTATTCTATATAGTACAGGTCGTTAAGCGGGCTTGAACTAACGCATTGTCAAGCAGAAATTTTGCCAGTTAGGTTAGGTTTACTGTAATACGAATGAACAAAACGAATTCACTAGTATCGAAAATTTTCATGGAAAATTAAAAGAAGACACAAAAAGACTTTGGGCGGAACTCGAAAGATCAGTCTCTCGCTACCGAGGCCAATGTCTCGCCAACTGTGCGACGAGGGAAACAGTATTATTTAATTCCGCCCTTGGTTTCGCCTAAAGCACTCAGTGGAATACCTGTTCTTCAAGAATCGATTAGTGAATAGAGCTTTTGGCTCAAAGTGCACCACTTACAGACTCTACGTGCACTTTTTGTTCTTGATCGTAGTGGCCCTGTTTTTTTTTTTTTTTTCGATTAACTAAAAACTAAAAAGAGATCCCGCTACAACAATAAGTGCTATTTCAACATCGAGAAATCATTGCTTGGAACGCCTATTAATTTTAATTGGTATTGAAACACAAATTGTTATTGTACATCACCGAATACATGGGCCGTCGCTTGAGGCAGACAAGCACATCTTTGGACTTTGTTAGCCTAGACAAATTGATGCAGATTTATACTTGCAAATTTACCAATAAAATAAACTATTCGATTTACTACACTTATACCTACTTGCGCACATCTAACTGACGTCGGCCCAATCGACGTGAGCACAGCATTTAAGAATCCAAGCTCAGTATAACAAATCTGTATGAAGTTTAGAAATTTACGCCGCAAAATGGTTTGCCGATGTTGGTGTCTATGGAGTCTTTGAGTGGGCCTGGATTCATGAATTTATGTCCAAAACCACCCTTCTGTACATTAAACAAAAAAATATCTACATTGCTAGCCATTAACGCGAACGCTATTTACACTATCTTTTGCTCAGTACATTGTAATTGCATACAAACGGTGGGGTCTCGAAGAATTAGTAAATAGATTTCTGTTTCTCTGTTTTTTTCATTGCATACATTTCTAACTGAATTCAGTAGCTACAAAGTCATGTCTAATTTTCGTGTTTCCTTTTTACAGATCGTCAAAACTCAGAAGCAGGGGGTAATCGCTTTTCCGTTGCTAACGAAGCCAAAAAACGACTCGGTTCTTTTGCAAGCGACGTCGCCGACCCAGAAGTGTAGGCCATCATTTAATTTTTGATATATTTGCTATTGTTATTAAATCATATGTGTGCAGCGTAGTGTGAGTATTAATTATTGTACATACCATCTAATACTCACATTACGCTAGATAAACTAAAATATAACCTAGTTATACAGCGTTATACAGCTCATGAATACATGAAGGCCATCTTATATACATGAAGGCCATGTAATGCTTAGGATGATCGCAGCTATGAAAACTGGCCTGAAATGACTATATAGCAAACTGACACATAAAGAAAAAAACTATCTGGCAAAAAATCTAGCTGTTGACCTTTGATATCTTGATTTTTAACAAGAATAATAGTAATAATAATAATCAGAATCTAATTAGTCACTACCATTTCGAACGTTGTGCGTAGAAAATTAATAAAGATTACTTGTTTACTAAATCATTGATATCGAACAATTGGAAAAAATCTCTCGTTTCAATTTGAATGGACAAATCTTTTTGTTTTTATTCATGTGTGTTTATATAGTCTTCGAATTGAACGCGTTCAAAAGGCTGCAGAGTATCGAAAAGCCATCGAGCAGCAGGTCGAGGAAAAAAGGCGAAGAAAAATTGCCGAGGAACTTCGCTCTAAACGCGAGGACGAGGTAAGCGTTGTGTTGTCTGAACTGAAGTTCGTCTATCTTATCTAGTCTGTAAAGTTTCTTGTTTTAGGAATAAATATGATAATATAAATTTCGATTTAAAAATTGTGGCTTAATTAAAAGAACGACCGGCGTTAGGATAGGTTGATTCAGCGATTTGCAGTGTGTATTTTCGGTTAAACATATGTTTAGTTCATTATTAAGTTTCTGCATGATTACTAGTTATCGCAAACCACAGATAGGTAGGTGCTTTGCCTACTTTCCCCAACAAAGTTCTTTTTGAATTGAATATAATCTGATTGACTAAAACGAGCTTTCTTTTCAGGCTGCCGAAAGAAAACTTCAAGAAGAACGCGAGCGGCTGCGAAAACAGTACGAAGAGGAGCAAAGGAAAATTCGGCTAAAGGAGGTCAGAACGTATAGTAGACATAACACAGGAACAACTATGAAAACGAGAGAACGATATTATTAGAATTTTACCCCAACGCACCCTCGAATATGAATACATACTCGAGATTCATGTATTGCCCATGCACTAGAGTCAGCATGTTTTGATTTTATTTGGAATAGTTAATTGCCCGATGTTGTTAACCACAACTCTGACTCCAGGAAGCAGAAGAACGAACCCGACAGATTCTTCTGGAAAAGGTGAAAGAAGCTGAAGCAGCCGCCGAACAGGCGAGGCGAATGCGTCTCAGACGAAATCATGATACCGGGGTAGTAGGGCAAAACCTTGACGAAGTTGAATCCAGTCATCATGGACGGGTGGAGCCACAGGACGAGTTAATCGCTGCCAGCGTCCAAAACATTGTGAGTCGTTTTTGGCACCCTTCTATAAATTCTCGCGGTCGCCAAGGCTAATTACGTGCTATTAACCAGACTGCTAGCAAAAGCGTAATTAGTGGCATGCAGATTTTAGTAAGCGCGAAAAATGTTTTATTGTTTATATATATAGATACATATATACAAGATAGAGCAAGAGTTTTCTTTTCTAACTTTAAAACTTACTACTTAAATACTTTCCTTTTTAATCTTTTTTTTTTCATTATACTTTCTTATCGTATTTTAACAGATGTAAACTAAAAACATTTCAAGAAACTGTCAAAGACTTCTGTTTCGCTCTGTTAAACCTATATTATATATACATATATATGTATACATATATATATATATATATATATATATATATATATATATATATATATATATATATACGTAAAGGTACTTGGTAATAATACACGAAGAATTTCAGTTTGTTTCCTTTATGGATACTTCTTGATTCCATAAATTAGCTCGTTTAGTCCTGTTTATTAAACTAAGTTCTATGTTTCTTCATGATTTCCGTACTTTAGCTAAAATTACCTTCAGCTCCTTCTATGGCGCAGGCCAATAGCAATTCGTCTCCGTCACAAACCGCGCCGGAACCGGTCCTTCGTCAACAGTCGGATTTCTTGGCAGCATCATCCAACCTGCCAAGCGCAACAAAACCTAATGGAATCAATGCTATGGCTAGATCAACGGGAGATGGTCACGCTATGGAGTTCCCCACCCAGCAGCCACAACTTTTACAGGCACTTATGCCTCTAAACAACTCTGAAACAGAAAAAGGTTTCCCTCTCGTTCAGTCGATGCCTGGCTATGTGCCTCAGCATTCATCGATGGCTCCTGTCACTACTCAAGCCCCTCTCGTTATCCAGGCGGCGCCGTTTTCCTCTGGTAAGTTTTGGGAATATAGATGAATAACTCCGTTTAGGTGCTCTTCCCTTAGTTAAACATTGTTTCAGACGGTTGGATGCTATCACAATCGTGAACCGAATTGTGTTTACGCTCGGTTTCGAACCCAGTCTACCTCGCATGTTTTTATCTTTACCTGGTATATATGGTATACATTGCACCATCACGGGAAAAGCTTTGGTGACCTAGAAGATCGTGGCTATTCAGTATCGTTAAAATGAATCTTCCTGCTTTTGGCTTCTTGTCAATCTTTGATTTTTTCACATATTGTAGTATATTAGATTTAATGGCAAGATATGATGTCAGGAAGTGTGCTTCATGCGGAGACAATGATATTAAGAGGATTCTAACAGATGGTTGCTTTGGATATCGGCCCTTTTGCCTATTGGGTTAAATACATTGCAGTATATACATTCACCTACCAAATTTAAAATAATTTCGCATAAATTGAATAATCAAAATACTTTGGGAATAGGTTGATTGATACGACCTAGCCAAATACTCCGCTGGGTTGTGCATGACGCTTAGGTGTTCAAGACAGAACGGTTATTACTTAAACGCAGATTCGCGTCTAGTCGAATATTTATGACCAAGGTTGTAATTTCTAACAAAAAAAAAAATGCAAATCAAACTTGCTTCAATAGCGCCTACTCCAATGCGAGCTACGTATTCGACGAGCTTTGTCGATCAGGCTGGTGAGATCTACAATGGGACCCTACTTCATCACCAAATGCCCCTTGTGCATAAATGCCAAACATACATCGAATCTGTAAGTGGCCCTCTTACACCCCCAACCCTCCTCGCGTATCTGAAAAGCACAGCTGTGCAAACTCGAACCCGCTTACCGGTAATATCAATAAAAACACTAGACCAATAAGGCTACTAGTACGACACAAAGTGGCACCCACCTTCTGTTTTGTTATCTAGAAATTCACGCTCTCTTTGTCTACAGAAAATTCGCGACGTACCAGTCATGTGATGCAAGAAATCGTGCTAAATTAGATATTGTGCTTTTTAAGAGAAAATGCACTGTACTGTCTTAAATTAACAAAAAGTTCAAGTGGTGTAGTAAGTAAACGTGAGTCTACATATGGGAAGTTAAAATTAGCCTTTTTTAAAAGTACTCTTGTTGTTTTGTGCGCATTCGTCTACTTTTTTTTATCAGCTCTTAACAACACGAATCAAAATGGCGACTACATGGGTACTGCCTTGTGGAAGTTCCAAAAAAAACAATTAATTATGATGATAATAATTAATTTTGATAATAAATATTAAGTTATTTATTCAAATAACAATGATGCAAAGTTGTGCGAAATCGACCGAAAACGCTCCGCCATCTATGCCAGCATCAAACATTTCTATTTTCTGAAGCTACAACAATTTCCTTTGATGCTAAATAAGTGTTATAAGGTTCGTCATATTCACTAGAAGTTATAAACCAATTGAAAGCTATACCAGGCTTATTTTCGAGTAATATTTTTTTACAAGGAATGGATAACCTATTTCGAAGAATCCTTCACGAGGAAAGCGAATCCCTCTATTCCATTCGGTCTTAATATTGTTCAACTTATGGTCATCCGTTGCATTATTTTCAGTTAGATCTTGGAACCCAAAAAGTATAGTAGTCTTAACACTGTTACTAGTTATTATGAGTTCCGCAAAAAAAGCAGATCTACAAATGTTAAAAAGAACAACATAATTTTTACCTACGTATGTTATCGTCCTAATTTCCGCATCCAACATGCTATATGCATACGCATCCTTATGATGGTAAATGATTAATAATTTGTTATCAATGTAGTAACAACAGGTGTACGGTGGATGTATTTTTATGGTTTTATTATCCTGTTTTCGTCACATTTTTAGAAAATCACGTTTTCTTATTTCGTCCCATATTAACAGCCCACTATATAAATTAAATCATTTACCGATTGCTTGCCTCAGATCTCAGCATTAACTGATTTAGTATTAAAAAACAACTAATTGAACTGTCTACACAGGTGTGCACGTACCTATGCATGTACACGTATGTACAGTTATACGTATGTACATACAGCCACACATCCCGCATCGCCGCTGCCTCACCGCTCTGCAATGTCCGTCGATTTGTTGCTGCAAAAGTTGTTACCGGCATTTTCTGTCAGTTTCAAAAACCGCTCTGCACACTTTTCCATCGTTCAGTTAGCTTTAGTCCATTGAAAGTTATCGCTCACACGGATGTGGACCGGCAACAAAGTAATCACTACCCTACCTGCTTGAGTGATGACCGAATGTTACGATGATGCATAAATTGAATGACAGATGGCTTCTCCACCTCGCACGAGCTATTCAAGCTGCTCGTGCAGCTGCCAACTGCCTCGCCTGGCACCGTACCTTAAATCATTCTCCACGCAGACGCCACCTGGCTACGTTGAGGATCGCGTCCTCACTCCGACGAAGTTTCGGCTGCGTCAGCGAAGTCAAAGTCTCAAGAGCTTGCGAAATTCCGCCGTTCAAACGGAGTGGACAATTTCTCGGGTGAGTAAAAGGTATAGAAGGTTTGGGTAGCAGTTTTCATTGATAGTTCGTCCGTCAGATCGACGATAGGACGTAAAAAGCATTTTTATTTATATAAACAGAATTTTTTAGCAGCATAATTTTTACCGAATCAGTTGGACACATATTCGATAGATAATTAGTTAAATTAGATTAGATAAACAGTTAAAAAGTACTAAATTGTGTTTATTCAGTTAATATTATAGTCGTCGTTCCTGCGATGGTATCGCAACCTAATTAAGCAAAATCTAAAACATTAAATACGTTTTAAAAGTTAACTCTGAAACAACGCATTTGCGACACAGCATTTGTGAAGTCCGGATCATACACATCTTTAGCAAACACAAAAAAATCTATAAACAAAGAATCAATCAAGTCCATTACTACAAAGAGCTGTGCGTTTATCTTACTATTAGCCGTATAATGTCGGTCTCAAGCCTGTGCATACTAGATTAAATTAATATCATAATGTAATAGTAATCTATCAATAATATTTAATTTTAGAACATGTCTCCGCCAAGTTCGGCACCGAGTTCCCCAATAACCGGCCGACCTTCCAGACGTAGAAAAGGTCATACATCAACAGGGGGTCTGGATCGCGGCGACAAGAGCGGCACGCAAAGTAGGCCTCCGTGGAATGTCCACACTCCGCAACATGCCTATATTAAAAACACTGACCGGGATCCAAATATGCACACCAGAAAGAAATTGCAGGTACAGTTTTTAATAAAGTTTCTTCTAATCTTGCCTAATTACCCAACCGTTTATGCACACTCTTTGAGGGGTAAACAACTACACATTAATTAAAATTCATGGTATTAATTGCCTTAACAATAGGGCGTTCATAAAGGTCCACACAGAGTTGCCTACTGAAATTAATCACCGCTAGACACATTCGTGCTGTGTTGCAAATTATATATCAATTTGACGGGTAGGAGTTACGCAAGCAGCACTGGGAACGCGAAATGAACCAACAGAGCGCGTGGCAACAGTCGACGCGGAGGAAGATCACTGCTCAGGAGAAGGGCAATAATACCGCAGCGTTGACGTCACGACGTCTCACGCCAACTAAAAAAAGGTTGGTGTAGCCCGTTTTTAATGACTCTCTTTAAATGTGCATTTGTTTAAAAATATACTTTTTCTTCGTTGTAAAATAGAGGGATATATGAAGGGCATCTTCCTTATTTAAGCTCAATTGTAGTTGAATTGTATGAGGGAAAACAGAAAGAGCGGATACATAGACGCTTCTGTCTTACGTAAATCAATCGATAAAAAGATCGAACGATTGTGAAGGGAAAAAGGACAACTATACTTCAACACTGATATATATTGGTGTGTATGTACGCTACGGGTATAGTCTCTTGCGTTGAGCTTTAAGAACTTTTATTCGGGGCGTTTCTTTTTGTTTAATGCTCTCATATTTTGCAATCTGTCGCGGCCTATTTCTAGGGAGCGAGCTTCATCACTGCACGGCACTGATCGTTACTCATCGGACTCAGATTTTTCTATAATAGCCAATAATGAGACGGCCACAGGTTCAGACTTCCCTGATCAGCTCGGTTACAATACTGATCGCGCTATCGGAAAAGGTTATGAACGTCAAATCGTTTCGAATATCGATCGATTGCTTAGACCAAGCTCCTCATTTCTTTACCAAGCATTTTAACGTGCTTGCGTTTTATTTATCGCAGTCAATGTATGTTCATATAGACGAGCTTGGTTAGAAAAAACCGAGGGTAAGAACTAACTCGTTAAGCAGTAACAAGTAATTTTAATGAACCGATCGAAGCAAAAATGAATGTGAATTTGGTTCATTGTAATAACGTTTTATGATTACGATCAAAATATTAACATTTTATATAGTATGTACTATTTGAATTATCGACATTCTATAAGGCCACGTTGTCTTCATTTTCTGCCACTGTTTGGCTTGCCGATATTCCAAACAGGTCTTCGTGATGACGGAGTAGATAGTAGTGAAGTGTCTGCGACAGCCTCTGCAACGCCCGGACCTGCGCCAACTCAACCAGATCAGGCTACGTGTCCCAAAAGGTCTTCACCGCCGGCGCCCGCTCCACGCAAGACATGGAAATCCCAATCAGTTAGTTACACAAATAGAAGTAGCGCATTTTTAATAGGTACTAACACAATTCACAACTAACGTAATAATATAATTCAAAATAGGCTACAATTTCAGAATAATATTTAGATTTCAAGCTTCCAACAGAACGAGAGCTATTTTAGGTCGATTGCCAACCTTGTTAATAATAGCAATGAAAGGACAGCTGAAAGATGACTGTAAAAAAGGGTAAGCACCAGCACCAGTCGAAGGATGGCTAGGCCTCTCTTTGGCTTTATAGCTGTTTAGTGGGCTGCATTTATCGACATATCCCATTATTACAAGCTGTCTGTACTATCTGCTATGGTCTTTGGTTAAACCTCCGATAATTTTAATTTAATCAAAGTTGGTCTTTCCCTCCACCATGAAAATCCATTGCCCGCTGGAGGGAACTCCACGATGGTGCAGTGACAGCTTGTTTGCCTGTTTAACTTACTAAGCTGTAAAGAGGTCTAGGAAGAGACAAGGTTGGTTCCAGCTGCTGGAAGGGGCCACCACTAGCCATCGGAAACGTAAACCCAGGCGGTAACACTGCATGTAGAACTTATAAACTTCGATTCCAAAGGGTCTGATTCTGTATGGCTTAACTCTTATATACCACCGCTTAGCTGTTTAAATTCGAATTTAAATCCGAATAATCCTTTCGCAGATGTTCATTCCCCAAGGAAGGGCCGAATCTCCCCCAGTACCCGCCGTTCTCAGTAAGCTGCGCCAACAAAGACGCAGCTCAGATGATCTGAACTCTACACGCGACGAATCGATTGCTCGGGGATTCGGCTGTGCCGAAGGTAACGAAAACGATTTCATCGAAGACACTTCTACGCTTAGCATATCCCACGCGTCACATCAGTCACGGGCATCGAATGGCCTAACACACTGTATTGGTTTATCGACAAGTCATGGATCCTTAACAGGGTACAGAAATCAGGTAGAAGAACAGACTAAAGCGTCTTGCGGAACCCCTTTAGATACCACGTTCGAATCAGCTATAGGCGGGCAAGCGGCCTGTATGAACGATCAAAAAAGGATACTCTCACAACTATCAGCACTGAGGCAGGTAAGGTTTTATAGCGTATAATGCACGTATAATAATGTTCAGGGAGGTACGATGGCAGTCGACTGTTACGGTGATTAAGAAGACTGATAGTTATATGGTAGATCATTTAGCAGTTTAGCATCTAAACCTTTACACATAGAATTTTAATTAAATAGAATTTTAAAATAAAACCCTCTTTAGCACCTAAGCGTCACCTACTGCTTGCTAAGCTGACTCATGAAACATCAGAGTATAGAGCTAAAAGGGAGGATAAACACATTACTCAATGCCCATAGAATTTTTCAGACATTGCTAATGAAACGGCAAGAGCTGGAGAACTCGATATCAACCCCACGAATGACACGCAAGGCCAAAACGTGACCCGATGAGGAAGTCATGTGGATTAAAAGCAGGTTCGACCTTCCTTAGGAGCAAAATGCCGCTCGAAAAGCATTTTGATGCGCCATACTCTCAGTTGTTCCCGCCTGCACAACAACATCGATAACGCCTAGCATCGTCTGTCTCCTAAAACAAATTCACTGTTCACGATTATTACTTTTGGAGAATTATTGTACAAGCTTTATGTCTCAGTAGTCAGCCATGCAGATATTATGAGTTCACCCTTGTTCCTTATTTAATATAAGGCATACGCAAATGACAAAGGGATTGCGTTATTTATTAGAGACATTGATACTAATGATAATAGTGTCGCACGAGAGAAAACGAACAAAATGACCGATCGCAGTCGGTACGGATCGAGCCGATTCGACACGTTCCCGTATCGTTAGATAATCTAAAATCGAAACGACACTCCCATTTGCAACAGTGTCAAGTAAAGTATATATAAAATGCTGTTATTTTAAAGCATGTTCAACTTCGAGTCTTAACAAGAGCAGACCCGTAAATATTTAACAGTCCAGTTTCTCAAGCGAAACACACTACGTGGGTGTACACCGCGGGAGTATCACAAAAAAGTTGATCGGCGGCACCAAGTCTCTCTTGATCCATTCTGTTAAAAGCATTGCAGAAATGAGTTGCATTGAACAAGCCAATATAGAAACCAAGATCTAATAAGGTAGACGATATGGTATGAATGTTTGTCAACTCGTATTGCTCCTTCGACGTTGTCGACCTCACGTTATATTTCGACCTTCAGGCCGGCCGGCCGACTGCCTAATGCTGCAGCAGTTCCACACGAAAACATAGAAATTCTATATCTCAATCTGCTATACCTTTCGATATAATGCTGCCAAACGGTTCAAGTGATTCTAGATAGCATTATTTATATTCACGAGAATTATGTAGTATTTATGTGTCATTGCAGGGACTCGAAGCAGCGGCCCCCTAGTCTCTCCCAAACAGAGACCTGGCCGTCGTCCAAGCCATAGCACGCCAAAATGGCAATTTGTACTCGATAAAAGAATTAACTTCGACGCGCCATGATTAAAACTGAACCTATTTAATAGATTTCTTGTTGCACTGTTTTCTTTTCTTATATTATAGAAGCCTGTTAACCAATGCTTGCAATGTACCTACGAATCACACGGTGAAGTACTTGTTTGGAGATCTTCTGTGTCATCACTGATTACACCGTTATGTATTGCCTTAATTTGCAAGTTCGACTAGCCACTAGGGATTTGTTAGAAGGGAAGTTTATTCTGGTTCAAACATTTACTAGCTGAACAATGACGGATGACGACACTGTAAATCAGTGACTATTTCTTATTGCAAATGTTACGTATATTCCAGGTCAGTGGACTGTTTCTACCTTACTCGAAGAACTAGTATAGTTAGCGCAATGACCTGATCGATAGGGATAAAAAACAACTACAATTACAGAGTAATTATATTCGAAATTAATATAATTGATTAGAATTACTATGACCGGCCAGCAGTGGCAGGCGAACGGGACGGTGCAGGACATAAAACAATTGCAACCGAATCATTCGTAAAAGTGTAAATCTACAACCCAACTACAATTTATGTTAAGGTAAATGTAACCTGAATTAGTGTAGCTCATCATAGAATAGACAGACTAAATAGTTGTAAACGGGTAACGCTTTAGGTGGATCAGTTAGATAATTATTAGTATACACTATAGTCCACGTTAGGCGTAACCTCATCGAATCAACGGGATGTTCGCTTCCCTGTCGAACTCATGCTTTAGATTAAATGCAGATCTATCGGTTTTTGTAACCCTGTCTATGGTAAAAAGGTCACGATACTTACCTATTCGATGACAGCACCAGTGCGTGTAAAGAAACGTTGGACCATCACCAACGTTAAGGACAAACGTTACCGAAGGCACATCTCCATTCGGCCTTTCTTATTGTTCTAGATTGCTCATCGTCGCACCCTAAATAATTTTGTTTCTGTTTCGAACGAAATATGTAACATCATTGATTTACTTTCGTGTTTGTGGAAGGGTAAGCTTCACCAACAAGTTTTCCTTTCTGAACTCTCTATTAGAGAATATGTGATTCAAACCAGCTTTTCGCCGTCTAGTATGCCCAGATTCGTTGCTCTGAGTGTTCAATGCTCGAATCGACCGTAATATATACATGTATATACGGTTTTTTCCACAGGTACTTGTTCTGGAATACCGAAAAGCAAAGTGGAATACCGAAAAATCTTGAAGCCTGTTACAATAGTTGCTTTTTAACAGTACTCTTTCTATTTATGTCCTGAATAATTGTGTTCTTCTTGTGTACATGTGCGAAAAGTAAGAATAGATAAGCACATTTCCGTTCATTAAGTACCCGACAAAGTACATAACCGTCTGAATTTTACTTCCAATCACAGCCAGTACTCCACCATCGTCAAAGATGGGCTCATCCAGTGTGTCCGCTTCGTCAAAATCTTTGTTTTTAGAAACGAAGCTTGACTATTCTCAGGGTATATTCATGTACAGTTCTTCAAAACGCGCTGACGATTTTATTAGTAAATAATACCCGTATCAGCGTGGTCTATATTTTTAAGCCTTGCCTTTAGAGGCCATACTGCAAGTGTCTCAGTTTCGAAAAAGTCATTTCTTTTAGTCGACCCTCGGGTGCCTCATAGGTTCCAACTCTGAAGTCTCTTAATGTACTACTGTTATAAGAGTCGTAAGACGCGCACACTCGGACCCGTAGCCACGCAAACCCCTTTCGGCTTTGTATCGTTCCCCCCTATAAATAAACAAAACAAAAGTACTGTACAATCGCATTGTATAATTAAAGCTCAGGAGTTTGCTTGTTATGATCTCCATGACAATATGACCTTAGCGTTCATGCGAGGTTCAAAGCCTCCAGCCTTTTCTTAAGAGCAAATCGCCAGAGCCAATGCTATTCTGACGTTCTGTTTTGGATCACACCGCAGGCCAGGCCACAATTTATTTCGCTCTCTCGACTTGCAGGCGATTCGCTCTCCCCTTAGCTTCGTTAACAGTCGCCCTCTCTCACATAAGCCATGCCTGTTGGGTAGCTGCTACCGTTCTTACTGCTACTTGCCCGCTGTTTGCGTGTGGCCGCTGAAAACGGCTGCTTATCGCATTGGACAAGCGAATATGGTAGGAAAAGGGTGAACCGAGTTGTTCGAATGCCAGAAACACTCGCCTGCCGCGGCTCGCCATGACTGTCGAATAGATTCAGAGGTAAGGTAATCATATCGGACATACGCCGGTCTGCCACCATACCGCGGAGTCAGCGAAGTTCACAGCTGACACAAAGGGATGTTGTGTCTCGAGTCCGTCTCATTACGTCTCGTTGTGTGATCGCGCCCCAGTGACTCCACTTCGTCGATAGAAGGACCTTATGAGCACCCGTGCAAATACGACAACGTTCGAGCCAAGGTACACGGACTGAACAACAAGCAGGCCTTGTCTTCGCAGGGCTGGTCGCAAGTTGCGACTGATAGCCAGTGACTGACATCGGAGTTGAGGTACGGAGTGTGAAAAGGCCATCTGGGTACGAATATATATATATGTACATATATCATCAAGTTGAGATCTGCACAGGTGGTAGTAGGAACTGGGTTGAGCAGTATCAGCGTCAGAGAAATTGTGCAAACTGGCATCACAAGTGAGGACGGTTAGAGTAAAAAACTTATTTTTATTACGGAAGTAGCTGATGATAACGACGGTTTTGTGATAGTGTGTCGTCATCAGGGTGCGTTGACTCTACGTAGTTCGTATCGATGACTTCGGGAATCTACCGTTTCACATCGGATAGAAGGAACTTGTCAAAGCGCAGAGGTCAACAGCGAACCGGATTTCTGCCTACGCTAATATAACAAAAGCTGTAAAAATACGAAAAAGAAATTATTCGGAAAACGATTGCGCGGCCCGAGACTATACGCGTTTAACGAAGAAGTGATGGTTCGGCGCGATAGCATTATTCTATTCGTGGTTACGGTCCTCGTGCTTCAGGTAAGTGGAAGGCTGAGGTTTTCCAAGTTGTTTCATTTGAAGTCGATTTGTTCGATTACTATACAACTGCCTGTAGGCGTCGTATGAAATGATGACCAGTCCGCGAGCTACACGATTAGAACAATGTTGCCCTTTATTGCCTATTAACATGTCGCTATTGTTTCGTGTAGAAATTTCCGCGGTCATTGTCACTGCGTCAATACGGTAAAGTAGCAGGTAAGCTAATGAAAAAATTGGCTGTTTATAGAGACAACGGGCGAGGCGGTCTCTTGTGCCGATCAATTTAATGAGTATATGATGCGATCAATCATTTTGTACGTATCGATACACGTACGATCTTCTAGTCCTACTGTAAATCTATTTAGTTATCATATAGTTATCTACATGTTTGGTCGATAATACCATTGTGTGTGAATTTACCATTATAATATAGTAAATATGGTAACGATCAATTATGCACTTGTTGACCTCGACTGTGTTCGGGGTGATAATAATTGGACCGGTTAGCATAGAATCAAAGCGCAAGGACTGAATCGAAGAATGTATAGTTGAGTAAACGAAGTCAAGTCCTACACGATACGGCTCTTCGTTCGTCCCCTTTGTCGTACATAATGCACAATTAAGATCCAACTTGCCCTTTGTTTAGGAATTGCAAATTTTCGCTATTATCATAATGGCTGCAGATTAACATTAAGTCAACTGGGATGTCCTATCTCCAATTTCCACTATCGTGAGCCATATCTAATGATATACTTGTTACATCTGTTCGAAGACGGGACCCAGTATCCGTGTTGAGTCACTTATTTCGGTATTGGCTTAATTGACATAACTTAATAATAAGTTGACATAGCTTCATAATTCGAACTAACCTAGGCTGTTATCATATTGTTCAGTGGGCAGAGTAGGGCAAGCTGTCTGTCGGGAAGTTTTTTATTAACAAGTAATTGATTGTTGTCACGGCACATCGTAGATGTAACGATGGTTTTAACAGGAAATAACTTTTTTTTTTTTAATTACATAATGGAATCGGCCTAAGTGTGTGCTCCTAGAACATGTGATATTCACATACACGAGGTGTTGTCATGTAAAACCCTTCAAATATTTATTTTATATTCATGGTTGCACTCTCGTTACTTCTATCCGGTTTTTTAAATTTGTGACAAGAACAACAAACACAGGCGACACGGATCACAAGCACCTGGCGTATGGTATGTCCAACGACAGAAAATTGTACCTGCCCAGTTCCTTCTTTCAAACTATTGCTACGTAGCGTCTGCTATCGTAGTGGCCGTAACTGCAGTGCGTTATGCTGCGTAGATTATAAACAGTTAACTGATAGTCGACAAGGACACTTCTGCCAAGATCATTCCTTATTCTGTCGACAGAGACTTGCCGCGAGTTATACGGTCGAAGCGAAGCGTTTTTCTGCCGGCTTCTTGTTTGCTACCAGAATAAATATATGAATAAAATTCGCAAAATGATAGAAAATTGTAAGTGGCCCTGAAGTGTGTTTGATAACCACACAAAAACACTGAGCAAAAATTGAAGCCGACGTGTTAAAAGGCGCAATAAGGGAGGCATTCTCTGCCCTGATAATGTTGAAGTTTGGTAAGAATATACTTCATAATTTTATAGTGGGAGCACGTTTTAATCGGATATAATTACTGTAATTATCTGGCAGAGGGAAAATACAAAAAAAAAATTGTCTTGTCTGTTTTACAGCGTAATCTTGCGTTCGAATCGACGATCGGTTTTACACACTGCTTCTATGAGTTAATTACCTGAAACCAAACTAACTACGTTGGCTGTATGGAGACCACTTTGTGTTTTATTTCATAGCCGAGTTGATTAATTGCATAGAATTTAGTTGATCCTTCTTTTGCCCCCATCAACGCTTCCGTTTCCGTCTATCAGTAACTGGAGTTGGCGATTAGCTTTCCATGGAGATGGGAAAGTTTTACGCTTTTTCTGTATGGTGCGTGCCAATCGGGTACGAACGCCCCCTTCTAGGTTGCTCCTTCTTTACCAACCCAAATTGGACTAGGTGCCGATACCAATTTTTATGCTTGCGTAACCTAACTCCTAACATACAGGACGATCTTTGGGTACAGGACGAGAGTTAACTAAGTTAGAAAGAGCGATAGAAATCATGGAGGAAAACTAACTTAGATGGCTTACTTTACCACATCCCATCGGTTGCCATCGTTCTATCAATATATATGTTGAAGTTGAAACATTCAAGCAGCTACGGCTTTTGGCAATTATCTTAAATATCTTCGTTGTGTTACCAAATGCTGTCAACTGGAAGGTGTTTCTCGACAGCAAAGTGTTTACGTTTCGTATCCTTAAATGCTACTATTATACTATTGTTCATATTAAAAGAAAATGGCTACAAGTTTTTCCCCGATGCCCTACACTTCTTGTTAGCTGTCCGGATTCTGTTGCTTGCCTACGGCAAAAAACAATGTTTACATCGCGAAGTTGACTCAATGAAGCCTTCGGTTATTTTTACCCTCTTACTCGAGTGATATAGCAAGTCGTTCTGTTCTGTTGTCCTAGTATGGGAGTCAGCTACGGCTAGAAATGTCACATTGTCATTAGTGACAATATTATATTGTGGTCGTTTGGCCTACGCTATGACCCGTGGAGCAACTGAGGCGAACGGTTGATTCTGACAGCTTCAGGCAACATTATAACATTCTTCTATTGTTTGTTTTAACATAATCGTTGTACGTGATGTTTGTTTTTGTTTTTAGTTAGTTCTTCTCGTACCTACGAAATAGCAATGTTTGTGGCGATTAATTTATCTATAGAATGCCATTCAAATTATAAATGATTCGTATAAGAACACATCTCCATTTCTACGCACCCCTGCCCTTCAAAAGTCCTTGCCATCAATGCCGGACCTAAGCCCGATCACTTGCGTTGGTTCAAATATAAAACCAGCTTATATCTCTACTGGTCACTTGCTACCAACTGTCATCACTACAGTTGTCACCACGATCATTTGTCTGTGCACGTCGCCCGAAGTCGCACGAGCTGCAACCGTCAGTTGTTTGCCTCTGAGGGTCGCGTTTCATCACATTTCTGACATTATTTTCGTCTTTCGCTCATAGACATGCACTTAAATACATCCCAGGACATAATACAAATACTATTTGTTTAATTGGGTTGGACAGCACATACTGGGTTGAGCTTATTTCTACACTTGTGGCTAAGGCTTGCAAGCCACCGGTCGGCTGAAAAAGTGTAACGCCAGACCACCTGAGGGTATGGCTCTGTTATAACAAGTCCTCCTACATGGCCGTCATTAGGCCAATTAGCGGTAGGCGTCAATTCCCAGGGCACCGAGTCTCGCTCCGTCAAACCCCGAACTTTTGCATTGTTAGACGATAGTATTTTAACACAGCAATATGTTTCGAAATAGCGTTTTGTCGCATGGCGAGCTTTGTTCGTATAGACCCGATAGATGGTAAGCGGCACCAGCACCACATAGCAGTAGTTTTATGACGTGAAGCCAACGTTGGCTGACGCCGTTTCACGTGCCTTCGTTCGAAGAAGAACCGGAATCTCCGCCTGTGGAGCGGTTTCTCAAATCAAGCAAACTACAACAGTCAAATGGAGTGAGATCCAGAGCCCGAAGGCCAGAGATAGTTGCCAGTAGAATATCTGATAAGTAGGTGATGCTGTTTGGATAAACAGACATAACGGTAGATGCCGTTGCTGATTTTGCTTATGTGATGCATTTAGAGCTAATATGGGGAACAAACGGCCACAAGAATCTTCGAGTCATTCTACGAATAAAATCTTTGTTCATATTCTAACGGTGATTCTTATTGGTGTTGTAGCTGCCGTTGAGCGATGGACAACTAAGCATTACCTGTATCAAGCTGCCTGCCTGGCTTACGTTAATCACTGTAGTCAATGTCACGGCGGATATAGTATAATTGGTGAAAAGATCTATCTTGCTAGAATAGGGATCAAAGGATAAAAAGCTGTTAGAGAGAATCATGAAATGGACATATTATACATGAAGAATACTCGTTGGGGCTCGTTATAATGAAAACAATTAGTTATGTACGAAGTAGGCGTGTTCCGTCTGCTCTGGTCTTTTCGATTTTTTTTTCTTTTTTTTTTTTTTTTTTTTTTTCGATTTTTGAAAACAAAATACCCGGTGTGAAAGCATTTGACATATTGGTGAAAACGCCTTTAGCGTATAACAACGATTGCGTAAAAAAGATAAGTAGCGAAACACACTACGACAATAGGGTTTATTTAAAAGCTCTTTTTATGGAAACTGTCGGCTTCTGGACGATGATATAGTTTACTCTTACTCACGAACGGCAGATGCTCCACCGCGGACGTTACCGAAAGATGCAGGAAGGCAGTGATGGCCGCTCAAGTTATTACATCGTCCCATCGCTTGCTCACTCCTGCGGGGAACTAGATTTTCACAAGCCCTACGATACATGTAGCTGCTTCAAACGCGGAATTGTGATAAGAGACCATGCGGCTCGATGCCCCTGCTACCATTTCTAATTTGACTGATAGTAGAGAATGGCTGGTTTTATACAAAGAAAAAGCAATTGCATCGAATCAAATTCTTGTGCTTCCGGTCACGGTCCTCTTAGAGTGAACGATCATACCATAGAAATTTAGCTTCCATCTATTATTCAGAATGAGGCGGAAATCTGGTTACAGAGGTGGGAGTCAAAAGATTGTCTAACATATATATATAGAATAAAGCTGTCAAAGGAATGGAGTGGAAGCTACCTATGCATAAAGACGTAGCCATTACAGCAAGACGAAACGATAATTTTCTTTTTCGTAAAATTTATTGAAATGTATAATCGTGTTTATGCGCCCATAAAACGCGTCGTTGAAGTTCTAGTGGGTGGTATATTTCAAATTCATATGTCGAACTCCTTTTGCCCTGGGCAAAGGCGAGCACTTTTTATATTTTCAAATTACATTGAACGCTGCAGCAAAATCAAAAACAACGATAAGTAGTTATCATTTAATATTCGGGTAGAATCCGGAACGTATTTGTCAAACTATAATGGTCTTATTGTATTTATAACCAGATGGTAAAGCTTTGAGAAAGTTTAAACTAGTTTTTGTAGGTGTTCGTGTAGTTTAGATAGGCCCAGTCGTGATGTGTGGCCAGCGGTTGGTCCTGTGTTTATTTTAGGTGAGCAGACAATAAGCTGATGCTATCGATATAATATCAATTCTTGCCTGTGTTGCAGTTCGATACGGAACGTCCTGTATGTCTTGATAGCATAGCATTTGTTAGAAAGATGCTATTGGACACCATGATTTATTTTATTCCCTATATATTGTCAGATGAAAAAAAAAGTGGTCATGGCATGTTATCGATTTCAGCAAATCACTTCTAGTGAATATTAGTTCTAACGAGAGAAGCTCAAGTTTATCGCTGTGTCCCATTTATGTTCTTAATCTAGGAGACAGACGTTTAGATCTTTTCGGACAAATAGGTGTCAACGACTACGCGTCATACTGCTGCAATTTTGCAATTTTTATACAAAGCGCCATTTAATTCATCAGTTATGTTTTTTAGACTGAGAGGCTGATGTGTTACCTTTAAACAACCGCCTAAACCACTGACCATCTTTATAAACCGCTGTCGCGTAAAACTCAAAGGTTCTTTAGCAGAATGTGACACCCGATAAAAGGTGGAGCGACGGTCTTTTGACAGCTTGAACTAGAATTACAGATATTCTTGCTGCGCCCTATACATATATATAAATGTCTCTTGTTCGCTTGAAAAAGTTGTTGTCTTTTTATATTTGCAAAGGGGGATAAATGCGGTAAAAAAACGGGTTTACTTCGTGAAGACTGTTCCATTTGTGACTTTTCGAGATTCTCTGTTTAAGGACGCCTGTCGTCGAGCGTCGCCCTAATGTTTCCCCAACGAGAGGCTAAGCACTCCAAGTCACCGTGCAGGAAAACGACTATTCTTCAAAGTTGTTAGAAATCGTTGCTTCATTCTCGTAGCATTTTCTGAACTTTATTCTTATTGTTAATGCATAATGCCATTCTAGTATTGTTTGTTCATCCGTTACCGCTACTATCCAGGGCTCACCTTTCGAGTTAGAGAAGAATACGACCGGACATATTCGGCTTTATGTTCGTCCATCTGTATTACGCCGTGTAACCGACCACCGGCCAGCGTCAGTTAGCGGAGTGGATACGGTGCACCGAACGATGTTCAGAGCGATGGGTGAACGCGTTGCAGACGACAATACCCCTAATTCTGTGATCGTAGTAGAATTGAAATCGCCTAGAGAATGGTAAACATTGAGCATTTGTGACAATGGAGACGCGCGCAGTGACTCGAATCATCGGTCAGGTCCACCTGATCATGCTGTGACATCGTTTGCGCAAAAAAGCTCTGTTCCCATTGCTATATAATGATGTATCCACACATAGTTGACCATTTAAGAAATCGAGTTTTGATGAAGTGCAATTATCGTAATACCGAAACTTGAAATGATTGAGTAACGATATTTGTAGTTAACATAATATTGGTTGGTTCGTAATGAGTCAGGAGGCCGGGAGGCCAGCAATAAGCGAATATGTATCTGGCACACTCTATTCTCGATCATAGATGTTTTACGTGAACGTATTCGCTTTTGAGTTGATTTTCGGGCTTGTTGAGAATGACGTAAAGTTCCTCAATGCATGCACTTACTTTGGCAAAGAAGTTTGTAATTTTTGTTGTCTCCTCTATGGCATGTTAAGTCTCTATCCATTGACCTCAGTCAATCGCACCTACCGTGTGCGTCGTATGGTCACAGCCGCAGCCGTCTTGGGAACTGACAATAACCGGAAAATGTATATTTGTGTTTTCGAAACATTTCTCGCGACGAAGACAATAAAATCAAGCCTGAGGTAGAAACATCGGCGCGATAAAGGAAATTCCGTGACAGTAAAGCTATTGATGGAAAACCGTACCGGCGCATTCAAATTGCTCAAGGTTTTGTAACGTCTTTCTTTAGTTTAGCGTGAAGAACTTTTTTTATTTGTATATCCATTTGAGTTCGAACACTTGATCCTAAACTATTACATATCAAAGGTAAGGGTGAGTGAGTGAGGATTCCCAAATTGTTAGTTAATTGTTCTTCCGACTATATTCTTGGATTACATGCACCACTATTCGATAAACAGTAGTGGTAGTATCGTACTACTATGTTTCTGCGCTGCTGGAATATCGAAAATGTATTAATCTGCTCCTCTTAGCGTAGTAAGGGTGAATTTGATTAGTTGTTGGATGATCTGATTTTAGCAGTCCTCTTGTTGACATCCTTTAGCATGGCAAAAATCATTTTCCGTACAGGTAACGGATGCATCTTTTGTCCACTATGTAAACGAGTAGCTTGCCTTGTTGCTCGACGCAGGATAAAACAGTTTTCATGATTTCAGATTTTGGGTCGTGTGGGTCGGAGCAATGAAATTCAAATCTAATGTTGATCTAGTTAAAAGAGTCATTGTCTAGCTAGCGGGAGCGAGATATCGATATATCTCAGTGCGTGTCTTGCCTTTAACATTTTTGTGAGAAGGGTAGATACTGTATGATCTCCTTATTTTTATCAGCCAGCGTTAGGCTTCTCTATACATTTATCATATCATAGATGTTGGTCTTTATTTTTTGTAAAAAAGATAGACGTCTTCTTATGTGCGTTTAACTTTATGGTATTGTTGTAGGTATCATTGCCATGCTAACATACCGGCATGAAAATGACTGGGTCTCTTTTTTTCAACCGTGGGGTTTTTAATGGTAACGCTGCACGCGAAATTCGACTGGTAATTTCTTAATGAGGTACCTGCATTTATACAATTTTGCTGATGGAGCTTTTGTTTTGAGAGGGAAGTTTTTAATGGAACACGTCTGCTACAAGACTTTTTTGATGAACGCTTTTTTGTTTTTAGTAATTCGATTTTACTGTGAATGCGGGCTGTGTATGGGTGTTAATTAGTAGGATTAGGTGAAAAATATCCTAGGCAACATAACCGGTGCTTACGCCTGGTATTATGGTTGCGTTGTTGTTGTTGTTGTTGTTGTTGCCGACGATATTTCAGCTAACCCTTCTATTCATCGCGCTACAAACCGAGTTCGGCTGTTCGCTGTTTGGTCTCTGCACAACGAGTTCGTCTGCATCTCTAACGGTGAGAATTAGGCAAAAGGATGTGGTCATAGAAACTGTAGATGTTGGGGGGGGGGGGGAAGGAGGGGGGTACCACAGTAGGGTAGAAGCAATAGAGTCTCGGAACTATTGTATGTGTAACTAGATCTGACACTTAAAAATAAAAATACTGCCACCTGTGTGACGACTGCGAGTCGTCGGCTTTATACCGAAGCTTGCTTTAGCTTGCTTATGTCAACACAAATGGATTACATTCTTTCTTCAGTGGCTCGGATAGGGGAGATGCGACACAGAGACGGCGCCTATGCACCTGTTCCCTTGGAATGAGTGGTTCTCCTGCGCGCCACAATATGGATGTGGTGCTCGCCACTGGAGAGCATTTTGCCTCTTTACATCTCATTCTTGCCTATTCCAGGATTTTATTTCATGCATTGGACAAAAGTGTATTTTCTTTTAATACAGTTAAACTATCGCTAACCAAAAATACAATCGATACAATATATTAACGAAGGTCAACTAAGTGTTGAGATAAAGTTAACGGTTTGGTACAAGATCGAAGGCTGCCGTTCGTCATGACTTGCTCTCTTGCGCTTATTGCGCGGCCTACAGAAATCTAACATTTAAAAATGCGCGCCTTAGGTAAGTCAATGATTTTCTGTTGAACAGCTTTTACATGGAAACAGCCGGTGAAGGTTATGGAAAGTGCACAGAATGAGGCAATTGTGCAAAGGTGATAGTATGAACAAACGCTAAAGAGTAGACTATCGAACTGGAGGGAATTCTCAATATACATGTTTATGCGAAGTTCATCGCTTGTAATAAACACATTATGTCCCTCATTGTAAATAGATTTGCACAAAATAAATTTATTATGTAGTCCTTACACTTCCGTACTCGTATTAAATCGCAGTTGTAACAGTCTTTTTTGGACACAGCCATACTTCAAGAGCCACAGAAACAGCTCCTTCCCCAATAGGAAATCTTTCATGGGAAGTAGTCAAATCTGAACAGGGGTACCGCAGAGGGACGGAAGTTTAACTTAAGGCCAACTCACAGCTCGAAGTGTCTCAGGCTCGTGAAAGTCGTCAGTGGAGCATGAAAGCAGTCAGTCCCCATAGCAGCGGCAGGCATCAAGCTCGAATAGAAGCAATTGTCAACCAGTCAAACACTCGATTTTTCCTTAATGGACTGCTCATTCGTGTAGATGAGCAATGCGGGCATCTGAGAGTTCGTGCTTTCTGAAAGCTATGTCCATACAGAAAGAAGCAGCGTTTCGTGTAGAAAATACTAGTACTTGCCAATCAAAACTTTTACTATAGAAGCCAGATATAAAGACACGTAGTTTTGTGGGCGAGAGCCAGCCATTTGAACTAACACCTAATATACCAGAAGTAAAACTACTATAGATTGGTCGTGCGGATATCATTCAGAACACAAATCCAATTGATTAGTGACGATTAAGTCACTTGCCAAGTTCTGTCACTTCATCATCACTCAAAAGTGCTTACAGTAAGTGAACGAGAACCAAATAGATACGTCTCATCAACAATCACGGTCACGATCCGAACGATCAAATTTAGTTGAGCGTGCTAAGGCATGTAGCAGGACAGAAAGTTGCGTATGGTCTAACTGCCCAGGCAGAACGCAGGTCGCGTATTTTCATAGAACCGCGCCTGTCAAACACAAGTATCACCGACCCGTAATAATATTAGATTGATGAATAGTGTGAGTCAAAATAATTGTACATCGCAATTAAAAAAAATGGACTCATGCACATAACTCTAAATTGATATCTACTAACTGAATTGACCTTGTATGTGGCTAATTGTGTGCACACCAAATGATTAATGGATAGCAAAATGAGATCAAGAATGACCTTTGTATTATGGGGCCTCTAAAATTCGATCGCTCTTATGATTCAAGTCGTTGTATATATGTTTGGTGTCTCCTTCTCCTTGTTGCTGATATTTACTTGTCAGGCAAGAGGTCACCAATGAAGATCTAGCCAGCTTGGAAGGCTTTAGGAGAGCTTGCGGTTTTATTGGACACGCCCTTAAAAGAAAAACGAGCTATAAATATCGTTTAGTCCCATCATCTTTCTTCATAAATAGCACAAACCCAACACGATTAATGTATTGTGCATTTAATAAGTCCGCCACTCTGATCAAGTCCTGTGCCACAAGGAAATTATTCCGAGGAGCAATTTTCAAATTAATAGATGACAATAATAAGAAATCGGCCATCTTGCGCGAGCCTCTCGAAGTCATCCGTTTTCTGCATTCGTTGTTTTTCGTTGGCAGTCTATTGGTAGTTTTCTGGATTGTCCGCGTAATTCTCTTGCAACTGGCTACAGCTGTGTGTTATTTTCATCGACTGATCAGAGTATAAACATGTAAATCAGTATCCAGAGACCCCTAGAATATTGGGTAGTCAGCTCTTGCCCGCGAAGGCAGTCTTTCGGATGAGTGTTTGCGTTTCAAGGCTACAGCTACCGTCTCTTATAGGTGATTTTACATCAGCGACAGCAAACTACTACTCAGTGCTGCGCTTGAATGATTGTTTTGTGTTCCAGGGTGTGACACAAATGGAAGCTACCGCAACATTATCCGATAGCTATTCTCGTTGAAGATTGGTTCAGTTAGAATTATTGAAGTACGCAGTGCGGTAGCTAGGAATCCAGCAATAGTGGCAGGCAAGGCCTATAATAATAATAAGAAAACGGCCAAGACTATAATTATAGTTTTTGTAGGTTCTTTGCTATGGTTCACTGCGGGATATGATAAATGTTCACCGTACAATTTCGGTGCTATTAGATCCAACGGGATGCTCCGGAAACGCTTGCTGATTCTGACATGTTCATTGTGTTTGTTTCTTATAAGAATACCGTGGCAGTTTGTCATCAACGATCCTTGGAGATCATCGTTGCTTATGAATATGCTAGCATTCGACTCTGAACACCTCATGATGACTAGTTGCTTTGGCACTTTTGATGGTTGTTGTCTAATTTCGATTTGCGGTGTAATTCGATTTCTCTAATTCTTGCAACTCAAAGAGAGAGCAAATGAATATTACTTCAGAAATTTCTTGTTAACCATCTGAAGATCGATACTGGTCCACGACAAAGGTATTCTCACATAAAAATTACCTTTTAGTTTATTTGTACCACGCGATGCGTCGATACGACGCGGAACACGCTGTTTTCTTTCACAGAAGATTTCATTGCGCTATTACGGGAGTACTAATGGTAATATTTCGTATTTTGGGTACCGTCACAAGCCACCTTTGAAACAGATTCATTTTTCGCAATTGTGGCAACAGCCTGCCGCCTTACGCTCGCGAAACGTATTGCCCTCTTTCCTCTTAAATTGTTTGTTTTTGACTGCTAACGGAGATGAATATCTTTGTTATTGCTGAATCAGCGGTTCAACGATTCGCTAGCGACGCTGAAACGCGTAAAAACGTGGGGACGAAATAGTTTAATTATAAAAGCTCATATTTGGTCTTATATTTGCCAACCTGTATTAAGACAGTGATAGACGGCTAAACCCGTGCGAACCCACGAAGGCAAGAGTCTATCTATTGCAACTTGAGGCAATAAAAAGAATTCTATGAAAGTCTCGTCTGTAAAATAATCTGCAGGCGAGGCTTACACCAATTGTGCTTTCTGTGCGCCCTTGGCTAAGGAATACTTGCTCGAGTAACTAGCGAAATCGGAAATTTTCTCCGTGTCTGTCGTGGTTGTCGGAATCGCGTACGATTGGTATGCTTATGCCGATAATGAAGGTCACACACGCGCTGACGTTTTTCCTTTTTTTTTTTCCACACAATCTATGTACGACTGGACGCTACTGGGATAAAGGCTATTTCGTGTAGGCCGAATGTCGAGTTCAGTTCCGACAGACGGACTTCGTAGATAGCCGAGTCCACTGCCCAGGTGAAATATGTTACGCTTGCGCTAGTTCATCAATAAACCTGACAACTGAGCTACACTTATCTAAATTTGTAAAAAGAAGACCATGTGGCGTTAAAATGGAGAGACTACGCATGTCTCTTTACTCCAATGGATTCATTGTTTTGTTTTTTATATTTATCCCATCTAGGGCAACTGCTACAAACCAAACGCAAACGGTTAAAATGAGTTGATCTTTGTGTGTATTTGAATAAAAAATGCCTTTGCCGACAGATTCACCCTTGCGTTGTGGATTGAGTACCGCTTATTAAAACACCAAGTATCAGGGTAGTTCGTTCAGTGGCACCGACCAGTAGCCAGAATAAAAAACTTTTTTGGTACTGGACAGCAGAGATCAATATTTGCAGCCTGTTTGCCGCACATAAATCTTTACTCGATTCTTGTTATGTTCTGGATTTTTGAACTAATGTAGGGGTTATGTTCGAAGCATTGGGCCAGCACTAGAAGCTGGTTACAATAAAGCTGAGACTACCTCTTATATAGACTATGGCTGATAAAAGCGACAGAAAAGTTTACATGCATAACCACAATATAAAATCTGTTATGAGTTGTCCTGCACTTAATCGCTAAATAAATACAAATGTTTTTGCGTTTATTGCTTTAATCTGAGGCACCTCAGATCACTATCCCATCGCAAAATGATTACATAAACGTAATGTTCCAACAATACGTAACTAATTCGTTTCGTTAAAATACAGAAACTATGTACCTTTTTATACTAGATCTATCACAAAGTGTCGATCCCTCCGGGGGCCACACGCGATCCACAGAAGCAGTAGCAGAAACGACCTGTACCAATCTATTCGTGAGCTGTTACTAAATTTAACTGATCGTAACTGTTGCTAACCCCCTTAGCTCGGGCACTTTCGATACTGTTGTCAAACAGTATCAATACAGTAACAACAGACAGCGCTGATGGTTTGTAAAGCATAGTGCAGTTAAATAGACAAACGCAGTACACTACAATAGGAAGAACTGTTGTTTTTTTTACATGTGTCGTTTAAGACGGGTCACACTGTTAATCGTCCTAGCAATTCGCTAAATTTAGCCCGATACTGAAGCTTTAGTTTCGTGTGAATAATGAATATTAAACGAAGCGAATCATTTGGGTTCCTCATTACTTCGAATACAGGAAATCGAATATTGCTACCCCATGCAATTTCTTTTTGTGCGAGCTGCCAGAAATCGGCGGGAGACACTAGCGCCGCTGTAAAAGGTAGTGGGTGAAAAATCATGGTCGGACTGATGGCATGTAAGAGGTAAAGAGGACAGTGTATTTATCTTAATAGTGGCGTGGGCAAAGCTTGGATCGGGTGTTGGATCGAGCGGTGCTGTATCACACATTATGCTGGATTTGGATAGCTCACGTGTTGCGATAAACTCATATCGCTGGAAACAGCTTTAGTTGATGTAAATTTTCACCGTGTGTTTTGTATTATTTACAAAGGATGCGTGTTTATATATCTCTCATTGTTGGATAAATTGAAATGGAAAAGCAGTAGAAATATGAGCTATTTTGCTTTGTTCTCCCCAACTTTCTAGGATGTTTTGGTGATGATCGTCACTCGTCATGCTTCTCGGTATATAATAGAACGGACAAGGATTGGAGAAGAGTAGATTCAGCTCCGCTATCAATAGCAACAACAATGTAACTGCTGACCTCATCAAATAATATACACGATGAACGAGTATCTTCATAGCTTGAAGAAGCTCGCTTGTCAGTTTGAGTGCCTATGGTACTTGTACTAGCTTCTATGTCTCTACGTATCACATTTTTAAGCGATTCAAAATACTGTCAAATGACTTTTTTGAAACTGTGGATAGATTTTAGCCCCACCATGAGATTGCTCCAAAGGTATGGCTTGCTACTACTTGATACACTAAATAATTAACGAGTCTATAACGGATTCATTGGTATTAAGCAGCAGTAGCTAAATAGAGCGACCGTATATTACGAATAACTATGACTACTATTAACGCTAGCATTTGATTCGATCCATTTCGAAGTCACAAAAATAGCTCCGCACTTGAAACAGGAGTTTCAAGTTCGCATCAAATACGAAACATGTTGGTCTTGTAATCGGCCAAGATCATTCACACGGCCAAATAAGTCTTATGATATAAATTTTGGTTGAAGTACCCAATTTAATTGGCAATATTTAAGGTAACTGCAAGCGTGTAGTTTTTCCTGAAAGGACTAAAACCTCTTAGCCCTATCGTAGGACATATTTGCCATACATAGCGTTGGTGCGAGCAATATTTTTTTATTATGGCTTGTTGGTTAAATAGCATTTAGGCCGATCGAAAAGTCGATGAAGAATTAAGTCGAGTTTAACCATTTTGGTTTTCGTACGAAATTGTTCACTTATTGGCATGCTAATTTAAACGATCAAGTCTTTTACCGAAAAGGCCAGCAATCCTTGCATCAAATTTTTCGAGGTAATACGTGTTACACATACAGGCTTTGAATATAGTAAGAAAAGCTTAATTCGAATGCAACCGCAAACAGTGATTGGAGGGATAGTATTAAAATTGCATATAATTGCGTATAAAAAGCATATAGTTTTGTTAGCTCTTTAACGATTCGTTGCCCACTTGCTTTGAAGCGTATGTGAAGTCAGAGTTTTTGTAACCAACACAGAATTTGACGAAACCAAGACAGGCATTGTTCTTTAACGTTTATTATACAGGTGCTTGTTGCGTTTCATTCTTCATTCAACGAGTGCTTCTTCGATGAAATGCGAAAGTTCAGAACAATTTTCCTGTTTGTATCGAATAGCTGGGAATTTGATAATATCTAGTCTGTCTAACTATGATTGATCTGAATCGGCGTTGATTTCGAACTCATTTTTTTTCATATTGCAAGCTTGTCACTCTGCTACACTGGGTCGTATATCATTGAGATAAAAAAAAACTAACACTAGTGTATGCTTTATACCTAAATAAATGCAATTCTTCAAAATGAGCTCGGCAAATTTCAAGAGATGCTATGCCAAATGCTACGACTCTCGTGTAAGTTAAATCGACTGATAATTATATTAGAAAAAACGTGAATTAACAATCAATGCAGTCAACTTGTTCAGTTAACCGTAGATCATCTGTCTCGAAATGGGATAGATAACATTGCCTATTATGATTAAAGTGGGTCGCATATGCAAGAGTACAAGTGGACACAGAGTTATGCAAAGCGGAGAAATGGTGCAACTTAAACCGCTAAGAGTAATGCACACTGTCTAATTTCATAAAAATTGCATAGTCCCCTCCGCTAGTATTGTCGCTATATTATAAATCGTATCTATTACGGGCAAAATAAGCGGCTTCGAATTGCTTGTGTCATGTATCCAGCTTTGCACAAATAAAAAGCCCAAATGATTTAACGTCCGAAAACTAACCACAGGAAATACTGAAGTGGCACATTGAAATGTAAAATGGAAGAATTCAGCTTATTTAAGGATCATGCAGTGATTTAGGGTTATGGCAATTCGTAGAAGGAAATTTTCTGATTGCAGGAAAACCCAAGCGTGAACGAGCTAAATCAAAAACAGTCTTATTGTCGTATGGTTTGCCAATTACTGTTACGTGAATTGAATGAAATTGTTTACGAAACATCCTTAACTTTGTAGTTTCTGTACATCAAATTTTCTTAACGTTTTAGCTCACTTTAATATTATAGTATTGGCTATAATAAATTATTCGTTTGTTACAGCCGGTGCCGCAGTCTTAGTTAAACATTCGTCCAGAGGAATGGTCCCTTCCAGTACGAAGTGTGCCTGTGTCCTGTTTCGAATCTAAACAACTTCTCTTTAAGTGTCCTTCAGCTTACTAGGCAAACGCGCCATCCCGACAACAGCTGTAAATTAAATGTTTTACCTCCTATAATAACGCGCTTACTTTTTTGTTATTTCCAGGCCGCGGCAGTGACTCGAGTGGAGATACTTTATGAGACGCACTGTCCCGATTCGCAGCAGATCATGAGGGAAGGCGTCAAAAAGAGTTTGTCTTTGCTTCCCGAGGTGTGTTTATGCGCAGTGGCTTACCGCGTCTAGGTTAGCCTTGTGCGGACGGTCGGTTGATTCTTAATATCATTAGATGAAGCCTCAATATGTACCTAACGCCATGCCTAAGGAATTAACATAACTATATCAAAAATGAAAGATTAAAATATGCCGGGGCCATTCGTATAGACTGCTGCTATTCGCTTTCACAGACTTTGTAATCGATATCGAGCCTTTATCAGTAATTTATTTTCCTTACTTTACAACCTTTAGTGATGATTATAAAGTGCGCAGCTCATCTATGCGCTAGTCATATGACTGACAACTTGGAACTTACGTTTGCTTGATTGTGCTTCAATTTGACGCGTTTGTCTTAGGTGGAGTTTGTACTGGTTCCCTACGGTAAAGCATCTACCAGCGGAGAGGGCCCTTCACTACAATTTCAATGCCAACACGGTGTCAAAGAGTGTAAGTAAACCCAAGTTGCTACGTTGGGTCGACTAGATTTACTGGTTTCATCTACATACAATACATAAAACGGGGCAAATCTGAGAATAGGTTGAAAAAAGAGTGCAACACCAGATTGCTTCCTTTTTTTCTGTTTTTTTTTTGACAGATTTTTGCTTTACCTTTCACATCTATATAAAATACTTCATCCCGCGAATCTCACTTGAATCGAACAATTTTATTAAGTTTAAATGCACTGCTGTAAATATTCATACAAATAGAAATCACTACTAGCACCATTAGTCAGGTACTAAAGAAGAACGGCTAGAGCTTTTTTTGCCCAATAATTTCCCAAGTATTTAAATGATACACCTATTATCATGAAACTGCTTATTATTATGCAAAACGTTATTTACCTTCGTTTTGACTTACTAAGTCGTTGAGAGACCGTTTCGTTGAATGTGTTTCGCTTGTATAGGTTGTGAAAGCACAAGTGTGAGTGATTTGTAGACTGAGTACCCATTATCAACCGCTTGATTGTAAAGATACGATGTTATACCAGACATACACGTCTTTTGTTCGTAGACTTGGTCTCAGGATTGTATTAAAGCATAAGCTCTACAAGGAATTGTAGGAGCTACAGTGACGTTATGGGCTGGCTTATACCAGCGCGTGATTCAACGTAAAATTCTACGACTAACAGCTATGAACATAGGTCACAGTTGGCAACGGAATAGTTTAAAAATTTGTTGAGCCTTCCAAGAACTGAACTTGCTTCTTATCGCGATGTAAAATGCCAATATGATATCAGTACACGTTCCATACAAACTAGATAAAAATACAGGTATGTATGCAAATGAAATATATATGCCATGTTGGAAGCGTGCAACACTAATACTTTGAAAAATTCCCTATTGGAAGCGTACATTTTTTTTCGTTGATACCCTTCGAATATCTAAAGTGCGTAACGAATTTCGGTAGCCTTAAAATTGTCTAGGCGGTACTACTACGATAGGAGCCTATGACGTGCTTGCGTTCTACCCTTCAGCATTACAGCCTCCATATGGCCTATTCTTATGGGATTTATCTTACTCTTTCCTTACTGTGGAGGTATTTCCTTGAAAGAAGCCCTTCTGTAAAAATGTTTTGTGCAGTTTTCCAGATTCGAACCCACGGCATATTACACAAATTCGACATACTATACCAGTCTCGCTATTGCCTGACGCCTGTCGCCAAGAAAAGGCGTACTTTGTGGTTATATATCTATAGTACATAAGTGGACTCCTTGACAGTTCGTGGATAGCTATTCATATGGGATACAATGTCAAGGGCAGAGTTAGATGAAAATGAACTTGGATAAATTAGTGGAATTTTTTCTAAGAATCAAGCCTGGATACCAGCGAATTAGCATACATTGGCCGTTAGAATCCCTGCTAGCCATCCCTATTTCGCCCTGATACATCCAATTGGAAAAGCTTCTCAAATTTAATGAAGGAACGAACGAGCTTCGTTATATAGTGCTAATTAAAAGATCGTATAGTCACGGAGTACGCGACACACACTGCTCGGACGAGTTCTGTAGAATATTCCAAAATGCTGAAGTGTTTCGGGTTTTACGTTCAATACCGATGTTTTAGATTACTTCGAGCGTGTGGCTTCACTATTAGCATGAGACAGGACGTGCCTATACCCGGTTTCAAACCCAAAACCATCTTACGTACCCCTGAGCATAGTAGGTATTTTTAATCTAGGGAAAATTGGTTTATTTCGTCGCCTACGATAACTGAATACTATATCAGGTTCAGATAATTTAATTCTATCTTCACTTATAACTATTCTAAGCTTTTAAGCTATCGGTTTGGACCATAAACTCTCCAACAATATCCCAAATTTCATTCCAGGCGAAGGCAACACCTTCCACGCCTGCGCCATCAAATTGCACCAGAACAAAAAGCAGGTGATCGAATTTGTCATTTGCACGATGAGTTACCGGCAAGACGTGCGGCAAAACATTGAACAGGTAGAAACCATCTATTTAATTTTGTCCTAATGTGTTCCTACTTGTACAAGAGAAACTGTTTAGACATTATTATTCATTTGTTTTTGCCTATCATAATCGGCGTTTTTCGTTCGCACTATCGCAATCACGAGTCTTAGTCCACTGAAATTTTATGCGATTTCTACTCTATTTCGTATCAATTTTTTTTTCAGTGCGCCGCCAAGAACTCTATTAGCTATGAAGTTCTACATGCATGTGCGAAGGGTCAACAGGTGAGTCAAAAAAGACTTAGGGAAATTTTTAAAATAAACAATTTTATTTTTAATTATGTACCTTTGTCAGGTTCGCGGTCATAGTAGATTAATGTGGAGGTGTTATTTACGGACAACAAGCCTCAAATCTAGAGGTACTTTCCACGGCAGTGTAAGACCTTGGCCTGTTATTTCTAAATGCTGTACCCGCTAAGCTTATCCGTCCCTCTATCATAGCCCTAAATGGGTATCTGTCTTAATATTACTTCGATTTGTGGCGCCTACGGTGATTTTTAAAGAAACAAAACTAGGGAGAACGAGAGTTCATTGAGTGGGTTATTTTGCGTTGGATATATGTGCGTGATAGCTCCGATATGAAAATTGCGATTTGAATGACATACGTGTACATCTAAACTCGTGCGAATAAGGGACGATTTATATTTTTTAATGCTAACTTTTCAGGGCAAGGACCTTCTGGCCAAAATGGGTGTAATGACTCAAGCCACTGCGAAGGAAATCAACGGTGGAAGCCAGCTCGATTTTGTGCCGTCCACTCTCATTGATGGAGTATGTATTTTGCCAAATAAGTTTCTGATGAAATATGCATTAACAGAACGGCTGGTGAAAGAATAGGTCGTTATGGGTATTCTATGTTTCAACGATGTTTCGTTCAACGCGCAAGAGTATCGGACTAAGACCTGCCTAAATTTTATCAAAAAATATTTTTTTTAAGAGATTTGGAAATTGCAAATAGTTATAACTCTACACAATGATCTAAATATGTATTTTGATAACCAAGCTGAATGCAAAGAATAAGCGCTAAATATAGATGAACTCAATTGGGTGTAATACATTTTCGTGTAGACCGTTTAGCTTTCCAATATTATTTTCTCACGATACATACTGACACCTTTGCACTAGCTACGTCTAAGCTATTGTCTGCAGTGTTAAAACGTAAAAATAATTAGATTATTTTGTCGTTATTGAACGGTAAACCTGTTCACAGAATACAACTGCTTTTGGGTTAAATTAGCATTTCGCATCAATTCGTTAAAATAACCTCAGAAGAAGCAAGAAAGCTATTGAACCCTATGTTTTTTTATGCGATTCGTTCTTAACAGTTGAGGTAAGTTTTAGGAGCAGAACATAACACACGACCAAGTCTAGTACTATTCACGTGGACGGACCACTTATTCCGTTTTAAAGACGACCTTTTTTTTTTACAATGACACACATTTTATGTCGAACTAGCAGACATTTCATCGTATAATTCTATGGTCACCAAAATTGCTAAGGGGTATAACTTCGATGTTATATGAGAACGGCATAGCTAATCGGTTGCGGAAAAGCGGATCAGGACATTGAATTTAGAGCTGGTCAGCAAATTTTCTCAATGTGGCCTTTAGTCGAAGACCGAGGGACTAGGATTTTTGTACTTGAAACGTATCTGAACTAAAGCTGTTTATTGTTTAATGATTATGTGAACGTCTAAAACGTTGCCTAAGGCATCATTTTTGACTCAGATAAATATGCTAAGGTTTGTCGTTCTGTTCACCCTCAAAATTGTGTTTCTAATGGTGATCGGGTATCATGGCAATTCGTTCATACTATTCAATACCATACGTTAAATTAACATTTGAAAGGTACAGATTTTCTAGCGCTTCAGATTTATCTAGCGTCCGCTAGGCAATTAACGACAATTTATAGCTGCAAATTCGCTACAAGCCAATGTTTTACCTCTGTCTCGTTTTAGTTGAGTTGTCCAGATTATTCCATTATGGATTCTTCTGTTAGTTGCTGGATAGTTGCTAAATATCATTATATGGTAATAAGATGTTCTGCGTTCAGTTAATGTCAGTCAATGTTACTAACAATCAGCTGTGAATGTTAACGTTTGTACTGTAACTATAGATTAGACTACTATCTAAAACTTTACAATTTGTAAGCGCCATATACAACGCCACTAATCTCTAGTTTTTTGCTTACAACAATAAGTTTTTACTTTATTTGAATATGTATCATTTGTTAATATCGAAGCATACGCCCTACACCCCAGATCTGGCTTCTCAGTATGCAGCACTTGCGAGATGCGGGTAACAGTGAGGCTTTTCAGCCCCCGCAGGTTGCTCGTGGAAAGCCTGGTAGTAATGATCGAATACTGTGAAGCATTAGCGGCAGTTAAACATCTGAAGGCGCTTGCTGCCTCAAGTAATTTGATTCATTTCATTGTTTGGGTTTTTCTTTGAATTATTATTGCCTGTTCATGTATGACATATTATGATTTGAAGAGAATAATTACATATTACTTTCTTATTCAAGCGACTGGGAAAGAACATAACCCAAAATGACTGAGCTTAAAATTTGGCAAGCTGATCTGTTTGTTTGAAACGCGATCCACATATATATATATATATATATATATATATATGAGTGACAGAGAGAGAGAGAGCATTTTGTTAGTGTAAAGCATAGAATGTAGGTGGTTGTTTTGAAACTTTATATATTAACCAATGCATGCATTTTTGGTATACTTGTTTTAAATTATGATACTAATATTTCTCTTTTTCTTTTAAAAATCCCTATTAAGGAGCCGTTCATCTTCGAAGCGTACAATGATCTCTATAAAACAATTTGTGTTCGTGCCAAGCAGAAGCCCTCAAGGTGCTGAGTAAATCTAATTACGCCGCAGACTAGAACCTCACTGCACTCTGAGCATTACATCGTGCTATTATCCTTCGCTAGATATATATATATATATATATAATAGGTAACGGATCAAAATTTTATTTTTTATCCGGGCAGTAAAAGTCAAGAAACAAGGGAAAGACACAAACTACCTAGTAGCAAGAAAAAATGTTAGACTTCATTATTCCATCTTTGATAAAGTGTCATTCTCTTTCAACAAGAGTTTCGTTTACAGCTAGATCTGTTTCACCCGTCATGAATTATTGGTGTGAGTCAAGGTACAACTTCTTCATCACAATTATCCAACTGGCCGGTGAATTTTTTACTGATGAACAACGGAACTGTTACACTTGTATATCAACTTGCATGTATAAATGAACCAATAGGAAGAGTCAAATCTCCAGTGTATTTTTATCGACTAGCAAGCGGCTGCTAGGCTTTTTGAATATAGCTATTCTGTTAGTGTATTTAGCTCGGCTATGGGCTCAACAGAAACGCCAAATTATGTGAATGCATATATGCGATATTGCTACTGTCTATACCATAATGATAATAATTATGACAGCTTCTTGCCAATATAAATAAAATAGGCGACCATTAATTAGTAGGTACGCGTATGCTAAAAGGGAATGAACGTTAATTAGCCAATGAATTCTACGAAACAGGCACACAGTTACACTGCTAGAATAAGGATGTACCCAATGCAAGATAGCCGTTGTCAAAGCATTTTCCGTGGACGCAATTTTTATTACATCCTTCTAATGTATATTTATATATATATATATGATGTAAGTTAAGGGACCTGAAGAGCTCCTGGAAATAATCGATAAAGTTAAAACTGTTGACAGGTAAAAAGGGTTGTTGATTATAAAATAATAATAGTAAAGTAGTATTATTAGTATATAATAATGTGCAGCGAAGCATTTAGGGTAAAATACCTGTGTACAATATAAAGAATTAAATAAACGAGCAATTTAAGCCGACATTGATTTTAATTTAAAGGATACAAACATTAGAAAATACAAGAAACGTTTTCAATACTATTTAAATCGTTGAAAAAAACGACAGAATTAGGTTAATTTATAATATGTCAAATAACGGATATTTCAGTAAAGAAGCACAACTGAATATAGATTAACTATTACTTCTACGAAGCCAGTGGCCGTTTAAAATGCGAGGCTTGCGACTGGAAAACAAATGTGTCCTGCTAACTCCATCAAAGGGCACTTGAGCGTACATATTTTGTAGAATGTAAAACGGGACGGTTCTAGTGAACAAATAACCGAGTTCGAAATAAGGGGTACTTCAGAGGACTGGAGTAAGAATGGAAAAAGAGTAAGATAATGTGTAATAGAGAAAAAAAAGCTATGTGCATATCGGTACAGATATATGTTCTTAATAAAGAAAAGAAGGATGCGAAAATTTAAGCCATAAAAAATGTCTTTTTGCTTACCATTTCTAGCGTATATATATACGTAGTACACTAGGTAACCACTCATTTAAAAAAAATAGCTGAACATATTGAGACAGGCTAAAGAAGAAACTACATAAGGGAAACAAATACGTTGAGCACAATAATTGCGATGAGATAACTGTTATCGTGTGTTCGACCCTTTGATCTTCGTTAGCCTGGGGAGAAAATCTTTTAACGCCAAAATAGGCGTGGGGGAGGCCGCAGTTCGTCCTGTACTTCTATTATTATCGGCCTAAAAATATATTTGTTGTAAAGTATAAAACAATATAAGTCATTTAGTATGAAACGTAACGATTATGAATCTCATGTTTTAGCATGACGATATTTTCGAACGGTGCGACACAGCTTTTGTATTAGAGATATACTCATACTTTTCGAAAATTTTAAAAAAAATCGAAATCGAAAAAAGTTCCAAATTTAATCCAATCCTTCATAGTTATGGCACAGGTTACGTTGAACAGTGTTGTGTGTTAATTTTTGGTAGGTATAAGTGGAGGCCTATATATTCTTATATTTAACAATTTACAGGCGACTTATATCGCAACATATAGATTTAGTAACTTTATACAGGTAAAATACAAGAAGAACAACATGATCGAGGGTTAGTCAAAATACACACAGGCTTCGATGAACGACTTGTGATTTATTTCTTTACAGTTGCACCCATCTATATTAGCAGTCTGCTATACAACGTAATTAAAAAGGATCATCGGCGCTTTGGAAAAAGACAGCCATGATTATTATTGACATCTGCCTTATGGCAATGCCACACTCGGCACGGTATTGCATGCTGAGAAGAAATATGAATTTCTCGATGAATTCAAATATTTTTTTCCGCTTCACGTAACTGTTTCTCCTTTTCCCTGAGATGCGTATTAATATCAATCCTTGAAGTTAAATAGAAGACATTACTTCCTTGAACATATTGACGGTAAACGCTTGCACCAAGTCTCAACGATTTTATTTCGGCCTGCTGAACTTCAAGGATTTGGCGTTCACGATTCAGTTCCTTAACATCCATAGCATGCAAGAAATACGTGAAAAAGTAGTCGATGACCTCAAGTGACAAATGTGTATTTAACAATGTATCCTCACTTTTCACCTCACAAAAATGCCACGTCAATTAAGCACTTCAGAAAAGGAGCTTAACTGTGTTCAGTATGGGCTTACTGTGGCGGTACAGTGGAAGATAGAGTAAATGCTTGGTATATATTATTTTTAAATCGAGGTTTTTGTGATAGAAGTTTCATCGTGAAAAAGCACCTCGAACAATCGGTGCAATCCGTGAATATCAGAATGACGGATCGTTTTTCCTTAACAGCGAATTCGATGCTTCTATGCATAAATAGACATTATTCGTTAAATAGCCTGATTGATTTGTTTACTAATAAAGGATCAATTTTAGCACAACCTTCTTCATGTGCTGCATTTTCCTTTCGTCAGTAAGATAATATCACCAGAATTAGCCATTCTATTACGACATTATTCTCAGCTCTATCCAGGTGATTAAAGCCACATCAAATTGTCAGCTCCAAATAATGGAATGGTAGCAGAAACGTTTTTAGGTAACACTTGTCGCGCACACTACTCCGTACCGTCCACACCGGCGGATCTTTGCAGACTTGATATTCAGATCAATATAAACACAGCCACATGTATTTCAGAAGGATCGTATCTGTTCTATAATAAAGGCAACACTGTGCGCGGTCGTTTCGGACCGGTTTCGAATGTTAAATAGTAGTGGTAACAATCCACTTAAATATCTCTGGATAACCAGTCTTATTCTAATTTGATAGATTCACCATTCGATTTTACCGTAAAAAATTGTAAGAAGAGATTTTTTTGGAGATTTCATTGAAGTGTAGCGAATGTAGATGTTTGTGACATAAAATGCACTTTGAAATGTTGTATTTAATATGGCGCAAATGAATTTCCTTTATTGAACACCTTGGTAGGTTTTACTTAGTAAACGACTGTTGTTTTTACCACTTGATTTTCTTGTATGTAATTGAAAAATGCTTTGCGTATACCAGCTTTCATATTCGTGTACACACGGTTCCGTAGTCCGGGCACGTTCCTACTAAGAATGATATTTTAATTAAAAACATAATACATAAATATATTCACCAAATATTCTTTGATCCAGTGATTCACTGATGTTCCCTACCTTATTGATTATTATTACCTTATTCTTTAACAAATAAGGAAAGAACGCGATAAATTTTTAGTGTTTTTCTGCCGACAGTGAAGAACTAACATAAACTTTGCACTTTTAATCCGTTGTATTCTAATTTGAGGAAAAAGTCGGGACTGCGGCGTGGACCAGTGCAGCGCCACACTGAGAACAGTCAGTTTTTCACCTGCTACGTGCTCTTTGATTGTGGCTTAAGGTCACTGTTATTTTCAAGATGTTGCGGCAAACGTTCTATCGAGCCATACTCATGGAAAAGGCAAAACTAGGAACCAGAAGGGCTAATGCCTTGTTCGAGGTTCCAGTTCGGTATACTCGTACATTTCGTTACCCTAAAGTCACCTATCTGCCATTTGACTGGGATTACCCCCCAAAGAAGGACTACATAGATCTTTCTGGAGATCGGACCATGGATATCGGGTTCACTAAGGACGTCTTGAAGCGGCCCAAACTTCCGTTCTCGCGGTTACCTGAAATAGACGAGTGAGTACTATTAGTTAGTGTAGCGGCAACTCACAGCCAGCAGTTACTGATAGACAAAGATACAGATACGTATGCTTCCTACAAGCCAAAAATTTGCCTAGAGCTATATGTACGTTATTATTACCACTGTTATTAATAATATTAGTTTATGTTAAGGTGACCCAAAAGAAAAGTGAATGGGTTATAAATTGAAAACACAGCATAATGACAGTCTTCTTTTTATTTCTTTGTGAAATCTGTTTCTTATTTGATTATTCATCGAGTATCTAGCTTAAACTGCTAAATGTTAACATCTATTGAAAACGTTTATTGGTTTCAGAGCCCCCGAAGAGATGAAGAAGATTTTCAGCGTTGAATTCGCATCCTACAGTGACCAAAGAAAGTCTATAAAAGACGAGTTCTTGAATCGAGTCCGGCGACACCCATACGATACTGAATCGTTTGAGTATAAAAGTGAATCGTTACTTTTACTTTTTTTGACATTTTTTCAGCTAATAATTATTTTGTTCTGCATACTTTTCAATTTACAAACTTTATCAGTGAGTGATGGTGAACTGGGATTCGACTGTATTTGTCAGAATCTGTCCTGCAGAGGTGCGATAATTATGCTATGGTATCATGAAAAAGGGAAATATCTCTCAAATTAAAAACAAAAAATAAATTAAGCTTTAGATATTACTTGGTCTATTTGTTTGCATTGTATAGAGTAATTTTGTTGTAATGCTGACCAAAGTATGATATGATCTGATCTGATCAATATCGGATAAGTAAACATGTTAAGCATAGACTAATAAATACAGGGCAGGTTATCCAGTATTATAGATCACCCGTTCGAGATTAATCATATTTGGTGAAGTTGCTTCAGCCTTCTTACATATCTCGCTTATATGTACGGAACAGATAGAATCGGGGCAAGATTTCTGACGCGATTAAATGTTTGTTTTCGTTGACGTCTACCTAGTCTCCTTGGTAAGGGCGATGGATAATTGAATAATTTAAAGTATAATTATAATAGTGACAAGGATTTGGCAAATAAAATTATTATAATGTCTGATTTCCACATGTATACGTTTCTTGAGAAAGCCAAAATCAATATTTTGTATGCGCTAGTAACTTTTTGTAATTTCTACTTACAGTCGCAAGGGACACCTTCTTTATACGCTCGTTTAAGGAGGTCTATAAGACATCATTCAAAAAGTCAAAGGTCTGGAAAGTCAAGTTGTTAGAGGCAATCAGCCGTCGCAATAAGCAGTTGAAGCAACTGGGACGATATGACTTCGAGAGGTAAGACAAACGATAAAAACTGTGGGTAAATACAAATCAACGGGATCCTTACACCTTTAATATCTAAACAACCTAAGAGACACAGATATTAGGGCATAGTTTTCAGCCATTGTAAACATTTTCGCTATTGTATTTATCTAAAATCTTTGAGCTTAGTTTAGAGTATATTACGTAAAAGAGTAGATAGTGCGCAGCATGTTACTTAAACCTTGGTTAGGCTATAACAACATGACTGATGAGATTCTTTATTAAGTAATTAGCAGTTAGTAAAAAACATTACTAATAATTCTAAAATAGGCATTTATGTATGTATTACTTTTATGCATGTACGTAAATCTCTGTGAAGTACTTGATTAAAGAATAGGCGCCGCCCAAAAAACCCGGGAACTTGTGTAAGAGTCCGATGAACATAATCCGAGTGACAGACACTTATTTAAGTGACGAAATTTATAGGTCCTCATAAGGTAATCATATATAAGGTGACTCATTATTTCACTTCGAACTTGAGAAGAATCGCTTTATGTGAGTGGGTCTATATGTCTTCGACTTCGTTTTCGAGGACGACTGAATTCTTGCTACTAATATACAATAAAGTAGCCTACACCATACAGAATACAGTAAAAATCCCTCGAAGATGTCAAAAACGGCATTTCAGTAGTATGAAAAATGTTCTTTGTATTTTACTTTATTTTTTAGCTATTCGGAGACTTTTTTTCGAACAATTCATAGACTTGCCTAACCCTCAATAGTAGTACAAAGTATTTTGTAAGTAGTTTGGCCTACAAGTATCATAGAACTTCGCCTTGTTTTCGTCTTGCACAGGTACGAGTTTGTAAAGCAAGTACTGGAAATTGAGCACTCGTATGCGCCTTTAGAAAGAACAGCTCCTAAGGTTACTCGCAAAAGCGAGCTTCGACGACTGACAACCGAGCATGCCGAGAAGGTACGATTACAGAATAGAAATGGAAAGTGCTATCTATTAAAAACGATAGTAGCATGCTTTTTGTCCTCTGATATGTTCGTACGGCCGTGGAACAGTGAACCGTCCTATCACGCGTGGCGGTATTTTGTCTGACATCTCAGCCAGACGCAATTGAGAGAGAGTCCCCCTCTGGACGGAACTTCTTGGCGGGTACTTTAATTTTATTATTGTGATTCTTATATAAGGTCTTAGTTGGGCATAAAAATTTGAAAAAAGTTTTATACAAACTAAAAAAGGCTGAAAGCGCCACACGGATCGTCTTTTACGTAATCGTGAATATGACGCCAGCTTTCAAGGTTGCTCGCAAAGATTTCGACACTCTCGAGACAGCTGGTGGTCGGCATGATCTAGCGCATGGCTATATACCCGCAAGCCACAAATATGCGAAAGCTAAAATCTAATAAAAGGTTCAAACAAGAACGTAAGAGGAAGGCGACCGTCTGGGACGCTGCTGAACCAATATAGAAAAAAAAACGATCACTAGCAATCTTAATAACTGAACCCGGCAACAAATCCGTGATCTTGGTTGCGTCTCTATGCGAAATCGCAATAATATGCAAATGGTTTCAATAGCGTTGAAAAGAAAGGGCATATGACTGACGTTTAGCGAGGGTGCAAGTCCCACACAGTAGCTATGCCTAGGGCTTGGAGTTCGTTATTTTGTACTTAGTATTATTATTATTATATAATTTTCTACATATTTCAGCACGTGCTAGAAAGGTTTGAAAATTCTTTGAATAGATAAAATGTACAATTAATGTTTCCAGGCTACCTTGTTTAAAAGTTTTAGATAAAATACTTTCTAGTAATTTATTCGTTACATTAGACACACCGTTACCGTTGTTTGTTGTTTTACAGATTAAGCAGGACAAACTTACGGCTTATCACGAAAAACTTAAGATTCTCCAGAAGGAGTTCGAGGTCGAAAAACGTGAAGCCGAGGAGTTCATTGTAAGAGAGATTGCGGAATTAAAACTAACTGATGAAGAGGTTAAGAGCCTTGAATATGAAAGAAAGATATTTTAGTGAAACAGCGACGCTGCACATTATTACTGTTGCTTCGCTAACCTTTTATGTTTAAACGCTATTTTTGTGTAAACAGCTAATTTGATATTAGATTGATGAACTTCAATATTTAAATCATAGATTCTTGTAGATTATATCTTCATTTGTCTTCGATTGTAAGTGGGTTTCCTCAGATTTGAAAATAAATGTCTCCTCATTTTACAAGTCGCAATTCGGACTGCTTTTATTTATCGCAAAAAAGCTACCGCAGTTACTAAACGCGAGAGTGTCTTTTATATTAGATAGCTTTAATCGTATAATGTTTGAACATAAATAATGGACCAGGAATAGTTGGAAATGTTTCTTTTCAAATTATTTTATTTATTATCACTTAGCTTAGTGGTTATTGGTCGACACGGCACCTAGGGCCGCCCGCTCGGGTCATTGCTGTGTTTTAAATTGATCCAGCATAATTAAGCTCTCACAATGAAAATAGACCTGAAATTAAACGCTTGATTTTGAAAATCCATATATGAATTTGCGATAACTGTGGAACACGTGTTTCTATATTTTCTGATTAGCTATCATTGACCTACCCTCTATTCGATCATAGCCGAGGTATGCAACAGGCCAAATACGAAATTGGGTAGTAAATGACTTAATGAATCTTGTACGGTATTCTTTATTTTTATTTTACACAAGAAAAGTATTTCTATTTCACAATAGAATCAGCGCTTATTATCGCTTAAATAATTATAAAAAATTCATTATTTATAAGAGGCGACCTCCATAAGAACACGTGTAGTTATGTATCGTATAATGTTCGTAAGCGGGGAAAATAATGCGGTACAGCGGACGATTTAATCTCGTGTTTCTCGCTACAGTATTGATTGCAATCTGAACTCCGTTATAAATTGCTACTGCCGATAATATGCAATACCTTTCATTGTTTTATGAGGCGCAAATTTACAAGTTAGTTTCTACGAGAGTGAAGTGACAATGTTGTTTTATTCATCTAAATGTTGTTATTATCCAATTTTTGTTTCTGTAATTTGTGGTTACGGGTTCGGCTGTGCGCTACTACTTTCATTACTTCCATGGTCTGTTTTATGGTTAAATATTACTAACGTTTGAGACAGCACATTATTGTTACTCAACTAAATAATATTCTGGATCTTCGCTCGATGATACTTGCTCGGCGCGACTGCTGTGCGCGCTGTAGTCTGTTATTTTCTCGTGCCTTTTTTCTTTAGTACTGCGTGAGCTTTGTGATCCTTTGTGAAGCAATTTTTTATGAAGTTTTACTAAAAAAAAGTAGTTTTCACAATACACCGTTACTGTAGTACGTGATACTTGATCAAGTGTGGTGACAGATTTGATGACTGACAGGGACAATTATTTTCAGTAGAAGAATGTAAAACGGAAATGTATATATATATATATATAGTTTGTTGGAGTTTCGAGGTAACATATTACCGTCCGAATGCAGCTTTACTAAATTTTTGATGGAAATTTTGTCATCTGCTTATGTATATTCTGCTTGATTTTTTTTTTGTTTTATCGGATACATCATAGGAGCCTCAAATTCTACATAAAACATCTCCTGGAAACTACACCTGACACGAAAGAATGCCGACATGTGATCTCTACATAAGATATGTCGATGTTTTTCAGTGATCATCTACCACTTTCATCGACCCAAAATGCGTAAATCATCATATGTAACAATTACGGTTCATCAATAGTATCCATTACATATCCGCTGACAATTTTTATCTATCAAATCGTAGAGATCTGTGATACACACAAATATCTGTGTGTTTGTTATGCAGAAATCCTTTCTGTGGTAGAAGTAACCATGGTTGAAGCGATTCTATGGGTCGTTCGGCTGCATAGCGTTGATCTTCAATTTATGTCATGTCTCTGTTTCATATCTGGGACACTCCCCTCTCGAAGAGTTTCCCGCAACTGATGAATTTCTGCAGTGAGGTCACCTAGCATTGCCGTGTCTGCAAAGCAAAGCACATGATAGCACAATTCAGAAGAGCAGTCTTTTACTTACGTTTAGGTTAAGTTCGCCCTCTACCTGACACTGCACCATTTAAGCACTTGTACTTATATATCGTCTGCTCTAAATTGAGGCAGCTCATATACGCCGGTCTATCAAATAAATTTTGAATCTAGACAAAATACTTTGTTGGATTGGACGTGGAGGGTGGGTCGCATGACTTCAGCAAAACGCAGCTTGAGTACGTATGTTCTCGGAAAATATAGCAATCTTTGAAAATTGCTTACCAAAACCTTGGTAAACGATTACTTTAAAACAAAAACCTATGGATAGCAAAAGGACATTTAGTAGAAACCGTCAAAACACCATCGTGTCGTCGCGTAATGCACAAATGCAGCATTTCGCCTTTGAAATCTTCTAAACAATTTCCTCTTTAAATTGGGCTTCGGTATTTTATTACACTTAGTTGACGTTCCTATGGTCTTTCATTGAAAGTGATAATTAAGCATTGCTTCCCCATTAAGAAAAGTAAAAACCAAAATTAATTACAAACTTCATCAAATCTATTGTTTACTGACGAATGACATCAAAGACGTATTTTAAGAATATAAATGTATAGGAATTATCCGAAAAAAGTAAATCTGACTAACGTCATTAAATCTTTTTTAATTGCTCATAATTTAACTAAAAGATGTAAAAATTGCTTACTGCGTGCGATTGCTACGACCAGTTGTTTGACAGTGGTATGTAAGCTGCCTCCACGGTTGAAAAGATGCCCAGCAAGCGACACTTCTGAAAAACAAAAAAAAAATAAATTACTGACACTATTGAATGATACCAACGTACTGTGAATACAACCCCAAAGCTAATGCCTTTACCGTACAAAAATATCGGACATGGACTGATAATGATTTCGAGTGACCTCAATTGTTTGCGCTTGTTAAGATGTTGAAGTAGCTATAAAACAAAAAAACATGTTCAAAAAGCTCTTCATATGTAGGAGGTGAATTTGCAGTTTTCAGATATCAAGACAACATCCACGCATATACGTTAGTAACGTAATTTAGATACTATAGAGGTAGTGTCAAACGCTGCAGCCTTACGGGATCAATATTAAACGCTAAGGACCTGTAGCTTATGGCGTTTGCGTTGAAACGAATGGAAAATAACCAATTATAAATTTAAATAGGGGTTTAGTACTTACCACTTTCATCGGAACTATCCTCACGGACAGCTTTATTCTGCCTTCGCAGTTTCATAGACGCCTTGCGCTGCGCAGTCTTTTTAGCTGCAGAGAGTCTCTTCGACTTTCTGTTCTTCCTATAATGTTTGGCACTTATACCTAATGGGATAGGGGCAAGGACAGAAAACGCTTGAAACAATTAGAGTTAGATTGTTCACTCATTCCCCGAAAGCGCACTTACACACAGTTAACTACTCTGCCCCCATACAAAAATGATTGTTCCACAAACAAATATTTGATGATTTGTAAAAACTGGTTTCGTTTTCCGCAGAACCATATAAACATCCTAAAATAGCTTAAACCTACTTACGTGCTACGAACGCTTCATCATCTGAAGGTTCGGGTGTTTCACGATCGCTCTCCTCAGATCGATTTTCTACTGTTGCGAATGCTTGAGTTCGAGTACTTCTTCGAAGTTGTCCAAATGACTTTGGCACTTCCGCCTTAACCGTGACTATATTCATGGCTTCGCTAGAACTCAAAAGGTCAGCGTCGTCTTTACAATCGCTATCGCTATTATTGGTCTGGTTGGATCCCTTGCCGTCGTCTAACTCGTAGTTTTCCCCCTGGTTCGGCTTCGGTTTGGCTGTCTTCTCGTCTACATTATGAATGCTGGTAACCTTGCTTTTAGATGTTCTTCCCGGTGCTGAGATTGACTTCGCTTCACTAACAAGCGCAGCCGTAAGCTTACGATTTGCCTCAAAGTTGTTCGATTCGTCACTCAGTTGTTCTTCATTATGGTCTTGCTCCTCTGTCGCTTTTTTGCTTACGTTCGACTTTGCCTGTTCTCCATCTTCATCTTCATCAATGGCAAGCTTCCCGTTATCCTTTGTAGCTTCTACCGCTTTATCCTTTTCACTGCTCGTGCCAGACGTGCCTTTCTGGGGTCGCCAACGAAGCTTCTTGGTTGCTGGGGTGGATTTCTTATGATCCGGTTTGGCCGTCTCGATTTGACTTCGGCCGCCATGTTCGCTGTTTTGTTGGGCACCTTCGTTGTCAGCTTGTTCATCGTGTGGTTTTCCGTTCGTTGACTTGCGCTTCGCTATGGTTTCGCCATCGCTGACAACGTTTGAGCTGTTCTTTTCATTTCCGGAAGTGTTAACAGTAGACTTATCTTTCGCAAGACGTCCTCGACCCCTCCGGGGTGTGGGTACAGCCTTAGTAGTGCCGTCTGCCTCAGTTACCGTCTTCTGACGAGCGGCGCCTGCTAAGACCATTGTACGATACAATAGATAAGGCTATCGTATGTTAAAGTATCACAGAAATGAAAACAGAACACGCTAACGACATTCAAATTAAAGCGAGCATTTGAATTGCGTCTTATTTCAGAACAAATTGCACAAGAGTAAACGTATAAAGCCTGTATACTACAAATAACTGTAACACGTGTTACAGAAATAACGAGCAAATAAATTGACTTGTGCTGCCTGGACGTTGGAAAAGATGGTACAAAAGCAAACTTCACTAATATAATATAATATAATAACTTTAATAATAAAATATAAGAATAACTAGTTGTACATGACACATAATGTGTCACCAAGCAAACCATGCCTGGCATTCAAGGCCAAATAATCCGCGTTATCCGCCGTACACATTCGGAAACACTAACATAGATATTTTTCATGCTATAGACTCACGTTTGGCAGTCAGCGGGTCCTCTTCGGCATCCACAGATAGCTGTGCGTTCTTGCTATGTCCGCCGGCTGCCAGCCCTGTTATACATAACGAGTTTGAATGGCATTGAAATTAGTAGACTACTCGGAATCCTTTACTAATATAACATGAGATTTATGTGGATATAATCACCATATAGCTACCCGAATTTGTATCATACCTTCTAAGAAACAAAATAGGCATGTTCTACGTGAAGTCACGTGTGTCGTCAACCAAGATTTTGTAAATTTAGCAGGAAAGAAATGATTCGAATACATATTTACTCTATTTTTCACCCACGCCGGTCTCAGTGCTAAACGCTTCGAATTTTATGTCGGATTTTACCGCATAAGCTGAACATTACCTCGGAGCACTGGCTCCTTTTAGCAGCACGAAACGAACCCTGCTTGTCTGTTTATGCTACGTTAAGATACCCAGATGTCGCCTTATAACAAATATTCTTAGGGGCTACTAATGCAGCGTCAGCCCTCTCTAGTGAACCGAGAAAGCGTTTAGTAGTCAGTTGTTTGTTCTGTTAAAATTTGCCTCGACTTATGACAACATTAAATGTCCCCTAAGCAGAATCTAGTTATCTATGCATTCTGAAGCAAAGTCAACCAACGTACGTTTGGTTGAAGGTTCGTGTTCTTCTTTCTCGGAGCCTGTGGGCCCCGGTGAACTCTTCCGGGCACGTTTTTCACCTGAGAAAGTACCGCAGACGATGGAAGACTTGCTATATTAATAATCTCTTATCAATATACCGTGTGTAAACGTATATAGTGAGATAGTATGTGTAGTTCCAAAGGTGGAACTCTGCAGTTACAACACAAAATTCAGTCAGCTACGAAGAAAAAGTTATTTACAATTGTAGCAGTACTAACTCTGCGTAGGAATCTACTTATTTTTTCTACTGAAAACCGACTTTTGTAATTATTTGCCTACATATTTCCCCATTGTATTCTGTCCCTAGATTTGTAATCCAACAGAATTTTGTTGAACTGTTTCGTTCACGAGCAACTACCTTAGAAGAAATGACGAACTTCGAACAGGGCCAACACTGGAATCTTGTTTAAAAACCGTTTATAACCAACTTCACTTTATTTTTTTACCTCACTTTTCACCTCGTTTTAAAAGCACATGCTTTTTCTCCTCGTGTATTTGTGAAAAGCCGATGTCATTAAATAGAGAACCATTTCATCAACACTGCACTCGAAGAAGGGCTGTACTATTTTGTAACCGCAACACAGTACACGTCAATTCCTATGGTTCGAATAGGGAATATGATCTAGTTATCGTTTATATCGAGCGTACTTTCCTTATGCGCGCTTTGTCCTGACCGCCTATAAGCCTCTCGTCCTGTCAGAAACTACCAAATTCTTTAAATATGTGCTTATGATTGACAATTACTATTTTCAATATGAATTGATGAAAGAAGACGCCCCCAGCTAGCCCCAGCTAGAAACCTGCTAAAGCCGTCTTTTTAGCCTGTCTTCGTTTTTCTTGTTCTGGTGCTTAGAATACAAAATAAATTGGTGTAAAGACAGGAGAACCTTTTGGTATAAACAATGATTTAAAGTATATTGTCGACGTTTTTGGAGGACGTTTGCACATAATACGAGGCATCCTATCAATGATCAAATGATCATAGCAAAAGCGATTACCTTTCACATAGAGCAATTTTTTCAAAAGCCTGACACTAGATCGAACTATATACAACACATATATAAATGTGTACAACCATAAATGTCATGAAACGTCACACCTGAATATGTACAGCACAGTTTGGTATCGAAATAACGTAGCTCATACAGAAAGCTTCAATGAAGTCATTGAAAACAAATAGATATAGAAATTGAATTTATATTATAATATTTGCTGTCTGAACGGTAGTGCCACCTGCGACAAAACAAGAAATACGAATAAGTGGAAAGCGACATTTTGAAGAGAATGTTTAATGTACTTGGGAGCTACAACTCACGTAAACAAACAACAAGAAAACATAAGACCTGTATAGAGGAATAGAAGCAAAAAACAAAATACTGTATTGTCCCATGCAGTGATAAACATTGTCAAGCGAACCCACACTTCAGGCAAACGACAAAGTCAAGAATATGACTCTGCTGGTAACTTAGTCATACGGGTTTCTGTTTTCAAGGCTGAAAACCATTAATTCGATTGCCCAGGGCTTAGGACGCTGAGTATAAAGTTGCTGTGACGTTAAAAAAATAATGGCTTAATATTTACTAATGCATTCGCAGTTAGCAAATGTAAACCCACTTTCTCTTAATTGCATACAGACTTCTTGATATCCCCTGAGAATTACTCGTCAAAATCATGATTTATAATTGGGTAATAAAACATGGATGAAAATATTGTTCCATATAATGCAACACAGAAAATCCATCCTAAAACCCCAGAACGGCTGACGGCAACTAAAACAAAACACGTACATGTCGGTTCAAACACGAGTGAAGGTGACCTACTTCTCCCTGAAGACTTGGTGGCCATCGAACTAGCTGGAGCTGTCTTGCGACCTGACGGCGTTCGACGACCCTCATTAACATCCATTTCCGAATGGCTGTCGTTCTCAAGATCCTTCTCGACATCGCTATGAGTTCCGTCTTCGGTTGCACCCTTTTTTCTGTTTCCATTGCTGCTGTTGGTTCGTTTTCTTGTCAAGTCAAAATTCGTCCTTCTCCCTGACACGTCGTTGGCGACCTCAACACGCTCATCCATGTCGCTCTGCGACCCACCGCTGATCGCCAATTTTTTACGGCTCTTAGTGGTTGCGCTTGTCGTTGAGTTGTTATCGTTGTCATTTTTCTTGCTGTTGCCATGCTGGGTCAGCTTAAGCAGAGCTTCGAATTTGTCCTGCTTAGGACCCGGCTTTACCCTTTTTGAGTCTGAGATACAAAAAGAGAGTTTTACGGTTGGATGGAATCGTATGTATAGGTATGTATAACTGGTAAATACTATGGCTACGTATAGACTTGTGTTAGTTTTGTAGAGGATCTGTGTGTTTAGAAAATGTTGACGGTGCTGCAGAAGAGAGAGCTTTTATGAAATTTCAAAGTTTTGTTTCGCCGAAGCGTATCTAAGCAAGATCAAAAGTCTTCAGTTCTTTGAGCGACTGTGTGCATCTGTGTCTGTATACAGGTTCCAACTAATATCTAACTAAAAGTATCATTATATATGCGAATATAACGTGAAGAATTTTAGCATGTATTGAAGAAGATATTTTATAGCGACCTCGTAATGAATAATCACCAACTTTCTTTGATGTTCTATTCTAGCTGCGTGAAACGAAACTGAGTGAGCCTCACCATATACTAAACTAACACGACTCTTATAGCCGCGATATACTATCCATTATCCTATTTGTCACGTGATATCGGTAGCGTATACTTTGTAGACAAAAAGAGTTTTGCTTCCTCATTAGACATTTACCTGTTGTGTCACTATCAGACCCAAACAGTGGCGATAGTTCCCGTTCCCGGCATGAAAATTTTCGCGCGCTTTTCAAATCTACAAGTACAGACCGCATAATCAGAAAGGAATAACAACAACAACAGCTGGTAAAAATGGAGAATCTTGTGGTTTAAATCAAGTTCGATGTTCATCGGATTCGATAATTAAACAACGATCCAAAGAAACTTGCTAGCATTATCCAATTGACAGATATCAGCTATTCAAGTTATTGACGACTACAGCAGCAGTGCAGTTGAAGCAGTTATTACATGTTTTCAATAACAGAAAATCTTTACACGTACCGTTATACTAAGATACCCTCAACTTTATTCCAAATGACTTATTAAAATTGTTATTATATTGGCCTTAAACATGTATCGCAAAGCTCTGTTTTAATATATTGATTCAAAGACAAAGTCTTAATTAGGTTTTACAATAGTCAATGTACTACGAAATGTGATAATAATATTAATAATAATAATGTGTAGTATACTATATCGTTTAAATTCAAAACTCTCGCCCGCTCACTATATACACACATGTGCATATAAACATTTGGCAGTACACTTCGTCAATTCGCATTAAGAAGAACAGATTGTAAATAGTATCACCATGAATTAAGTTTTTCGGGTCTATATACGCTATTAGTCCTTTTGTTACAATGCTTTCAGCGTTTTTTAAAAGTAAGGTACTATGAATTGAATAGCGTGCACGATTGCTTTTTGTTGAATGATTACTTACCCCCGTCGCTGTCGGATTCAAACATATTACCAAGTCAGTCGTGTAAAGTACGCTATTGAAATACGAACACTGGATCACTATTGCCTGCGCTCACGAACCAAACCAGTCCCGATAGCCCGTCTTCAGAAGACGCGAGACGCTCTGATCTGGGAGTGAATTGGAAGTCCGATTTATTGTTGGTCAGGCTAAGGTGGCATCATGTCATACCCATAGACTTGATGATCGATTTACCGTCACTAGAAACAAGTTGCACATAAGGTTTATAAGCAGGGCAGGTTGTAGCTTCGCTGCTGATTGTGTCATTTATCAGAAGTAAACTATGCTGGCGTGCAATAGTAGCTCTGCACTGGTGCTAATCGGCCATGTAAACTTGTGTTTGGGACAAGCGGTGGCCCCCAATTCATGGAGCATAGAGAGAGAGAGAGAGAGAAAGATACACTCCACGCATCAACCTCTCTCGTCGCTGCTGAAAAGGTCCTGTTCAGGATTTAGCGGGCCGATCAAATAATACATCTATGAATTCAATAGTACAATAAAAATAAGAATTAACAGTATGAATTGTTACGGCCCGCAGCATTAATCCCAGATGTTTTATTGCTGCTATTATGTAAAATCATGTTGCTGGATGAATAACTAACATTTGTGCTGCCACTAATGCGTCATGATTACAATTGGTGGAAACGAGAAGAGAACGAATCGTCGAAAGAGAGAATCTAAGTGATTTGACGACAGACGAAGTGGGCTAGGTCGCGAAGCTAAAATTGGTAGTCGCGCGTGGAAGAGACTGTGCATGTACAAACACGGTCCTCATTTTTTTTACCACGCTGTTAATTATTTTTACTACGCTTTGCGCTCTGCTAACTTAACGAATGGAAGATAAAGATAAGAAGTTATTAGAACACTTTTGCCTAATCCTGCTTTTTGTATATCCTTTATAACACAACAGCAGTTCCAAAGTAATTGAGTAGAAACAGCAATAAGAAGAGCATAGAGAATACAAAAAAATGTATATATCTATATATAACGGATCTCGAAAAAATTCTGAAAGAAAACACCTAAAAGCGAACAAATTGCAAATAGTGAACCTTGCGAGGAGAAGTCAATTGAAGGTCAAAATATAACAACCTATAACAAATTATTCGTTTAATGAAAAATAAGTTAATGTAAAATAAAAGTTACGGAACTTAATTGTAGCAACTAATGTAGAACTTGTAGCAAATAAAATATATAATGACACTTCACTGCCGCTATAACATGGTGAAAACCCATAGTTTTCGCCAAGAAGTATTCAAGCCACATATGGCGCAAGAAATTCGGGTAATGATATCGCTGCTATAAAGATCTGGTATTGCCGTACTATATAAGTTGATTTTTTTATTTCTGAATAGACGAATGAAACCTGTAAGAGATTCATGTCTAAAAGATTCAGTAGGAAATTTTATTGTCATTACAGTGTGGTTCAGATGCAATTTCAAGGCCACTTTTATAAAAACAATTGATATCCGATGCATACAGCAGAATAAAAACAACTAGAAAATTGGCACTTTACTAAATTCTGAACCCATTTGACCAGGTCTGCGCATTAAGGTATAGATTCGTCTCTTGGTGAGTTCAAACTGCCACAGAGAGAGCGAGATCCTGACAACACCAACAAAAACATTTAGCAGACCACCAAAATGCTGTCATAGGTAAACAAAGCTGGCGATTCTCGAAAGATAAATAAAAGCGATTCCTGCGATTAAGCGAAAAAATTCTTCGAGAAATTCTAATTTTATTATTTAATTCTAATTAAATAACGCATAATAATAATAATTTGTTCTAGCCTAAGGTCAGAAAAAAATTGCTTATAGTCCCTACTTAAATAAAGCTACGAATTTTGTACTAATTTAATAACCATAAACTTCCAACAACCATTAACCACCAGTTAGAAGTACATGCTAGAGAACATTAGCTTTGGTAAGGTATAATGTGCTTCGCTTTCTGTGTAAATAAATCGTAAAAATGTACTGGTGTAGAAGACAACACGTTTTTGAAATTAAACCCTGCGACGCTAATCAGTAATTATCTACTTTAATCATCATAGCACCTGGGTAGGTTGTGGCTATACCTTTACCTATTTTCCAGCTTCAGTCTATTTTCTTTAGCGGGCCACCCGTTCCGACTTTAATGTCAACATACTCTTCTGCAGTTCAACTTGGGTAAATGACTGCCATCACTTGATAAAGCCTGGTAAATTTGACAGCGCTGTTGACGACTTGCATGGTACTCTATCTGTTCCCCTAAATGTATGAAAGCATTAATGAATGACTATCCAAGCGGTCCGCTTGTCTTCTGCATTATCAGATAAAGCGTCCTGTAAGCATCATGGAAATATAATTTCTTCAATTAAATTAGCTGGATTTTTTAGAAAATACAGGACATGAAATGATTGGAAAATGATCGTTCGGTTCGTTGGTTCATGAAGCGGTCCCTTGATTTCTAATAAGCTTAATCATCTGCTTCAATACAGCGGTCACGAATCTCAACACATCGTTAACTTCATAACGCTCTAACGTGTAACCCGCTTAACCTGTGCTCGTTCACTGCGAATAATCATTTCTCTACGAGTGCTTCCAAAAATTTTACGCCTACTAAAATTGGAGCATGTGCTCTTATCTGAACCCTGTCTACATAGCGTGACACTCTCAGATGTGAATACGTACAGTTGCTTATTCTCGGCTCCTCCAGTTTACGCAGCTGCTTTTGCTACCTGATTACCTTAATGACGGCTAACCTTAACACTGGCGTGATCCATCCAACAGGCGTTGTAAGGAGTACAAACCAGTCTGTTTTAACAGCTCGGAACGATCGATGGCCGGGGTGACCGATTATTGTCTCGCCCGATGGTGCTCACCAAAAAATCGATAATACAATGTTTCTGGGAGATATTCTACTAGGCATAGCTATCAAGGTTACCCAAGCAGTAAGCATGAATCCTGTCTACTTAGTTTGTCAATAGAATATCAAACAATAACAACGCGAGAACAAAGTAATGACACAGAAGAGATATCTTAAGTAAAACACGTCTCGGATTATTATCTTTATCTAAGTTCTTTTTATCATCAACATCGATCAATATCAAGTCCAATTATTTTCAATGTACACCAGTTAAAATGACAATGCTAACCTTATACCTATGGTTAGCGTACTGTCACCAAGTCTACACCTCTAATGTACCATAAATGCTTGTTCACACTGCGAAAGTAGACGATGGATTTTATTAGGTAAAAGAAAATGTTACATTTTAAACCTTGTTTATTATAACAACTTGTTTTTCTTATGTACGGTAAACTATAGCAGAGGAAGCATACAAGTATAGCGCATATATTTGTTCACAGTATCTTCAACTACTGGACATCTATACTCGATTTATTGGATTCACAATTGATAGGCGTACGGAAACGAGAGCGCCGATGGATACTAATTCACCATAGTTCCATATGGTTGAGAACAAATTTGTTTTGTTGTCCGTTTGCACAGCTACCATATAAGGCTATTTATAATTGATAACGCTGGCTTATTTTTTTAGACACAACCCCGTTTTCTGTTTCCTTCTCTACCAATATACGTTACAGGAAGGCTTGCAATGAGTAATAACGAGGAGTTCTGGCATACGTTGTGACTGGAAAAACTGTTTGTACAACTATGAATAGTCAACTATTAGTATGCGTTATTGTATTCAAACGGAGGTCGACATTTTTAATCGTTTTACTTAAACATAGTCATGCACTTTGAGTAAGTTAGTTGAGTGTTTAAACGCGAGTCTATTTATGCTTATATCAAAATCTATCAGGTACTGCGTCCTGCCTACGGCTAAAACAAATAATTAACACTTTACTTGTTTGCTTCGCTTCTTTTTAATATGAAATTTAAGCAAAAGGCCATTTTCAATCAGAATCCTATTATCTTACGACAATGTTTTAGAATTTGAGCCCTAATCGGTAACAAACATCGATGGTTGTTCAGCCGACTGTATCATCATTGTTTGCGAGTTGAATAGCTGTAACGTTAGGGCAGCCAAAAAAGCTGGAATCGAGTCCATTTTTTCCAGATAGTCTGAGGTTAAGCTGTTAAGTCTGAAAATCCAAATTATGCAATAAGAAATAGTTGATAAAATCGATTGTATATTGGAACCGATCTCCAGTGCCACTTAATTGCTAAGACAATGACTATGAAAACGCGGAACTCATTACAGTTAATTCCGTATAGGAGACAAAATTTAGCACACGGAAATAATATGTGGCACATCAGTAACCGCTGCGGTTATAAGACTCTCTAACCACTAAACAGATTTTCTTCTCAAATCGTATAGTCAGAGGGTATTACTGTGCTAGCCGTAATTATGAACGTTAACTGTCTAATTCGCCTTAAAGAATAGGATCTAGGCCATTATGAAATTATCCGTATTAGAATTTTTCAGCGATTTAGAAGTTCAGGTCATATCAAGTCTTTCTCACTGGCCTACCTTAATGAGTAATCATTACTAAGTAGATGTAGAAAACCGTTAGCGCCAATCTCAAATTCGAGTAGGTCGTCGGCGGACTCCGCGTACATATGACGGAGAACACAGGCGTTTCCATTAGCGCTCGACTTCATATCAATCCGGTAACCTGAAAAGGAAATAAATAAATGAAAACGAGTTGCAGGATTATTTCAGCATTTACTGCAAAATCAAGAGATGGCTAGAGGGAAGACAGCGTATTCAGCCCGCCGATTTGTCATGTTTATGATGTCATCAGTCAGATTATTGGGTGGGTAGGACCTGAACAACGCTTTTTTCCGACTCTCGTATTTCATGATCACTTCTTGCATAAGAAAATATATATGCCCTTACGAAGCTCGTTTCCTAATAAGGACCGAGCGGGATTTCATGCAGCGGTTAGTATTTGATAACCTGTTAGTATTGTCAGTCGGACCTGTTAGACAGTAGACGGCTTGTCTAAACTCTCTGGAAGTCTTCTTAAAAGCGGCGAGAATTTTCTCCATTTTTTTATTGGCTGATTCGAGCTCAGCGCGCAGCTTGCGCGGGTCATCACGGACAAATTCTAACAACGTCGTTTCGCCCGGTTGCTGCATCGAACCCGAGGCGCCTTGAAAGAGTGAGGATTGTTTGCAAATAACAGAACAAGGCATTGGTTAGTCCAAAAATAAAACAAAAATAATTTGTTATGATTTATCGGTATTTAAATCGAGGTCAAGCCAAAAGAAAACATTCTTATTTTAAAGAGTTCCAACTTCACGAAAAAAATGGCTGTTCTATAGCCCTTATCAGTTCCTATTCCCATCATATCATACGTAAAGAAGCTTTTAACGTTACATCTCAGCTCTTGGGAGGTCATCTTTTATTCCATCTTTTCGATAAACATTTTTAGAAACACTTATTTATTTACAGCTTGATTGTCTGCGTGTCACGCTCACCTTGTTCTTCAAAAGCCTGGACCTTCGCCCTTAATAGCTTATTTTCTCGGTCAACTTCTTTCATCTCGGCTATCCAGGAGTTATGGGCGACATCAAGCGGGTTGTTCCTAAAGTGCAGTATACGATAGCCATATTCCTTACAGTCACCAAGCGCCGCCGCACCAGTTTGACCAGAAGTTTCAGTTTGAACCTGTTTCAGGAATTAGTCTTTAGAATTTATCGTTCTCTCTGTCACCTGCTCACTGCGTAGCGTTTGGGTAGAACTACGTCTAAAGCCCAATACAACTTATGTAATAAAAGAAGGGCTTATTAGGGAACAAGTTTATTTTCTTTACGATTCAGTTGCGTAAATGATTATGGTTTACTGAGTATGTCCTTGCTTGCGCAGTATACTTAGGAAGTCGTGTTGACGAAAAGAAGCATATAACGCTATGCTTTATCATAGGTACGGCAAATACTTCGGTTCTCACGACAGCCCAATGATGATTACAATACGAGCTCTCTGAAGCTTACTTCGATGGTGTTTGTTGAAATGCTCGACTTCCGCTGGCCGTCTCCGCGGAGTTCTGCGTCTATTGCGCGGTACTCACTTAGCGCCGCCTCTAATTGAACGATACGTCGAGTGTGCATCGAGGCTGGATTGATCGTGACGTCGCTCTCGTACGAATCGAGCACAGCCTTGTAAGAGTCCCTCTCCTTGGCGACTAAGCGCAATCGACGCTCTAAGCGTTTTAAAGATTTTGCTTCTTCAGCACCCTCTAGTCGCTTTGCATTTTGCAGAACTGCCACCTGAACCCCAACCGGACCGTGGAATTCGATATGATAAACAAAAGAATGGTGGGCAATGATTAAAGAGTTTGTTTAGCCAAGCACTGTTTGATCAGGGTAACCCATTCTTTCAACGGTGTTTAGTGTCGATAATATTACATAACCAAAATTGGAAAAATAACGTTGTTTATTTTTAATTATTGTTGTTGAACTTTTTCACGTTAGATGCATACGCAGAAATTAACATAAAAATGTTAGATTATAGTAGCTGTACCTCCGTTTTGAGTCCGTTGTTCTCTTCAAGAAGATACAACTCGCTATCCTGAAGCTTTCGTAATCTCTTCAACACAGCTTCAGGTGAGTTCAGTGACGGGTCAACCTCCCTGAGGGCATTCTCCCATTCGGAATTTAACTGTTGGCTTAACTACAAAAAATAGAAGAGCATTATTTAGCAGAGCAGTACACTCTCGGGAGTAAATAATAAAAACTAAACCTACGCCGAAATAATAATAATAAAATATTTACTAAATATCCGAAATGCTGGCTTTTTCTAAGATATATTTTATGATGAATGAATATAGCTTCTAAAATATCTTATAATACAATCTTTTCGCCAAAATTTCGCGAAAAATTTTTCGCTAGTCTTGAAACGAGTAAAATTTTTTTAATTCTAGCATTGCTAACCGGAGCGCTAATGAGACACAGGAATCTTTATTAAGAGAAACATAACCAACCGGGATTATTTAACTTGAAAAGGAACTTGGGTCTCGACTAGTGTTCCTAATAAATAACGAACAACAATTAAGAATTTTCTCGCATTGTTATTACATTGAGATCGAATTCGAGCTCGGCACAGCGTTCTCTCGTTTTGTTAGCGCCCTTCTCGACATCCTCCAGTATGCGAAGCTGCTCACGATAGAGCAACACGTTCGATCGATCTTCGCGAAGCTTTCGGTTTTCTTTACGAAGCCTAGGCACAGTTCCAAAGGTATAAACAAACGTAGGATTAGATCTGTACATAAGCAAATAGCAGATTTAATTTCTAAAAGAATATTTAAAGCATGCTTTATACACACGGTACACAATTATATAAGCCAATGTATAAACTAGCTATACAAGAGTTAATTATGATTTGCACTTACTGATTGAGCTCGGTTTCCCACTCCGCCATAATTTTCATTTTTTCAGTAAGTTCTTGGCTTCTTTCAAGAAGATCCGATGCCCAGTTATGATCTTGGATTGATTTTTTTAGCTGGCTTACCTCATTATTAAGTCTGAAACCATTTATTAGGTGAGACAAGTAACGATTTAGCAAGCAAAAGTATATACAGCAGATTGAGCGGCATGCTAATATTATAATATGTGATTATCGGTTAACCCAACGTGTGCAAAAGGTGCACAGGGCGCCGTAATTCTAATATTTTCTACAACAAAATAATAAACAGTTTAGCTTTTGCAGCACTTCTGTCGGTAGGTAGTATCAATTGTTAAAGGACAATCGGATGGTTATTATTATCTATAATTGTATTGAATAGAACACCTTTTATTTTCCTCTTGAATGTTATCCAGGTCATCTTGCTTCCTTCGAAGTGTCTCCTCGACTAATCGAAGTTTGTTTAACGTCTCATCTCTTATCATCTTCGTCTCAATAAGCAGACGTTCTTTTTGGAACGCGGTCTCTTCTTCTTTAAGTCGCCGTTCTTTTTCCCGCCATAAATTCTGCTCTGCCTCCTTAATCGAGCTGTCCCGCGTTTTTTCAAGATCGTCAATACGCATCCTTAGTTGCTGTATTTCGCGTTGCAACGACTGCACTTTTGCCTGTTGAAGTATCCGCTCTTTGGATACTTCCTGTTCTTGTTTGGTGCGCATTTCAATAGCGACCGTCTGTAAAGATTGCATTGGAACCTAATTAGCCTAGTCAATTTTGACGAAGTTATATACTGCGCAACGTAGTTTACGTGGTTTAATGACGCCCTACTTTTTTTTTTATACTGTACATATCTAAACAATGGTAATAGTAGCAGTAATTAGTCTTCATAATTACAAGCTTTAATACGTTTCCTTGGACAAAAGGGTATACCTTTGCGCGCCGAGTCGCTTCGAGATCTTTGGACAGCTCCAGTATCTTTTGCTCTTTCTGGATAGACTCCCGGTGTAGCAGTGGCACTTGCATCTCTTTCTGAGCTTCAAGAGCGAGAATCTTCGTCTGATACTGAGCCAGTTTAATCTATGATAAATAAAAATTAAACTAATTTGTATGAACAACATACTCATAATCTGGGAAAACATCGTCGTCATCAATCTACACCAATAACAACCGTATAATGAATAATGAAAAAGATAAAAAAAAATAGAGAACTTGTTTGGCGACATTTGAATATCTAGAACATATGAGATAAAAGTAAACTTGTCTTAAAAATTACTGATTATATTAATATTACTAACATTCATTCATACCTATTTTTAGAAAATTGTGCATAATTCAATACGTATATTTATAATAACGTATAAGAAAATATACGTATCAGTTTTTTACCATGCACTCTAGTACAGGCTGTTTCTGGTCATACTTTTTTGCAGACATTTACTTATGTATATCTATAGTTACAATAGCGTACCATAGTGGTTCAATCCAACAGAATTCTGATAGCACTTTAACACAAAACCCTAATACGCACCTTCAGCTCTCGAACGCTTTCCTCATCCGAGATACAACTTTCGTCCTGGGTTCGACGTCGCTTTGCATTGGGTCTTACTTGATCGGCCCTAAGTTCATCATCGTCGTCCTGACCCAGACTCACCTCTTGTGAAGAACTGATACTTTTATCTAATTCGGCGCAAGCTCCTCGTAAGGCCGTCACCGCATCGGCCACTCGACCATTGATCAGCCTTTGGACGCTCATTGTGCTAGATCCAAAAACTTTCGAAACCCTCGACTATCGGCTTTGTTAACTAAACTGGCTTGTTGCCAATAAATATTGATTTCACAAAAAGTTACAAAAACACAATAATGAAAATAGTTTATTCATTTTACAAATTCCTAATTTTTTTTCGATAGATTGATATAATAGGCTTGGTGTTTGGACGACTAAGTTTTTCGTGAAAGAAGACGAAGAATGACTGGTTCGAGTCAGGCCGACAGCACATGTTATACCGAAAATCAGCTATCCATTTGTTTAATATCAGAATGGAAACGATTGGATTGTTGAAAACCGTATAATAGCACAGTTTCAGTTTTAAATAAAATGTGTTAGTTTTTTTTTGTTAGCTACCATTCGGGAACTAAAAAAATGGAGCAATGCAATTCACTAGCAACAATGCATTTGATAAGACAAGCCAAGATCAACGTTTTCACCTTTTAAAATTGCGTATGCTTCTCTGTTTTTCGGTGTAGCTTGTCATTACATCTCTTGTGAAATGAAATAACACAATATTGATCATATATTCGGCTGGGTGCTAATGATGGACGGCATATTGATCACATGACGACAGACCTTAGCCTGCAGGAAAGAGAATTTCATAAAATAGTAATGTGTGCAATGCAAAAAGTAGAAATAAGTTTGTATTAATTTTACAGAATGTCGTGTTTTGATCAAACAGCTAATAAAATATCAAACCTTACGAATACTGACAAATCGGACGAAAAAATCTCACTTACAGTATACATTCATATGACCACTGAACATACGACAACATACATTAATATAAAACCGTTTTAACTGTGAAGAGAAATTCAATTACTACGGCCTTCATAACCGATATAGGCGTGGGATTATAGTAGATTTTAGTACCTAACACAGATAAGGTTGAGATAATATGCACGTTAATATGAATAAAAGCAAATTGCACGAAATGCTTCTTAATGGTTTAACAAACCCTGAGTGTTTGAGGCGAGCTCATGAAATGTATACGGTAGAGTCACCTCGTCGGTTTGTCCTTATATAACGCTAGTTACTTAGTCCACATAATACTTATAATTAAACAAATGAAACAAAGTTCTCCGGTATTCGTCCGGCATCACAAACGCTATATTAACAGTGTCAACAAAAACACAGACACCGGAACCCGTGTGAATGATCATATGCGACTAAAATTTAAGGCGCTTCGAATAACCATCGTGCGCATCGCTTGCGTAAAATCCAACGCCGTTGAGCACCGCTCAGAGACTTTTTGTCTTCTAGACTGGTGCCATTTTGTTTTTTTACTATATGCCCATGTTAGATATTTTAGATTTAATGTGTATTACTGCTAATTAATGGAAGAGTGAAACACTGCGCAAAAACTGTAGCATAATATGTTATTCTGATAGCCATTTGTTTACGAAATAAATAATTTCTGATTTGACCTAAAAACTTTGTGGCCGAGCGGTCGAACTTTAAGAACTTATTTATTTTAGGGGTTTCTTTGTGCTATTAGGCGTTATTGTTGGCGGTTTCTCTTAAACGAAAATTTAAGTTACTGTGTTTGATTATTAGTCCATAAGTACGTTGACATCATGCACTGAAAATCTTAGGCTTGTAAATCTAGTTGGAAACTATGCCTGCGACGATGATAGGCAAAGACGAAAATTGTAATAGGATTTTAAAATTGTAAAAATTGTAATACAATGTCGATACAAAAAAGGTATATGCCGACAAAAAGTAATCTACTCAGATATGAAGTAAAATATACTTAGATAAACTCGGCTTGGATTAATTCGAATTTATATATTTTTTAGTTTAAGATTTCTTTTGCAGCTTAAGAGAAAACTTGCCCGCCTCAGAAAGCTTTATCTTAAGACTAGGAGAAAAAAAACCTAAAGGGCATTCTCGGACTAATAAGACTAGCACATTAAACTACGCAAGCTAATAAGTGATCATTAGGCCACTGTTTTTACCATTCCACATGATGTAAATCGTAAGAAAAGGTATTTTCATACGAAAGATTCACAGACAGAGCAGAAAAATACCTCTGTGAAAAACCTCTCAACCCGCCGGCGCTTGCTTGAAAATAGTCTGAGAAATTATTAGTTCACACGGGACAAAAAGCCTTTCTCTAAAAGACCAGTATCATTTTGTTTAACTTTTCAACTAACTCAAACGGCTTCTTAATACATATTTTATACATACCTTACCAGAACTCGGACTGCACTTCGAGAAGCTCGACGGCCGCCCTGTGAGACAGCATAAAGAGCAACCAGTGACCGTTCTCAATAAACGCCAAACCACATTCGATTTCAACTCAAGTTGAGTAGGGCGCATTAACCATCCGTTCTGTTTCTGTAGATGCAAATGGGTTTATCTCCCAGTGCTCGATTCAGGTAACCGAATTGGATTTAGGTTGTTGTTACTCATCAAAATTTTCTGGCGCCGAGACTGGTTTTTACTGTAATAATTTCGCTGTAAATCATTGAAGTATCAGTAGTGTTTTTTAAGGTGCCTGTGAATTCGAATGGTAATGGCGCTGAATTCGAAGTATGCAGAACTGCCAGGATTCGCCCATGATCAACCGGACCTTTATGAGACGGACGACCTTCCCGAGGCAGAGCAAGCAATTGAACCTGCCGGAGATGACAGTGAAGCCGTTGAGGTATGCAAAAATTGAAAGCGAAAATGATCGCAGCTGACGCTTTGTGTGGTAAGGAAATGGTGTTTCTACGTGTTCATATGTTTGAAAATATATTCCAAGGATCACTTACGTGCGGCATCGTTTGCCCTGTGAAATAGTCATTGCAAAGCAACAAAATGTTGGACGTTTTGCATCTGCTATTGCCGTTAGGCATTTTATCAGACGGCACATACAAATGTCTTCGGGCAAACACTATGGTTATTTTAAAGTTAAACACAAAGGCTATGTGACTTGGAGTATATATATGTACAGACTGTATTGACAACAAATTTAATAGGCATCATTTACCATTGTTGTAAGCCTCTAACACTGTGTAGCTGAGCTATATTCTAAAGTTAAACCGATGCTAGCGCCGAAATGGAGAGCCTCGTAAGAAGCAGTGTACATATGTATAGAAGACAGTCACAGACTGCTGCAAGAATCCTGCATTATGGTCCTCCAATACTAAACGGAACATGTACTGAGGGTAGAAATTTCATCTTCCTATAGAGAATCACATTTGAGGATGAATGTGACGTAGAAAACTGGTCGTTCTTGATAAGACCAATAACAATTAACTACTAATACTAAAGTGTGATTTAACAAGCTTCTTGTTGCCTGTACACCTATTATGTTCTTAATGTTGTAGGTTTTACATATCTCGACAAAGGATGCCTACATCAAATTCAAGGGAAGTCGTGTCGACACATCCAAATCGGACTTCACTGATAGTATTGCTCCTCGTCGAAAGACGGGATTTCACGTTATTCACGGAGACTGGGAGCTTTCGGATGATAAAGAGAATGAAAGTCTTCCCCAAAGGTACCACCGTATCAAGACCGAGGTTTGTGATTATGCGATTCTGTTGATGTGAGATCCTAGTTGTGATGTCAATTTTAATTGTTTACCCTGTTGTAACATCTATTCATCCATGAAGTTTGTGCTTTTGCTAGATCTATGAATTCTTATATTGACGATTCCTAGGTCAAACAATTTTTGGAGGATGTAGCAGCCATTGAAACCGAAAAAAGGCCTGAAAATCATGAGGTTCTACTGGCAGATATGGAAATGCTGGAAAAACTATTAGCTGACGTAAACCTCGACGCCGTAATGGGTGAAGGTACGCGTGGTTGATGCTTAGATTATTTTCCAATAAAATATTAACAGTGGTAAATGTTGTGTAAGCAAACCAATGTTCTCTTTTTTGATGAACGCAGCTTTCTTAGCCACGTGGTGCCAATCGAATGTCCTTTTTCAATGCACTCCGTTACTAAATGACTTTGTACACAGCGTTCCGTAATTCTTAAATTATAATGCGTTCTCTTGCTTTGTTCCCTACGAAATACATGTCTAATATTCACCTACCTTTTGAGTTTGACCAGTTTTTTACCGCCGTTAGGCATTCCATCAGGTGGCTATACGGCTTCCAGCACGAAATAGGGTATGTCTATGCTGGGGTTCAAATCTAGATTACAACGTGTCCTTAAGATTATCAGGCAAATACGTTATTTACTAATCAATCACGGGGACATGTCTAATGCTTTTGTAAAGAAAAAAAAATCAAAATATGACTTCTTCCTAAATCGCATTTGTGTTCTGTTTTATGTTCGATCAAATTATTTGTTGCCCTGGGCACCTATGACAGGTCACAGCGGGGATCGTAATGGTCAAACGATCAACCGACTCTTGGGGCAATTAGCTTCGCTGAGAGGAGACCCACAAAACAAAGAAGCTCAGGATACGGGTGTTAAGAAGACTTCAGCTAAAGAGAAATCTTCGCTCACTTACGAACTCTACTACAAACCCGAATATAGCAAGCTTCAACAGGCTCAGCAGGTAAAACTGAACATCTTTTGGATTACTGTGGCTTGAGTAAGGATAGCAATCGTGTTTTGCAGCTCTCGAAAACATCAAAAGACGACGTTTAACGAATTTCCCACTCTTACATTGTAGATAATGTTCTACTGCTACGAAACGAAGAGGTGACACTGGTTTGTTCGCAAAATCTCTTGAGTGCGCACAGAACGAATAATTGAAATATATGGCTATTTTACGGATTTGTATACTTATAAAATTTTTAAAGCAAATGATTTTACTTATCTATCTTTAACTTTAACCCATATTAAGGAACGGAATTATTGATTGATTAGTGGATACCCGAAGCGATATATTTCACATGGTGGCAGTTATGGGGCTGGTGAGGTACTATGAAGTACTTGACCTTTGTTTACTTTCGATTATTTGATAGGTGGCTGCTTTGGAAGAACGATTACGGCAACTCGAAGCAACGGTCGGTGATACAAGGACAGACAAGCTTTCGATGTTAGCCACATGTGCGGGCGTCACAGGTCGGAGTCTTCAGGACGCTTGCGATGAGCTCAGCTCGAAATTGTACCTACTAGACCCTACAAACATTGAAAGAGTAGAGAGTCAACTAGCCGGTCTCCACGAACGACTGCTTGCCGTGTCTGAGAGAAAGACGGCTCTCGAAGAAGCACAGAGAAGCGATAAAGTTTGTAAAATTCTTCGCAAAGAAAATTGAGAAATAGTTTCTCGCCGAAAATAATGACACTGTTTGTTTCTGGTAATAATATTTTTTTAGAGCCCGTTATTGGCTCTGTCCTGACGTACAGTTTTGACTTCGTCTTAATGGTAAATTTAATTTCTCTTTAGAGCCGATTGAAGAGACTAATTAGTATAGCAAATATGTTATTTTTATAGGTTACTTGAAAACTCTATTTTTTTTAGAGAAAAATAAAGGATCTGTTTTGAAAAACGATTCATCTTTGAAATTTATTCGTGTTTTCAACAGATTGCTCAGATGTATGAAGTGTCACGCAAAGTTGACCAGCTTCTTCCAAGCCTTTCAAATATCCTCCAGTCGCTAACCAGTCTACAGGAACTACACGAACATGCATTGCAATTCTCAAAATGTCTAACTACTTTGGAAGCACAACAGGTAAATTCGCATGGTTCTGCGGTCAATTATAGCTGAGAAAATTTTACCACCTAGAATTAGAGTAAGTTTTGCTGCAATATATTTATATGTACAAGGCTATTATGTAACGCTGAAGTGAGGCGGAAGAACATTTCTTTCGTACAAAATGTTGCGGTACTTTAGAGACTGTGTCTCGAGGTAATATCCAAATGAGCTTCCCGTGCATTTTACAAGCATACGTTCGCAATCTTATTTAAACTTTACCTAAATACTGCTTTACATTTCGTATGTTTGCAGTCTCTGATGATGAGACAATTAAAGGGTGATGAAGATTTAGTTAAGAAGCTTCAGGAACGAATCGAAAAAGACGTGGAAGCTGTGGCTGACAACATCTCGAAGCTTGAGCTACGCATGGAGGCGTTTAAAAAATAATTTCTTATAATAATGCGGACAAATGATAGTACATTTGGATTAATCAATTCGTAATGCATCGTAGAATGTATGCAGACGCGTCCTAAGAAATCTTTATAATGGCAACGTTGCATACAAACCATTTTAATAAGTAAACAATTATGAGGATGCACCTCTAGTTATAATTTTTTTTTGATTAAAAAAAATTTTTCTTATTTCTATATATACGAAGGGAAAATCAGTTAGTATATTAAATGAAGGCGGTTCATTGATATTAAACGTATATATGTGGTAGAAAACATAGTGGTTGTCTATTTATTAATAGGTTTCGACTAAGGTCGTTTTGGAAATATAGAATAGTTTTAAGCGCATTATTTCTTATATTTTTAATTTATTTATACGAAGGATACTTACTATATAGGCTGCTGCAAAGTAAATCGAACACTGTGAGAGTTACAATATGCAGAAGCACTCCTTTAGTATGACGTTATTGTGTGATTTCTAATCACGTTTATTTGTTATACCGAATACTTATAAAACTGGTTTTGTTTTGAATTTATATCGAGGACGATCAAATCGGCAGAAGCTAACATTAATTCTAAATATTTGTAGTATTCTAAAGATTTGTAGTAAATGTTATTTGTTTTGAGTCCTTGACACGAACGCTTTATCTAAAGCAAGGCCTGATACCCAGCTACTTAATCTCTGCCGATGCAGGAAGAGCCGTAATATTTTTTCGGGACTAAACTATTCGTCAGATCCAACTCAAAGGAGTTTCACCTTTAGCTATAGCACTCTTGTGGATGATCTTCAATAACGCCTTCTTGACATTGTTTTAATGGCCTATTAGAATATATCGTACGTAGATTCTTTGCGGTTTTAAAGTAATTTTCATCTCTCCCCATCTTTGTGTAGTAACTTATTTCTCATTTTCATTTTTCTGTCCTTCAATTATAGTAAGTATTACGCCATTTTTCACATACTAGACAATCGAACGAAGGCTGACACGTTTCGACTATATAGCAAATAATCACTTAGTGGTTTTCCCGTTGGTCAAGCGAAATTGCCCGGCTAGTTGATGCTAAGAACCTGAAAATCTTTTTTAAAAAGTCACTGATGTTTTACTGGAACCTAACATTTACTTATATGTATCTACTAGTCAAAGGTTTTGGGGGATTTGCTTCAATGTACAAACCTGTTATCTTTTTTTGCAAGATATAATGTGCAGCAAAACTGCTTTCGCCGAGGCACGCTTGTGTCGACAAGGTAGTCACATCGGTGATTGTTTTCTGGTTTACATGTACCACGAACCAGGCTTTCCTCACAACTATGTCTATCTTCATAGACTTAGCAAGGTTAGCTGATAATAACCATCGAAATAATTCGTCTCTGTTTGAAGGCGTTTGAAAATCTTTCAAGTAGCTCATAAACTGAAGTCTCTTTGATAATATGTTTACGAAATCAGTAATGAAGTTGTTGCACCTGATATCCTAATGCTGTTTGTTGATTTCTTGTCATTTAGAATAGAAGTTATGTCTCTAGAATGCAGTTATTTGACATGAATTTCTCATCCAACGGGCTGACATTCAACAAGAGCGGTGCAGGCCTTATCAACGAATTGACAGGTGCAAAACCGTGTCGATTCACATGCGTCCTACGGAGTAAGAATCAGAAATACTAGGTCATTTTGTGAGGCATCTGAGGTTTTCAATGTTTTATAAGTTAATATATTGAGACTCACAGAGTTGTCATTCGGATGCCACCGTCCAAATCGTTAATAATTTTTGTACGTACTTTATATAGAATAGAATCTTTTGGCACGTAATATAATATGACTTTGGTTCAGGTTAACAGAAGCGTAGCGCAAGAAGCTAGTAAACTACCGCTGCTATAGCTTATCGAAAGCTTGCAGCACATGCATACGCGAGGATGCATTCACCAGATATCAAAACGCCTGAAACGCAATTTTTTTACATGTGTGCATCTAATCAGAATCCGATGAAAAGTAGGAAATTTATTAATCCAAACAGCCTTCTTTCTAGATCTGAGTGGGTGCATACGTTCATTCTAAAAACGGTCAAATTTGCACATTTCTACGCTAGCCTTCAAACATGATGGTAACACCAGGCTGCCAGATCAAGCTGATCTATCCCGATACACTGAAGATTTGCATTTTAGCTTTCTCCTTCGAATATCGAAACTCTTCAGTGAACTGAGTGCTCGAGAATTTTTAGATCGCGAAACTATTGGCACGATCCCGTTTTTTTCGCCTGCAAAATAAAAAAACAAGCAGGAAAACGCACAATGGCCTATTGGACTCTAGACGTTTGATAGCCTTTAGCCTTGCCTTCGGTATGCCACTGTTCGCAGGAAATAAAAACGATAAGGGGTTTCGTGAGATGTCCCATGAGGTACGTGACTGACCAGTTTAAGTCGCTAACGGATCAACTGCTCGAAAAGGAATGCGTCATGGAGTGTGTTCGGTAGCCCACGACAAATGACATCAGTTTTTTCACGATCTCAATTGGAAAGACTTTAAGCAGGGGTAATCAGTTTGGCTTTGTCACAGACGAGATGGAATTCGACAAGCCGACAGGATTTTGGTCGTTTCAACTATAGCAACTGCACGGTAAATATTTATTGCAACTGAAAAATGAACAGGTTCAGGTTTTATTTAATTGATCTGATTTGGCAAACGAACGTTAAAAACATTGAACGTCATACTTTAAACATACTTTAGAAGTTGTCTATTATATGTTACGCATAAATGTTGTGTAACCCACAATGTAGTCTTACGATTGTATATTATGCGCAGTGTGTGATTCACGTGTGTCTACTCACGTAATGTTAACGAAAACAGTAGGTTTCAGGTTTAGCCCCGCGCCGCCAGATATTGAGACCCTCTTCATTGTCAAAGATATAGTTTTCAGCTTAATTTGCTAGTGTATGAGAAAAGTAAATAATCTGTTGACGTAAGCTTTGGAAAGTATCGAGATACAGCAAAGCCTCCCATTCGCGTTGTGACATGGCGAAATGGCCTGATTTCGTTTATTGGGTTTTTTTTTTTCTTAAATAGCCTAGTTGCAATCCGACTCTGCTTTTAGATGGCTATCATTAAACTCAGAGGGTCGAGCAAAGCGGGGGATCATACGATTTTCAAACTTGGAACATACACTAGAGCAGTCCTTAGAGTTACAGCGCTATTACCACGCACAAGGCAAGTCCCCGTGCTGTTCTGGCAGCATTTTGACCTTGACAAACTATATAATAGAGAAAAAGTCGAAAATGCCCTTTTTTCCATCTGGAACATCTAACTTTTAAAAGTTTCTTCCAAGTTAAAGTTGTGGATTCGCAACACAAAGTCGTTTCAGCACGCTGATAGAAAGAGCGCTTTTGAAGGATATTTCAGAAGTGGACAATAAATAGGGAGAACTGTAAAAAAAAACTTAAAAGAAGCGCGGGATCTTTTATTGTATATGTGGAGGGCTGAAACTGCACTAGTATATATATATATATATATATATATAACTAACGTAGTTCATCTTTGGATGTGCGTGGACGTTAATTATCACTACATTGCACAATAACGACTAGATAGTTGAGTGACTGCCCGAAACCAATTAGCTAACGGAGATGTTGTTGTAATGATGCAGCATTAACTTAATGAGGTATTTTAAGTTTAAGGTCAAGCACAGATACGCTTGTTTATTCCGTATTGTGGGGCCCAACCGTGTAAACTGACGTTCGACTAAGGCAGCATTGCAGATAAATGTAGCATTGTGGCGGGGTACCTGTCGAAAATCAAATGCAACAGGGTACCCAAGTTAACTGAAACCAATAATCGAGTAGGTTTACATCCGAGCTGAAGTCAGGCAGGTTGTAACACGTCGACAAGGTTATGCAACAATCTTTAAATCTCTGATGCTAAATGCAGAAGTATTCTAATGAAAAAAAAAGCTAGTCAGAAGTATGGATTCAAAAAACAGCTGCAATGGGACAACTCTGGATCTTCCATAGGGAGAAAGAAATCTTTTCGAAGCTGGTTTCTATTTACAAAGAAAAACGGAGTGCATTCATGGCTACAGAAATACAGTCAACTGAAACCAAACGGTTGTAGAACAGAAAGGAGATCATGAGCTAAACAATTTGCTGCTTTATCGGGCTTCTGTTGAATTTTCCTCACTAATATGAAATAGCGATAATATGATTTACGGAGGGTAACTATATAACTGTGCGTTATCTGCATAGTACTATATATGAAAGAAAAAATAATTTATTTAGGATCCCAACGATTCTTGGAGTACCTATGCAAAGATGCATCTCTTTTAATCTGCAGTTTTTTTTTTCAGATCTTTTCAATATAGATTTACGATTAGGAGTGAACCGGAGTCGCACGTAATTTTTGAGACTTTAAGGAGTCGAGTCTAGTAATTCTAACGTGTCGACTCGCATCTCAGCCAACGCTGAGCCAGCCTGTGCTGCCTCCTACTATTTTTATTTTAGGTAAACCAACGCCATTTTGCAAAACTTGCACAAAGTTAGCTTCAATACTAGCATATTTCGTGCGGCACTTCTTCGTTACGATTGTAGCTTAAGAACTCTAAAACGTACGTATTCACTCATTTGATCAAGTATAATAAAAAAATAATGCTGATGCCCGCCTTTGGGACATATATAAACCGAAACTATATTATCATATCTGTATATCTAGACAACCTGTATATGACACTTCCTATTTGTCTGTAGACGCGATCTAGCCCTTTGTGGGTAGATTAGCGTGATTGTAACATACTTACGTTGACGCGGTTACATTTCAGTGTATTATTAATTGGCATTTGTGTTACGATAACGTTGTCCTTCGCTTGACCTATCCTGCTTTTTTTTTTCGGGGGATGAATTGAAAACATTACTGCAATCGGAAATTCCTTTACCAGAACATATTAGTGAGGTTGACTTTCAGCTTTGGATCTGGCGATTGCGGTTAAATTAATTGTAAACAAATGTGCGCAACAAATGCGCAGAGATCTGTTTCGGGAGATGATATTTGTCGAATTATCGTTTGAATTGCGTGTGCCACGCTGGCTAATCCGGCCTACAACGAAGCGGCCATCATAACGTCATGAGCAACTATTCGAATTACGCCCGGTGTAAGTATTTTGTGGCGCCGTTTGTGTTCGTTTAACCATTTCGCTGGCGTTAATTGGAGTAACGACTAAACATTTTACCCTTCGTTGATCGTCTGATCTCGAAATTCAGTGATCATGCTCCCTTTCAGATTCAGTTTAATACTTCCAGAAAGAATGAAGAGTTTGAGGCTGATGTCTACAAAACGCAATAGACGGGCGTTGGAGTACCTTGAAGTCGTGAAAAAGACTGACTGGTACCTCTTGGCGAAACAATTCGTCGAAATGCGGAATGGGTCTGACTCTAATAAGCTAGAAAATACTTGATTGCCTGGGTGCTTTAAACCGTCAAGGTATTTTGCGGGTCCGAGGGTAAATTAGGAAATTAAAAACAGCGTTTACCAGACCTGGTTTCAGCGTGATTACTCCCGGCGATCCAACTGCTAAACGAGAATATGTGTTGGTTCGTAACGAAATAAAAAAGGGGAATTGATAATTAGTGGTGGGCAATAATCTCGGCAGAAATACATCTAACTGTCGGGGCTGAGCTCTGTACTGAGCTTAAGTGAAATAAAAATTTTTGGTGATGCCAGTAAGTAAATGTAAAAATCAAAGCCTGTGTAAAAGAGATTCTTCAGGTTTGGATATGAGTCATAAACCGTAATACCGAGCTACAGATGACGCTGCATGAGTCGAATAAAAGTGAAAATGCCGTCGCCGAATGCTTATTTGTACACCATTGATTACAAGACAGATTCTGTACAAAGTCTGCCTTACGGATGAGAAAAAGAGCTACAATACTTAGCAATAGAAACAGTAGTTAAATTTTGGAACTGGGCGATCCTAAACAGAATTGCAGTAGAAGCTTTTGCAGCGATTGCAGCGTATGACCCGATTTCACACGTCAAGGACGGTCAAAATATTGATAACAAAGATCTTAGTGAAGCAAGTTCAAAGTGCTTTCAGCTACCTGCTACATAATTCGTTCATGGAGCGTTTGGAAGACCGACAAAGCGTTTGTCCTCTGATAATTCGGATTCTGCTTCACCAGATTATAGCTATTTGGATCCATCCCGCACGACCTAGAAGCGAAGAGACTGTAACCCCACAATAAGGCTATGCATTTATAGATGCTCTTTTCGTTAGCCGAAGATTCCTCAGTCATTTGCATCGTAGAAAAAGGCAACGGAAAACTGAAGTAATACTTTAGTAGGAATGGTTAGACTTCTCAAAAGATGAGAATTGCAAAATTAAAAAATGTTAACTCAGTAATTACATTTCCGACCGAACCACTAAAAAAAACCGAAGTTCGTTAAGTGTATGTATTAAAAAAAAAACCGATGTCTTTCTCTTAAAACTTTTAAGTATCTCGAAGTGAGTTTCCGAAACATCTGCCTCCACCATATACAAACTGATATGTTGGCGCCAGCACCTTTATATTTAGCCCCCATATCAATTAACTTGTAAGATATTGGTTTAATTACACGATGTTGGCTAAGGTAATTTTATTGCCTATTTCATGTGCCCCGATAACAGTTGATTGGTGCGTGGCTCTAAGCTCGTACAATGTATCGTGATAGTAAATTATATAGAAACAAAATTTCTGTATTTAACTAATATAAACAAAATCAGTAAAGCAACGCGTCATGTTCTGCTTTTTAGTAAGCGGGATACAAGACGAAAAGTATGATCTCGAGCATAAAAGGGAGAGTTTCGACAATGCCATAGATCGATCTTTTTCTAAAGGTAAGTGCGTTTAAACTTGTACGATTTGATAGTACGGTAATGATTTGATTCGATACTGATGTATGGCTTTGGGTACGGTATTTTAGTAGGAGTGCCCCTCCCCCCCCCCTAGTACCAGGCAAATAGCTGCGAGGCGAGGCTTGGTTTGTAGTCAGGCGTTTGGTCGTTGACCCCTAAATAAAGGAGAACAAATATTAAAATCACCTCAATCCATCGCTGGCCAAGTCGGGCAATATACGGCGCCGCTTGGTGTGCTTTAATCCATAATAGAACATAAAACCTCTATGAGCTTCGAACTAAATGACTTCTTAGTAATATATTGCATGAACATTATGAAACGTTTTATTCTTTTGTCACATCACGCACAAACTCAGGAGACAATTCGACTGTATATTATACATGTATACATTGTGTGGTATGTATCAAGCTGTATTCGTTATGATTAGATTTGTACAGACTGCGCGTACCACCTTGCCACCTGAAATATATTTAGGTCAAGTAACTTAACATCGTTTGAGGCAATTATGTCTAACTGATGTACTTGCATTAATGTTCTTTATTTTTCTTGTATGAACGTTTTTTCCATTTTCTTTTAGATCTTCAAATATTGCAATCCCATGGCAGCCATCAGCTGCCTCTGGAGTCATCTGAATATACGGGAAGCCGAAAGAAACTGTTTGGAGAAGCTGAACGCTCCCGTGGTGAGAATGTTACTAACTACTCCAATTTGTCACACTAACATAGCATAACGAAGCATAGACAATAAGTGTGATGGCACAATTTTACCGTCCTAAGTTAGGAATAATTCGTAAGGGTTGTAGATATTTTTGGGTTTTACGGTCGGAACTGGGTTAGCATTGCATCAATACATTCATCTGTATCTCGGAGTGGGTAGAAAAAATAAGTGCGATCGGCAGGAAAGTTAAATAACCGTATTCGTATCGAACAACACTGAGGAATTATTCCAGCCATGTTTAAGAATGATAATGAAAGAGATCGAACTGATTGGATGTTGCAATCAAATTTGTCCGGATCCGCTCTTAGATTTAAAAACTGACCTAGGACCCGATTTAGGGGAAGAACGTTTTAGGCATAGAGGTGCTCTTTTGACGTTTTTTTTTGGTAAAGGAGAATACATCCCTTGCGAATAATGTCACAGTCGGTAAGCACCATTATAATTTTTGAATTGTTGAAGGAGCAGATCTTTGTCCATTCAAAAACCCAGATTTAAAACGAAAAATGCTAATTGATATATACGGTCCAAATAAATATACCCTTACCAAGGGAAATCGGCGGTCCCCTCCCAAAGACGCAGTGTTTGGAACAGCTATTTTCGTTCTTAACGTTCTTGATGTAATTGGACAATAATAGTATTTTATCGCATGATCTTCTAGTTTTCAGGAAACGAAAAAAGACCATGCGATTACGGAAGCAAGCCTTCAGGAGATTAGTTAGGAAGGATTCAAGGTGAAAAGTAATTCAGTCACTATCGTTTCGTTGATCGCATATGCTGTACACGCTTTAAGGAAAATTTCTTTCAAAATTAGAATAGCTTCAGGTTTTTGATCCGGGTCATCGGTTGTCGATGCTCTCATGTATCGATAACCTTACATATTATTGAAGCGTACTATGTAATGGAAAGCTGTTCACGCGTATTAGTGGCATTAGCTTTGTGTGTAGAAAAATATGTAGAAGATTCTGAAAACATTTTTCTTTCTTAGGTTAACATGGTATTTGAGACCCAAAACACTAACATTACTAGGCGCTGGGAGTTATTGGTAAAAACAGTTTAACGGCGGGACTATCGGTAGCGTTAGCTGGCGTAGGGAAAGACGTTTTATTATCGAGTCCCTAATTATTGTATAGTTGCTTTCGTGGGTAACCGGTATTAGGAACAGGTTTTTGTACGAATAACTTTGCTCATTTGTGTGTGGCATTTAGTCGTCCCGTCGAGTTAAAATAAATAGCTCGATTCTCTATCACGAAAAATCAGTAGCAGGGTATCGCTAGAATTGGTAGACCAGGTTAGAAGTTAGGCCAGATTCGTAGTCGTTTTTACGTTTGTTTTATTGATTAGATACTAAAATGTTCAGTTTTCTTCAGAGCGATGGCCAATACGAAGCGTTTACTGCAGTCATTCGTAGCAGCAAATCGTAAAGTGCTCGTGATACGACTACCCAGGGAGCACTATGCGATGGAACAGACGACCTTAATTATGGTGGAAATGCTCAAATTAATCAAGGTTATTCGATCATCTCCCAGATGAAACTGGTTCGGCCTATAATAATTAGTAATATTATTTTTTATAGTACATTTATATTCATAATTAGCCCACATGCGAACGACTGTAATGAAATTTTTTTCATTCAAGACTGTGGCACATCAACAACCACGCTATCGCTCAACATTATATAACGTTTTTATATATATAAGATACATAAGCTATATCTAGATGAAAATGTTTCTGGAAAGTATATCCCTCACAGGTGCGTGCGTGCATTGTAACTGCCATACGTAGCCCAACCATGATATCCGTTTATGGCCTACACTGCTTGTAAATTATGGTCAAAAATGTTCTATAATCAGATAGATACCTTTTTTTTCGAAAATAGCCCTAATCGCGGCGTGAACATTCCGGAAGATCAGAAATAGCTTCTCACGTCATTCAAATGATTATTTGAGCCCCTTACCCATAATCTCTGTTGGGATATAGCGTCAGCGCATGAAATTCTCGATTCTTCAGAAGTCATGTAGCGACTAATGGCGATGTAGATCGTCGATTTTGGCTGACCAAGGAAGTTCATAATTTCGGTGGGGGTTCAGCTAACGTAAACTCATCAGATCATTGCTAATTTGATTTCACATTCCGAACATTTTTTGAATTTTCCGCCTCCGCCATGCTGACTTGTGGTGTGGTTCTAAAAGGATTAGACCTTGGTCTGGGGCCAAAAATTGAATACCAACTGCGGCTAACAGCCCATAACAGTGTGCCCCCAGTTACTCTGAAAATCTTACATAGGGGCTATTTTGTGGAAAATAAATGTTGGCGTATTTCTGTTAGACTCGTACCTTGGCGTATGATTATATCCGAGAAGGGGTTGAAAACCTATTCTACCTTCACGACCTATTCAGCGTTCAGGAGCGACGAATTCCGCGAATACCAGCCGTAAGCAATCCGCTTTTCCATGTTATTTGTAACATCAGCTGTATATTAGTACATACATTCGACACCGGAGACCTTAATCAACGTTAAAAATTGTAAAGCGACTTCACATTTAGCTAAAAATATGCTATACTCATATAAATTGGTTCTAATTTTTTGTTTTTAATTTAATCTTTAATACATATTTCTATAATAAATTACACAAATTTAGTTTATAACCGATTAATTTTTTTTAATGTAACAACAACGTTTACCAATATTCGCTTCATAAACATGTCATGGAACATCTCGTTATTCTAGTAGGTTCCTTTCCTTCTAGATTATCTTCCTTTTAACGTTACTAGATAAAACTGACTTTCAAATAAAATAGGCTGATTCTACTATCTCCGTATTTTAGTTCTTGGCAAATCTGATCTATCAGCTTCTGACCATGCTAGAGGAAATCGCTCCAATGCTTGAGTTAATAGCGAAGCAGAGACCCACAGACTGGACCCAAGTGCGCGAACTTCTCAGGACATATCAGGAACACCAGGAGTCGTTTTTTGATATCATGAACATGGTGCCGCCCATAGACTGTATAGCTCCAACGCGACTTCTTGGTAGGTGGCATCAATCATAATTGGGCAAGAGGACTGGGCATTAGCTTGGAAGTGAGTTTGATGTTTGATTAAAATTTTTATGACACAGGGGAAACATGTAAGTCATACGTAATGGAAATACATACGACTTTAGATGCGAGCGGTCAGATCAATTCTAATTCGATATGTCGATGCAAAAACCTCTTACCGAGGCTTCTCTTTAGGCTCATGAAGCGTGCGCAAGTTCGGTCAACTAGACGTGGTAGTCGCTAATAAAAATTATACGTACGTGATATAAACTAATAACTCGAGCCGACCTTACGTTATGCTGGCGACGATATTCATTTTAAAAAAGCATTTTTGGCATTTTTTAACCTTAACAGGTTCTTCAAAAAATGCCAAAAATGCTTTTTTAAAATGAGTATCGTCGCCAGCATAACGTAAGGTCGGCTCGAGTTATTATATAATAATAATAAAAGCTTATATAAGCGTTTATTCCTCATAACTTGATTGATTTTGTAACCTTGGCAAAATCTTAATTTTTCTATACCTCCATTTCTATTTACCTGAGATCGATTTGGTATTGTATGAAAGCCGATGCCAAAGTAACCTACAAGATGTTACTTTGACATCAGCTGCTTTATCTTTCTTTATCAACTTTTCAATTTAAATATAAATAGTAAGTAATATCAAGTAGGCACAACTATAGCTGGTTAAACATATTATAAGGTATAAAACTGAATACAATACCCCACTTTTGCAATTATAAATACATGTATTTGTACTTGAATCCATAAGTGTACGAAAAATACGAAGGCTGTAAGTGGTCTATCTGTATGTTTAGGTTTTATATTTCTGTTTTTATATGAGTTAGAACCGAAGCTACACTACAACTTCTTAATAGGCATATAAGTCACCATTGCACCATCTCAGGGGATAAAGGCTGCGCACAATCGGTACCAATAATCTTACAAAGAATTTAATTAATCATTCCTGAATTATTTGAAATCATTAAGCGTGTGGAATAGTTAGATTGTGACGGCCAACATTGCGAACCCAGCTATTTCAGGAAAGCATTAAGCCTCGGCTAAGAAGTATTTTTTTTACTAAAGGCGTTGGCGGATTTGGCTCTGTTTACAAAACTACTGTCTTCAGTGAAAAGATCACCTGTACAGTCAAATTGGTTCCACTCACGAAGTTCAAGATGCCGAAGCACGCTTGTGCGGACAAGGTTGTAGCATCGATGACAAATAATCGATTTCTTGTCAAGTATTATTCAACATTCGCCACGAACGAGGCTTTCCTCACGATAATGGAATACATTCGAGGCATCGATCTGCATCGTCTCGTGAAGGTTGGTCGATTTTGTTGCATCGCAATAAGACTATTACAACACATCCAGCCTAGTATGCTCCGATATAATACACAGCCAACCAACACCGACAGTCATTCTTTACTCAGCCTTTATATATATAGAGAGTAAAAATAAGCTATTTACGAATAAGGTCCGTACATCGTATATTTTCTAGTTCTCATGCAGGTCCTGTGTATATTATCGCGTGAATAATACTAGAGATATCTCTGACGTCGTCTTTTCTAGGTCAAAACATATCGGTACCTCGAAGGCGTATTTAGAATGATCATCCATTACTAAGTTCTATCGCCATCTAAAACGATGGTCCTCATATCCAAAAAAAATTAAGTGAATTACTGAAATAGTACGGAAAGAACAGTGAGGTACGTTAACCGAAACGGGAACAATTGGAGAAGTGTGACACGACAATTGTAACAGGATAACTAAGATTAACCCAGTTTAACGGGGGTACAACTACAGAGTAACAGAACAATTTAAGCTTGAATGCAGATCGATCTGTCTTTAACTTGGTTAGGTTTGACTGAAGTAAAGGTAGCATAAAGGATTTTTCTTTGGTAGACCCTTCTAGCAGGAATTTATATAGGAACTCATTAAAAATAACTCATATACATAATTTCAGGCTAACAGAGGGGTGTCTCACGATATTTGCCAGGTTCTACTAGCTCAGTTAGGCGAAGGTCTGCAGCACATGCACCTACGCGGATGTATTCACCGAGATATCAAGGTGCCTAAAAATGTCCGACCTTCTTCCTAAACATAAATTTCTGCTTACTAATATAGACAGTTATCATATAGTCGTTCTTGTCGATTTGTGCGTGTTACTCATATATGATATTAAAAAATTAAGCTTCATTAATCAATCTTTCTTATACAAGTCATCTTAGTCTCTTCAATCTAGAACTTACTAAATTCATCGTTCCTCACCGATTCCTCATCTTCAATCTTTCTTCGAACCGTCTTAGCCTTCAAATATAATGGTGATGCCCGGCAGTCAAGTCAAGCTGATCGACTTCGACACGGCTAAGATCTGCATTGGCAACTTCCTGCCTCGCTTATCGAGATTTTTTGGCGAACGTAGCGCGCGAGAATTCACAGACCGGGAAACTGCTGGCACAGTTCCATTCTTTGCGCCTGAGGTTCTCACTGGAGTTGGTTACGGACGCGCCTTGGACTGGTGGGCCTTAGGCATTACAGCCTTCAATTTAGCATTTGGCATGGTGCCATACAAGGGTAACAAAAAAGACAAGGAATTTAGAGAGAAGGTGGCTCACTCAAATATACCATTTCCAAAGGGTGTCTTCATTAGCAGTCAATTTAAGTCGCTAATTAGTCAGCTGCTTGAAAAGAAACCAGCAAAACGTATGTGCTCACTGACCCTTGAAGAGTGGCAACGACATTCGTTCTTCCAGGATCTCAATTGGGATGAGCTAAGAGCGGGTAGCCTAAAGATTGACCTACCAGCGATTACCGACGAGATGGAGTTAGATAAAGAGACGGCATTATGGTCGCCTAAACCACCGAAAACATATGATAAGGGATTGCTGGAACTGGAAAAACAACAGGTTCACCCTTTAACCATTCGATAAATAATGCTTAGGGGCAGATCATACATTAGCAGGACGTGTTTGAACGAACTGCTTCTATCGTAAATTTAGCTGAATACACTACATTGAATTTTCCATATTGACTAACTAGAAGACCCAATTGGCCATTTGTATTCTGTAGTACCTACGCTTTCATATAAAGACGATTCATTGGGTAACTTCGTTGTTCCCAGTATTTATTATTTGACACTTTGTGACCTAACGTTTTTGCTTAGAGGTTGTGAGAGTAGTGATACAGGGGGGCAAGTCTCTGAAAACCATCATGGTAAAGCCTCTTTCTTAGTGTCAACGAGGCGTTGCCTCCGCTTCTATGAAAGAGGTTTTTTCTCTCTAAAAAACAGGCTAACTATTTATCGCCTGCCTGCCTCTTGATAAGCGGAATCTTTATCTTACGATCTTGTGGATCTTACGAAAGGACATAACAGCTCTTGATAAGGCTCTTGTAAAAAGGATAAATAACCAGGCAGTAGTAATTTTATACATGAGTTGTAAACGATCGGCTCAGCTAATCAATCAAAAATAATTGTTAATCTCGTTACTGGGGAATCTTAGACATGATCTTTTCACAGCTAGATTGTTTTGGGCTCTGCAGGCAAAATAACGAAAAATCTAAATATGTCGTTAAATTGAGTATTGTCGTAGCAAACGCATGTGAACTATAATGTATGGAGGCAAATAATTCCATATTTAAATGTCCTTTCTAGTGCTGTAATAAACCTCATTCGTTGACTTTTTAATATGCCATTACGCCACACGCATTTTGCGTATATTTTTAAGTGTTACCTAGCACGACTTAATCAGGTTTTGATAAACGCATATTGTATTACGTCTACAGGACAGCGATATACAGAGTCCACTGTACACATACGCATCATCAGGATTTCAACGCTGCCTTGATATTTACCGGGCAGGTCGAATCGCCATTGAAGATGACATTTTGGATGCACCCTATGAAGACGTGCTGCCTAGGTGTTCGAAGGAGTATCGTTTTCAGAAATTTGTCGAAAGATAAAGCAATTCATACTGATATTTGGCAGCTTTAAGCCGTTCTAACAGCCAACGCCTCCAACGCCTAATACCTATTTTCTTTGGAAGCCAAGACGCTATTGCTTGTGTGAAACGGATTAGTAACTTGGACCCACGAAAAAGAGTGCTCTTTTTAGAGACATTGTTCGTTATGTACTTACACATAGGTGGCAGAGTGTGTACCCGAAAACAAGCAACTGTATTAATTCTGAGGCTTTTATATTCGTCTGTTAGTTAAGGTGTAGTTGCACTATGGCGGTAAATGCGTGCCTGCGTTTGTGCATAACTTTCGATGTGCGTACGTTCGTCAAAAACGACTGTCTTACTGCTCCAATATGGAAATGTAGCATAGTCAATGTATTGATGCTGGTATAGTGTTATGTTATGAAGTGGTGTATAAAGATATATGGACATACACGGATATATGTAAAGGCTACTGATTCTTTTCATTTACGTTGTCTACGTTTATTGTTATTAACACCGCCATGACGACTCACCATTTGCATTGTACGACGAGTGCTGCGGTAAAGGACAATAAGAGCAGAAGTGTGGAGCAGAGGTAGAGGTATGAGCAGGGTATCATTACTCGGCCGAGTTATATTTACAGACCATCAAATTATAGATTTAGCGTGTAACTTAGAATATTGTTGCTGATGACATTTCCGATTGACGCCGTTAAGTTGACGAGTGTTCAATACATTAAAGATATAAACTTTGTTTAACCTTAACTCTTGTTTAGAATCATTGTCATATCACCATTTAGAGGATTCGGGACGAAATGTTATCTAAACATTTTTTCTTTTGAGTTCTAGGCTTCGAGTGCGTAGAAGTTGGGATGCGTCCCAACGACAAGTTAGGAAGAAGTCTACTGTCGTCTGCTTAGCAGACAGTTTCATGTAAGAAACTGGGATACGGTTGAGCCTACACAAAAACAAATAGCTTAAAGCGAAACAAAGTAACGTGTAACGAGTTCGTCTTCTCGGCACTAACGATCAACCGTATTCTACACAACATAACATTGTTTTAAGAAGCTGACCAGAGATCCGTGAATCATGATCAAGGAATAAGTCGCTAGTGATCTACAAAGGAGTACACCAGAAAGCAGCTAAACGCCGCCCTCGCTGCTGATAATTGTGCTTTATATTTCGAACTTAGTGCAGACGATGCCTACAAAACTACAAATAATTGTTTCACCCAGAACGCCAGTTCATTGTCTCCATATCAGAACGTATGCATGCTGATCCTAACTGCAAGACAATGGCTATTTTCTAATTAGAAAATAGGTACATTCTTATTTAAGGTGATAGGTATAGCCGTGGAAGAAAAGGGAAACTTAATGTATGCCTATCTTTAAGTTTCTCTTCCACAAAGTACTGGTAGGGCTTTCTTCTGTGATTCCAGATGGTAGGTTCTCCTTTTTTTTTTTTCTTATATTATGCAGCTAACGGTTTGCCTCAGAACTTCCCGTTCCATCCTTTTGGACAAATGCAATTCAGTTGTTGATAGTTTCTCGAATACGCATAGAAGCATTATATTCACTTTTAGGCCCTGACGACCTTAGCCGGTCGACGTGAAGATTTCTGAACTGCTGCTCTTATTCGCGCACGCTCTCTATCTTCATGATGGTGGTCTGAAAAATCTTTCTCCCCTTGATAAGTTATCCTTTTTATGCTGTTATATTTAGACTGGCACTATATTACAGTGTCACAGGTGAGACGGTTCAACCATGCGAGGCTTTTCTTCGAGTTGGCACAGCTACGAACAAAACGTAATGTTCAAACTCATGCCGTACTTATATGCACCTTGGTATCTATGACAGTATACTCGTGTTTTGCGACCTCTACAGCTTTGCAGATGATTGGTTTCCTTTTAGCACTAAGCTGTGCATCTGAGTCGGGTTTCGAAGGATTTTCTTTCAGATTTACTCAAAACTAGACCACGTCATTAAGCGTTCCTAAGCTGAGTAGGCAAAGACATAAATCACTGCACTATAGTTGCTAATCTAAATAGTTCGAACAAGAGTATGCAGTGTATAGAATTGATTCATGCATGTTTTGTTTTTGCAGACTTATCGGACATCATGGGAATATCGTTGCTTTTATGTACTAGCACAGGTTAGGTGACAAGCAGTAGCTATAGCTGAGTATATATTTCAATTCGCTAATAATGTTTTCCCTTATGTTTTGATAAATATTAAAAAATAACCGCTGTCATCCGGCTGTCCCGAGCTTAAAATGGTGCTGGAATTTACTTAAAAATATGATACCATGATGGTAATACGCTCGTAGTGTTTTAAAAATATTTCGATTTTTTTTTTATATTGGCGAACTGATATTTGAGGGAAATTAGTAGTTAAAACGGAATGAGAAATATGCATTTTTCAACCCCTTCCTAATACTAAATTTAATATGTATAATAATAATAACCTCGGAAGTCTTTCTCATGTCTATTGCTCTAGCCATCAGAGTGATCTTGCTAAACACTTGGGTTTTTTTTCACTCCAGTATGTGTATGAAACAGAATGATGATAGTATGCTATAATAACGATCTAGCAACGCTGAACAGATGCGCATTAATCATCCAAACTACGACGCCCTTTGAAAACAGATTATGAGCATACAAACGGATAACTACACGGTGGCTAAATGGCAGTTTTACAAGTCGCTTTCACGACAATTATGTGCCATTTGCCGGCAACCTATAGCAGTGCGTACAAAATGAATGACCGTTTTGGGTCCTTACCTTCGTAAAAGAATTGCTTCAGGCCACAGGACCTTAGAACAGATTGTCGTGTCTACACTCGGTTTCGAATCTTGATCGCCTTGCTAGATCGTAAGTTTCACAAGTAAACACGTTATCAGCCCTAGGACTATTACGGAGGCTTTTTATGCTATGCAGCTCTATTCTTACTATTGTTGCAGTGTTTAGTGAATGACCGTTTTGTGTGAGTTCGACTTTTGAAATGGGCCCAAAATTACTGATAACAAAGGCTGGTGAAAATATCTTACTGTAGTAGTAATATGACGATGCATTTTCTGAGACTGATAATGTGCGTCGTTCTTAGAAATGGCGATGGATTTTATCAGCATTACATATCATAGGTGTTGCCTTGCTGAAGCGTAGCTGCGAGGTCTCCATATATTTAGTGGACAAACTGTTATCATTATTGCTAAGTCGACTGCAAATAGCAAACAAATTAAGGCAACGTTCTAACACAATTTTTTATATATTTTTTCTTTTCGATACTTAGTTTTACGTTTGTTTTTTCTAAACAGTAGCCACTACATCGATCGAGGGATCGAGTAAAATCGATGACAGGGCGACGATATAATACCTAAAGAGCGATGAATGAGCTTTTTTTTGAATAAAGATGAAGGAGTCACTAGGAATCTATTTGTGTTCATGATACAAAAGAGTCTTACGGATTTCACAAACGAGAAAGTGTCATGGAATATACCCCACCGAAAAAACTACGGCATCAACTAACAACAACAACAACAAATCAACTAACGGCAAAGATTAGGCGATTTTAAATAGCCAATATCTATTTCTAATATGAATACAATAACATAAAAAATATAACATACAACCAAGTAATTTATACTCATATAGTGAAATCCTTACACAACCCTTAGTGCTTTTTTGAGTATAAAAGAAAGTGCCTTCATATGTTGAAGTTGCTCCTTATTATAATGGTCGTTCTGAATAAGGATACACGGCTTCAGTGCTATAGTACGTGTAAATGTGCCTCTAGAGCATGTGCATACGGTTTACGTATGCAATGTGCATCAGGTCTCGCTGCTGCATTGTCAATAAGGACAATTTTGGACACTTTAATCTTCTTCAACTTTAATAGCCAACTTTTCGCTACTTGCTGTTTGTGCTATTTATCCAAACTAGCCAAAGTTGTCTGATATGACTTCGAATTACACCTTGAATGCAGAGAACTTTACAGTATACGATCGCAGTGTCTTCATGATTTTCAAAAAGATGCGAAAAATGGTGCAGTTAGTAGGACATGTCACTTACTTTTTGTTACTTTATATAATATTGGAATTTGATATAACTATTCTGTAATACATTGTTAGTAAAATCAAATGTACACTATATTTTTGGCGTTTTCTAGCTTAAGTAGCGAAATTTGTCTGAATCATATTAAAACTTCGAATTTGGTAAAGCAGAACGTACGCCATGACATAATGAAATTTTAGTGCATGAGATGACCGCAAGCGCAACGGATTTACGGCTTCCGCGTAGCTCTACATACAAATAACAACACGTCTATTTATCTAAAAATTTCACTGAATTTAGCGAGTAGTACTACACTAACTTTTACGAAAATGTGTCTTCGAACCATGGTTTTCCTCGGGTTGTTTTTTGGCGTTCTTTTGCAATTTTGTGAAAAGCATTTATTGTCTCTATTTTTCTATATGTCTCGACTGTATAATGACCACTCCTATTGTGTCGTATTACCTCCACTTGCATTAAGATGCTTTTTTTTTTTTATCTGCTGGTATTATGTGACTCCATGACTGTGATACATAAAATGCACTGTACACGTTTGCATCAATGGGATTTCAACATAGCTTTGATTTGTATCGCGAAAGTTTGTTCGCTGTCGAAAACGTCATCGAACGATATAGTTTTCAGAAACTTCTTGTTAAAGGAATTGTGCCTGATTGTACAACAGGTAGCAAGCCATGACATATTATAGGCGCAATTCACCTTCAGGTTCTTCAGTGACAATTGAGCATCAGTCATTATCAACAAAAGAATATCAAAAAGGTCTTGGTGAAACTTTGGTGGAGTAATAACTGAGTCAGAAGCTGAAGAAGACGTTTCCCTTTAACGTTTATATATTGATTAGTATGGTGAAGGTGTTCTATATAATTAATATTCAATAATTAGCTGAGTAATATAAGCACTTCGTTTGTAATGGGAGAGATTGAAATAGCAAATGTAGTTTTCCGGACAAATTAAATGACTTGTTTGGATCGTCTAGTTTTAGCATATGTGCGTATTGTACGAACAATAGCTATCAAGCCGAAAGATTTATGAGGAGAATGTATTTGCAGTCATATTTTAAAGGCGGGCTTTTTAAATTCAGGTTTTGGCTGGGCTTGGTTATTGAGAAGTCGCAGCCAACATTCATCAGGTCTTCCGTTCATAATGGTTGGATCGTCTATGTACATCTGATTAGAATTATAATACTAGAATAATAATAAGGTAAATTTTGTGAGCATAGTGTAACGGCAGTGCGTGACGTCAACTTTTCAAACATGTATATGGAAACTTCTATACATTACTTTATGTAACTGCATAGATCACGTTCGTATCGTAACGGAAGTTTCTGTATGTATCTTTCGACTAGCAAGCTTAGTTAAGAGTCCACGGAAAATGTATTTTACGGATGGTTTTTTTAAAAGTGTACTCTTGAACATGTTTGCGCAGTGGCTTTCCTGTCAACACCACTATAGCGTACTGAGTTCGATCCTTCGTATTGCCAGAAATGAGTAAAAAAGTAGAAGTTGTTGAGGTGAGTGCCAGAAATGAACTCGACAGATAAATGAAAATGAATGGATTATATTGATACAAACTTGATTACCAAGTAGTTTAGAAATCGTCTCGTATTATTAGCGCACTGCGCTTGGGGGAATCGGATCAGCATGAACAAGTACAACAACTCTTTGCGATGCTCGCGCTCCAGTAGTTGACTATTGAGCCATTTACAAATTATGGCTTGCTGAAAAAATTATGCTACCCAGTCAACTATTTTTCCCCGAGACTTACCGTACAACTAGTGGCTTCCAGAACGCAGCCAAGTTTAGCCAAGGATTGAAGTTGCGATTTTGATAGTTCCCTTGAAATCATGCGGTGATAACGCATTCGCCCGCTAAATTAGAAATACGTAATAGTTTAGGCTCGAATCCATTACGTAAACAGCGTAACCATAGCTTGTTTCATGTCGGAAAGAACCAGCTTTCTAGAGAATGTTTAACAACGTAAGGCTATCGTGTTTACTCTAACACAATGATTGAATACAATCTTTTAGCATAGAACCTCAAGTTATGATCATTGTGGTCATCAGTATCGTCGTAACGATCGCACATTATTAATGTAAAACCAACCACCCTATCTATTGTACCGTTTACATTCTATACATCTCTGTGACATCTTCCTGACGTAAAATCTTGTAACAAGCTAACGAGGTCCGATAATCCTCCGTTGTAAAGGAGTTATCATAGTTCGTTAACAGTTCGGAGCTAGCACTTACGCACCTATCCATATAAATAGCGAGACCTGCCCTCGTAATTGACCTAACGACGTATGGGCACTTACGCATGAACCCGAGTAACAGCGCCCGTTTTAGTTTGTTTGGTCACTTAATTTGGACTTAATTCTTGCCAGAAGTTACCATTGGTAGGTATACTTAATAACTTTAACCTACGGTCTATGATACGCTCTATCACGAATTAGAAGATCTCTATACATAAAATCAGCATTAGAATTATTTACAATTGATAATATCACCACATACTTACATTATACATGCATTCTCCTCCATAATTCGTACTATTGATACTAAAAACATTATACGGTTATTATTACGATACGTCGTCGTAGGAAATAGATATTATGACTAACAATTACTATTACTACCAATGACATAACACAAGTACACGCACTGATCTGCACATCAATTGGCGCCGGGGTCGAGCCTTCTCTCTGGGTTCGACGTCTTGTCGCTTTAAAACGTTTAACTTCGTTGAACGCTTAGCAGCTTAGCTTTCCTGGGGGGCTTCTGTCTCGAATTTGTATTTAGGTTATGAGGGGTTCTAGTAGCTAGAGAATATACAGAGTTCTGATCGTCGAAGGAAGTTAGTGCTACTATAGGAAAATGTAAACTAGTGATGTTGACGCTCTAGAAGTACATGTGATCGTTTTGCCATAGCTATAAGAGAAACGAAATCGCCGAGTTGTATGTGTAGATTCTGCGCTAGATTAGATTCTGTCAGAAGTGATGAAGCACTTTCGTATGATGTTGATATGGGTTCTGTTAAGCCGTCCTCAAATTCGGTGCTGGCGTGGAAGTGGATGAAAACGGGTAAGTTGGCGCTAAACTCGGCGTTGGTGTGTGAGCGCCATAAGGGTTGACGATTAGCACGTGTGGCGCAAATGTTGGAGCACCTAAAGGTGTGCCCATAGGGGTACATTTGGTGCAGGTGTTGAAGTATCAGAAAGAGTCGCAACTGGCAGATTTGGGATAAGTGTTGGACCAGCTGAAGATGCGCCCACAAAGAATAAATTCAGAGCAAGTATTACACCGTCAGGAGAGATGGCAACGAAACGGGCGCGTTTCAGTACTTGTTAAGCAAGTCCACACAAAGCATCAAAGGTAACAATTGACAGGATTGACGCAGGTGTTAGAGCATTTGAAAGCGTGACGTGAAGGCTTCCCTGCGCGTTAAACATCACCACGAACTTGTTGCCCTCAGCCGCCTACTTGAAACAAATTTCAGTTTCTCTATAAACCTAGATCGACGCGTCAACTGACTTTCTTGGTTTCAATCCTGTATGTGCTTCCATCTTTAGCATCACGTCACCGGTTAGTAACCTATAGGATGGAATCACCTTTACTAAACGTATTGGTCGGCTTTACCTGTCCATCCTCGTCCAACATCTTTGATTTCACGTCATTGTATCATCAGTGTTACTCCTGTTAATTGTTTTGACTGGTTTAATACTACTAGGGCGGTCTATTTCGTCAGCTCTTTCTTTCAGTTTTGTCAATTTTTCCTACATCTTTATAGGTCTCTCTTACTGGCCTTAAAATCGATTTCGACTTCTTCAGTTATCTTATCCAATCCACCCGTCAATACGTCAAGGGCGGGCTTAGCGTGTTCATCACATATTTTCACTGCTGCAGATACCTCAACAGGTTTTATTTCGTGGTCTGATTTAGTTAGTCCTACAGGTTTCTCGGTCGGCTTCGACAGTACGGTGACGTCCTGCCTAATTTTGGAGATCTGACTGTAATTTTTTTTCCGCACGTCCTCATCTGACCCCTTCAACCCTCTAACTTGACTAGCTAGATTGGAGTGCGGTGTGACTGCTTCTATCGCCTTTGCATCTACTTCTAGTTGATGACCTGGAACTTTATCCATTTCCGACATCTGCGTTACCTTTACAGGTATGTTCGTTGCTATAACGTGTACGTCGAGTTCAGCCTTCTGTAGCGGTTCCGTAACATCTTTTAGTTTTACGTCTTGATCAGGTCGAATCAGCTCTGCTGGTTCGACGGTATGTTTCGGTTGTACGTACTGACAAGGATTCGTTGCGGTTGTTGCCTCCTTGGGTCCTCCTTGAAACCCAGTTGCTTCCGGGCTTTCAGTTGGTTCCAGCAACAGTTTGGGCTTTGTTGGTTTGCTAGTCGACTTCGATCTGAAATCCTCGTTTGATATTACTGATGACGTCCGCACGTAAGGCGGTTTCAATTCAAATTCAGAGCTCTCGCTTATTTCACTGGTCGACGTCAATTTTGGCACTGGTTTACAAGCCGCAGTTGGCGTAGGTTGTATATTTAGATCAGGATCTCTAGTTAATGGTATTTCCGCCAACTTCTGCTTGACCTTGTCAGGCTCTTCGGAGTGAGGTGGCTCTGTCATTGCTGCGGGTATCTCAAGGGTCGGATCTTTGCCAGAAGGAAGTGGTTCAGCGCCCCTGGGCATTAATTGCGCAACTTGTTCCAATTTAACTTTGATGTGTGAGGCTTCTGAAGATTCGACAGTTGGCTTTGGAGGTATGATTGGAGCGGATGCACTTCTTTCGGTCGAAGTACGTGTAGGCGCACTTGGAGTCGTCATAATGTTTGGTGTGGTATCTCTTACTATTTTTTCTTCTGGCTTTGATTCTTCACATGTCTCGGCTTCTTTCACAGTCGATTCTGAAATCGAGACGCACTTTGTAAAGAGCACTTCTATTAATTTTTCAGATGGCTTTAACTCCAACTCCAACTCCAATTCCGGTTCAGCTGCTTGACCTTCTATAACTGCCTTCTCAGCTGGCTGTTTAGTCAGGATTTCGTCTTTAAGAGAAACGTCTATCGATTTGTCCGTTGCTTTCGTGATCGTGTCTGTGCCACAACATGTTTTTCCCGCATCTTGAACAATGCGTTTTGTTGCAGGGGCTTGTAAGAGCTCCTTTGTTGGTTCTATCTTTACATCTGAACGAGAAAACTCCAATGGTTTCTCGGTCAAACGTGGGATATCTGAAATAGGCACAATTGGCAGACCTTTAGATGGAGTAAATTCTGGTCTAAAAGTAGACACTTCCGTTGCTATATTTGGAGCTCGGCTTTCTTGCGATCCAGGAGCTGTGACGCCCGATTTCACATCGAATTCAGTGGAGGAAACGTCTATTAGCTTATCACCCGGCTTTAAAGCACTCACACCAATTGTAGAAGCCTCAAAAGAGCCTAATGGCCTTTCGGTCGGCTTCGAATCAGAGTCTGTATTGGGGCCTTCCGTAGTTTTGATAATCAGCTCCTGAGGTTGGATCAAAGTGGTCGGGGTGGTTTCTACTGGCTGCTTTACCGCCTCACACGCCTGACCCGTGATTACGAACGGAGTTTCGACTTCAGCTTTAGCTGGTTTCGAGTCGTGGTACGAATCCTGTGAAGGCGCTTTTGTTTCTGAGGCTTGGGGTAATGCCGCCAAACAAGCTTCTATAGCGACTTCAGCTGGTTTGTGGAAATTCAACGGAGAAAACTCGGTTGATTTTTCAATCGGTTGCAGAGGTTGGGGTAAAACTGGATAAGGAGTGCCTACAGAGACCTCAATCGGCTTAGATGTTGGTAGTAGGACCTGTGAAGGAGCTTCCATTGCGATCTCCGGCGGCTTAGGAATTTGAGCAGAAACCGACAAAGGCACGTCTACTAAATTCTTCTCTGGTGTGGGAGTTTGGGACACTGTATAAGAAGCATCCATTTCCACCTCAGCTGGCTTTGCAAACTGCGGCGACACCGGCAAAGGCGTTTCGGTTGGAGTCTCGATGAAACTTTGGGGCGTTGCTGGTGACAGAAATCCTGCTGTGACTTGATCTGGTTCTGAAGCTTGGGACGAGTTTACGTGCGGAGACTCTAGAAATTTCTCTAACTTTAGCGTTGGAGGTGAGGTGCAGAAATCAAGTTTCACATCCTTGTCGACCACGTTTAATGTCGAGGACCTAACGGGCAAAGACTCTTCAAATTTGTCAACCGACGACGGACCTCCAATAGGTATGACTGAAGGCGGTGTATCCATTAAAAGATCTATTCCTTTCTCAGCTGTTTCTAACGTTTTGGTGTTAGTTTCTCTAGGGTTATCGGCAAGATTCATTCCAAAACCTGAATAATGACGCTCATTCGGTGTTGGTTCAAAATCCACACCGGTTGCATTTACTTTCTCGTCAACGTTCGTAGTTTCGACGGGTTTAATCTCTTCTACCAATCCCTCAAGCAAACGTACAGGTTGTCCAGACTGAAGAGGGGGTGGCAAAAGGGGTCGTGGAGAAGGCGGCGGTAGGCGCTCAGTTGTAGTGGCTTTCGATGTAAATATACCCATAGCGTGACCAGATGCTCTGACACACGGCGTCAATAATGCCCAGTTTTCAGGTGTTAAAAAGATCTTCTAGTTGCCTAAATTGCTCAGTTTAGCGATCTATTCAGGTCATTTAACGAGGTTCTCTGGCTCGCACTCTGCGAGTGCCTTTGCAAAAAACACCCGACCTCGCCAAGCTTGACAGTCTTCAATGAGCTCACGCACAATGGGACTACCGATGAAACGACAAAAGGGAAGCCAGGAAGGCCGAGATAAAAGTGAAACTGAATGCGCGATTTCGGTAATACGAATCGTCCCAAAGTATAGCGACTTACACTGCTAAATCGATTTAGGCTGTTGGCCAAAGAAAATGGACGTTGTATAAAGTCACCATTAATAGCTATGTAAGGCCCCAGTTCATCGGTCACGATCGAATCAAAGATTAACACGTTTTTAGGACGAAATACATTTGCAGTGGCAAGCTCTTGGCACTTGCTCATCACTAGTAGACGGGTAGGGTTGGTCGATTCTAGCGATCAAAATATCCAAGAACGTAAGTTAATACTAAGTAAAAAACGAAGTAACTATAATGTCTAAATCATACGAATTATTCCCCCCGGTGATAATGTAGTGATAACGTTTCTGTTTACTGAAATTGGCAAGGTGGGATTGGTTCGAGATCTGTGCCTTTCTGTAAAACGAGCCGCAAAAGCGGCGCTTAACGAGAAGAGAACAGCGACGTAGAACTCGAAAACATCAGATGCTCAGACTAGTGCTGTTGTGCTGTGATATAGTTAAGGCTTGAAGCTGATTACAAATGGGCACATCATGATTTGTTGCTCTGTTTATCGCGATGATAAATTTACAAAACATGGGCGTAAGCAACATCGGTAACGTTTAGTGAGCAAGCACCATATTGGAGTCAAAGGCCTAATTTAGGCAGCTGATATGAGCAAACTTCGGGCAGGAAACGCTGGCGACAGCTTAGACACGTATCAATCAGTCTACATCAACAACAACGTCTTACAACAGGTCTTACAGTCAACAGAAGCAATACGACGGGCAGTACAAAGTGGGTTACATGCACTTAGGGGAATTATGTGGAAGAAACGTTTGATATCCATAATATGTCTGATGATAATGATAATCTTACTGTATTCTAAGAAATAGATTCGGTACGCTTTTGGTAATGCAACACACCAACTGTAGTGTTATACGCAACTAAATACTGTTTAGACGCAGGAATACACCATCCTTCATGGCTAGAAGTCTTTAAGTATGGCTTAGTTCTTTGTATAGCCTTTTACATGATCGCCCAATGTTCAACGAATATCATTCGCTTTGCGCGCATTGCATCAGCCTTCTTACGCTCGACGTGGAGCAATTATCGCTAGACTCGACTAAGTCAATTCTGCAGTGGGTCTATAATTGCGCTAGGTAGCCATAATTATATGCGGAATTGTTAATTGAACAAATACCGACGTTTGCAGTGACGCTATGTTAAGTTCTTCTAGGTGTACTAGGTACTACCCAAGGGAAAAAGTCGGTTTGTTTTATACAGGTTTAATTAATTATACAGCTTTATGAAGGATGCTTGGCCAGAGTACTCTCACACATATATTTGCCCTCGACACAAAACACGCTTTCGTGCAATTTCGATTTACAGACTACGTTGAAAACAGCTTGAAGTCTATCCTTGTCAATTTTATGTAAAAAAAAAGTTATAAATCTTAATACTATTGATTTTTATTTCCATTTACGTCATAAAAATACTGCGACTAGGAATTTTTCAGCTGCATTTTAACGTCGAAAACTGTATGGGAAGAGAGGAATACTCCTTGTTGGTCGCTGTTTGAAGCTATTAAAATTTATAAGCATATTTAGATCTCCGGTGCTACTAGGGGTGTTAGCCTCCTTAACGAAGCACAGGTTGTCATCATTATTTGAATAATTGTATCAGATGCTGTATTTCTCGATTAGGTTCTAGACGGTTAAATCGACAAATCTACAAAGGGCAATTATGTTATACACTGATTATGTTCAGCCAGAATAAATCCATTGGTTTCTTCCAGTTACGATGATGCATTGAACATCGACGCTCACAGGTCACCCTGCTGAACGTAATTGCATTTTGGTCATAAATTCAACTATTCTTCACCCTTCAGGAGCGTATCATAATTGCCCCGCGGATAGTTCATTTACCCGAACTGGACCAGTGAAGCTTTCAGTGTAGCGTTCTTCAATCGCTTCAGCCTAAGATAGTGACGATTATTAAAAACGCACATGCTGCATTCTGCAGTAATATTGTTTAATGAACAACCTCATTGCTGGACAACTAGCAATCAGGACCGCATTCCTAATGGGGTGTGCCTTGCGAATTCTACACGTTTAATAGAGACTGATTATAATTTCGTTACCATACTTTCTTATGCATGCGTTTTCCAAAATAAATGTTTGTTTGTTTTTGGAAAACTGTAAACGATAGGACGCTTTTTGAACTAAACATTTTTCTAATTATAGCGTATTTCAGTTAGTGTCATCCGCGTACTCTGCTTACGCTCAAAAAAATTTTTGAGCATAAGCAGATTTGTCCTTGAGGGCAGAATTGTAGAAAGCAAGGTAGTGCGCATCGTTGATGGGTTGATCTCCCTTTTACAAAAAATTCACGAGGCAATTCAGTAAGCAATGCTAGAACAGATGGGGTCTGCAGCTATTTTTTCATAACAGCATCCACACTCACCGCTTTATGAATACTGCTACTACGACTAAAAGTAAGCGGTATTATAATGGCCCTGCATACAGGGACGCAGAGTTGGTCGTTTGCTTCCCAGGTGACGACGACGGCGTTTTAGCTCATTACGAAACGCGTCGATGTAACTGACTTCACCCCGTTATTGTACTGATGCTGATGAGGACGCTAGAAAAAAATAAATCGATTTTTGACAAGGTCTAGTCACTGAAGAAACAGCTGACAATCACGAACAATTGTGGTTTTGCTGAGAAGAACCGGCAGGAGCGGACCACCAGTGACACTGGGGTAATAATAATAACACAGTATTTTCTTTCGAACGCGATTGCCGAGCAAAAAATCTTTTCGTTTATTTCGCAGCTTATCATGAATATTGTAAGATGATTGCCGAACATTCGATTCATTGTGGTCTTTCAGTGTTTCCGTGACATAGTCTGCATAAGCAAATTATGAAATGAGATAACACGTAAGCCTTAATTTTCGGTTCAGAGAATATGTGTAGATGAAAGGAACTGATCCATCGTTAGTTGTAGTTTATCTAGATTATTGACTAATTCAGTATTTAGAAACAGATAGGTGTACGTTTATTTTGATTCGTTTGATACAAATACAAATGTTCCAGCATTTTATTGATTCTTGCTAGACGAGAATGTTAAAGTGACCGCTGGTGGAGAAATTCGTTTTTTTTTTTTATGCTATATATTTAGACACAGCAAAGTGACATTGATATGCCTTTTTCCCAAATAAAGGCTAGACGGGTTTACGGGAACGCACAGAGTCTGGGCTACAATGGAGCTTTTATGAGACCTCAATTAACCTATAACCGAAGCTTTTTTTAGATTCTACAAGCACCTCCTACACAGCTTAACACGGGTTCTGCCATATTTAGCACTATGTTCGGGGTGAATTTGATAAATTCTTTTTAATAGAAACTTGTGATTATCTTATTTCAGTTCTGCCATTACCCGCTGTCCCAACTAGCCTAATGCATTGATGTAGTCATCCCAATGCGCCGAATCAGCCATCAACCGCTTTGTAGCTTCGGTAGTATATTATGTAATAAAGTTACGTTAGCTGACCCCTAACGCACTGTTATGATTACTAGAATCAATAGAAAAAGAGGACGATGTGTCGATATCAACCCGAGTATCGATGATCTAAATGGATAAAGAGATGCCTGAGGGCAAAATAAGTTCGGTGGGGCATGAGAGGAAACATTGGTCCACTTCGCTATTATAATATCCAACAGCCGCAATCAGATGCTTCATTGCACGTCTTGTAGAGCTTCAATGTAAACAATTTATATGGAAAATATAAACGGTCAGTGACTAGAATGAACGAATCACGTGCATCTCAACGTAAATCTATTACGATGGATTAATACCGAGCTATCTGTGTCATAGTGATACGTTTTGAAGATCGAAATACATTTTATTTACTTATTAATAACGGATTTACCTCTGGTGAAAATTTTGGAACTGGAATTCGGGAAGCTGGCACCCGATGTGTGTTTCGCCTGTGCTTAGCAATAACGGTGGTCTGAGCGTTATTCAACATTCGAGGCGAACATCCCTTGCCTCTTTCTAGAAAAGCCCTAAATAAATTAACACACTTATTTTTTAATTGAATTTTACTAAGCTGGCTGGTCCTTTTAATTCTGAAACACGCAATATTCAGGAAAACCATTCAGATTCCAAGAGACCTTCTTATAGTAGATAGTGCAAATCTAATTCTACATAGCGTGTTTTCACTTACGATCATCCGATATGCTGTTCTATACGTATATTTCGTTTGCCCCCGTTACTAGGTTCATTGTAAACAATGCAAACATCAGTGTTACCGACAGAGAAATACGTTCCCAGAAGTCCCGCCACCAGACTATGGATAGGGCGAAATGTTATCAGAAGCGGCGTGATTATCCATTACACTGCCGCTTCTGTTGCATTTCTTCTGCTTTTATTGTCTCTCGTATGACGGTGTATGAGAATAATGACAGTGAAAGTCTTGGGTGCTCCACCGTGAAGTTAGCACTGCAAGGCGGTTTCCCTTCGATGAGCAATGTATTGGATGTTCAGAGCACGCTACTGTGCTCTTCTGAGAGTCTGTTCTCTCGATGTATTCTTGTTGTTTCTGTCGTTGTCGTCCCTTTCGTCAGTGATATATGGTTCATGGAGCGGAGTTACTCCTAAATTTCCATTGTGTACATCTCACGCGTGTAGATGGCTTTAAGCCCTTTTCGGCGACAGACGGGTTGAATGAAAATGCCAGGGATCAAGTGACCTCTTATCACGCGCGCAGTTCGCTAAGCCTTAAATATTTCCATTTGTCGATTAACGTTTCGGTTGTCATTCGCTGATTGTTTTGGCTATGTGACAGGCGCAGATGGATACTTTTCGATCCCAATGACACTAACGGCTTTAGCTAAAAGTCATTAAACTGAATGCAACATCTCCGGCGCACTACAGATGCCGGCGGTCGCCGGAAGGCAACACCCTCTTCTGAAGGCTCTCCTTCAATCGTCTTCATCTTTTTTGTGTTTTTCTTTTTTTTTTTTATCTTCGCGCGCAGTCGCGTGATTACTGCTATGTTACGGCGTCCTGTGCAAATGGTTGATTGTGTCGTATCTGCTTTTAGTCGTCGATGGCTACAACAAGGGGAAATAAGCGTATGTATGATGCGCGCAACCATGCTGGCTGAAGTTCCAGACTGCTGCCCTTCGCCTTTACGATCGGTACATACCCATGAACGTTGTCTATCGATTTTTGGGCGAGTGCTTACACGACAGGCGGCGGTTCTGCTTACATCCTCGATGCTGAGGATGTTCATCACTTCGTCGTTGCAGGGCTCTGGCGTATAAAAAGTCTGACAACCCTTTATTTGTCGAGAGATGCTCTTCTGAAGTAGCACATACTGTGTGAAGAAAAATTTCACAGAGAGAGGTTCAAGAAAAATTTCACAGGGAGAGACTCCAAAACGTTCACGCTAGAGCGTTATTTTGTGCGACGAAATGAAGGTTCGTGTAGTGTTTATTAGTGCTTTTGTCTCAATAGCGGCATTTAAGTTTATATCAAGATTGGTGATTAGAAAATCGGGAGCCAATATCTGTAAAGAGTTTCTTGGCTCTGAGGCGCAAAGCTTCAAAAAACATGATCAATGCTAGCGGGAAATTGTGGATCGCAGTGAGCGCTTAGAAGTCTTGTAGTTGCCAGTAAAGGATGCCCGTAGCAGATACCTGTTCTCAAAAATCGTTCTCGAACGATTGAGGGAGAAGCCGAAATGATTGCATGGTTAACCTGGCTATGTTGCAGGCTTCGTTAAGTCAGCTGGGATTGACGTCCCGAAGTATAACCTATGTTTATATGCAATGTAAACACTACATGAATCCAAACCTCGCTCGTATAGCACATGTGACAACCTATGGTTATTATTATTATACATATAACAACAATATAAACTCAAAGGATTTAAGTGTGATTTAGTCTTGGCCCTATTTCGTAGACACGGAAGTATCATACCTCTCGTATGTACTTAATTACGCAAAATATGATTATATCTTTAATTATTAATGTTTACTCTACAATGATCTATCTGACGGAGAGTTTTCGCTTTGTTCAGGCTTTCCGTTCTATTTTCTGCTTTGGAGCATTCGCAGCTGCATCTGCAATCACTTTGCCCGTGGGGCAAAACGCTGCCTCTTCCCAGCCGGTGGGAATCCGCGCCGGAGATGAATCCACTCCACGAAAATTTATTACACTCGCAGGAAATAACCACCATGCCTTTCAACGTCAAACCGTCCCCGTAAGTTATATGTTTGCGTTAAATCGCTGTTACATACTGAAATAATAATAAGATCACGTTCATTCTTTATGTTGGTGGGACGTTTTTATGCAGGCGATGGGAGCACAAACATGAATGGAGTCGGCGTTCATGAGCTACTATAAAAAACAAAAAAAAAATGCATAAAACCCGGTCAATCCGTAGCAATCCATTGCGTAACTGCTTAAATTACAGCAAAGTTGAGTGCAATTAGGGTATATAGTAAGCCGAATAGTCGACAATAAATAATGAAGTGCCTGCTCATGTATTTTAATATCGTCACAGGATGGAGGCAGTGGTATTTTACAGCCCTACGACTTCGGATACAACATCCAGGATGAATACGGTAACAATCAGTTTCGTCAGGAAAGCGCGGATAATCAGAGCACCGTTAAGGGCAGCTATGGGTAAGCCGATTAAGCTCTGTTCTTGAGTAACTCCGTATAGTTATTTGTCGAAATATACTAGTATATAGACATAAATCGTTGCCTCGTTTCTTAAAAAACTTCACAGATCCAACAATGATTATTTTTTTGTATGGTACATTTACGTACGTGAATATTTTTTTGCAATGAAATTTTCACCACCCGCTTTTCTGGGGCCAAGAGGCTTACCTTGCAGATTCAGCGCTCAGCATACAATTTCTAGCAAAAAAATAGTAATGGAGTAATATAATACAGATGTTATTATAATAATAAATACGGTGTTACTCGTCTACGCGATAGGCCACATGCCAAAAAATAGAATCATGTGCAGCGTCAGTAGTCAGCGACATAGTGCACGACTTGAGAACACAAAAATATTGCCAACTGTCTGTCACCACCCCAGACGGCTCAATTGACGATGGGCGAATTTTTGCTTGCGCAGATACACTGACGCGCTGGGTCTCTACCGTCGCGTCGAGTACGTAGCTGACGAAAACGGATTCCGCGCTGAAATAAAAAGTAATGAACCAGGGGTAAAAGGAGATCAACCTGCCAGTGCTCATTTTACTGTCGAGGAGGTTCCACAGAGTGTACTCCGAACCCTTCCCGCAAGGTCGGTATCAATTGTCTCTGACGTCCAAAAATACGAAACGTCCTAGTGTGATCGCTGTCCTAAGGCGAGGTGGCGTGAATTAATATTCAGTTATTATAGTAGGAGAGCAACGTATTTTAATAATGCGATATCCCATTATTCATGTTCCAACGTCGCTCCCACAAATACACCTCACTCGAAAATAGCTACTTCCATAAAACCTAAGCTCTTCAAGTTATCTTCCAGTGATGGCCGTCATCATCACGGATCGGAGAAAGCTTCATTGCGAGTTCGTCCAGCAGCAAGAAGTCCAGCATCTGGAGTCAGATTCGTACCCATAGCCTCATCAACCTCAACTGCACAAGCTTCTGCGTCTGTTAAGGCCTCTTAGAGACCGTCGATGGTCGAGCGAGCGTAAAAACTGATCCGGGACAAAATGGCGATTCCTACACAGATCTACTGTACTAAAGTTCCTATCCCTGCGTATGTTAGGTGAATAAATTCCGCAAAATAAATTCTACGTTGTCCTGATTTGGAGAACTGCGTTAGATATGCGCGGATCAAGGTATGAGCCTGATCCAGAGGAAACCCCTTGTCAAACCAGTCGATGAAAATGTTTGCACCGAAATGCTAATAATTATGAACGCTAGCGAAGAAGAATTTTTCAAGTAAAAAAAAAATTGCATATTTTTTTTTTACTTTTTTCTTGCGTACATTACTGACAGCATTTTACGAACATTTAGCACTGCAAACGTTATTGAGAGGTTTAACAATGGATTTCTTGATCTTAACAGAATGCCCTAAGCCTTTCTTCTTTGTTGACTCTCGAATGTCTCGAGTGTCTCCCCGGTCTTGGAGTCTCTATAATCATGAGGTCTCTGCACTGGAAATATTACAAGATATCACGGTCTACAGGATGATTTGTTTCTAGCACAAGTCCGATGTTTCTCAGGCATGCCGTCGTAATATTAATGCGTTTTCTCCGAAAGCCAAAGCTAACGATAGTCTTACGTATCACAATAGCGAAACGCAGCACAATAGTAGATCACACTTTCAATTGTTGCTCATAAAACAGATGGTGGTAAACTAACAATTTTATACGATCTGTTTCCCGAAGGCTTTCAGTAGATGCTCAATTCTTTTATACGGTCCAATAATATTCTACCGTTGGGAAGATGTCTTCAAGGATTGAGCGGTCCGCGAACCATTGTCTGTTACTGTATCAAATAATTAACAGCAAGTGGGTACATAACAGGCCCCATATAGCAAAATCGATAGCGAGAGCTGATATTTGTCGCGCGAATTCGAAATAAGGATCCCAGGGGTCCGTTCGCTGTGCAACATACAGGAGTTCTCAGGAGCTCCAAATCATCCACCGCGGTACACTCCTTCAATGTAATATATTAATTGTAATATTGATCCATTACGTATCTGTAATGATGACCTAAGGTTAGCTTGCGTTAAAGCGACGAAAAAAGTACACGGACGTAACCGGCGCACAGTTCTACACGCCACTATGTGTAAATATATTATCAAGGTGGATCAAGCTCATTTACATTACACGCGTCAAGTGAGTTCTATAGTGTATCAGTATCCGCTGTCGAGGTCCACCAATTGTTTCGCAAAAGCGATCCAGCGCTCATCTCCGTCAACTGTTTTTTCTCGTTCACTTTTTGGGGATTGTCGCACCTTACGTTTGTTATTTTGTTGCACATAATCAAATAATAGTTCGTGCCATCTGCGTAATTCCGTTTACGTTTCGAGGCGGGTCTCTTCAAACCGTCTCCCTCGTTACAAAAATGATCATCTGAGACTTCTGGCGATCGATCATATCTATCTCTATCTCAAACCGTGTTTTCTCCTGAATGAATAATCTGCTCCGACGGGTCCTATCATGCTGAAGCTACTGGCCAAAACGTTAAGCGAGCCTACTTAATGCCCGGAGCAGTGTCAAAATCAATTGATTTGACACTTAATAATCTTCAATATTCAAGACGTGTTCGTGTGCAGCGTGCTTGTGATCGGGTTTGTCGTGACTATGGCACTTGTGCTGACGGTGTCTTCGATGGCGGCTCGACACGCAGCTCTTAACGGCCTTCTTCGACGTCGTTTTCTCCACTGCAATGTCGCCCCCCGCTTGGGCCACACTAGCTTTCGGGTGACGATCTCTGCTTTGATTTCCCTTCTCGAATACGCGGTTTACATCAGCGCCTCGTGATAATGATTTGGCCTGCAAAGGTGTTGAATACTCAGCAGCCGAATAAGATTCGAGCATTTCGGCTGTTGTCGAACTTATGGCATTTCTAGAAGTGCCTGATTTTCTGTTAGGAGTTTTTTCTCCTTTTGGAGATTTTTGAATTTTCGGACTGGCTGCTTTTCCCGGCATCGGCTTGTTGCTACGCCGCGTAGCTGGAGGTTTGGCCTTCGATTTCGCCCTTGAGTCAGATTTTCGATTTGGTGAAACTTTTGTTGAAGGATCATCGTTACGCGGAACCGATGAGTAGCGGGGTTTCTTAAGGAAGTGCTGATAGAAATAAACAACGACAGGATAACGTGAGCAGCATACTTCACCGCGAACCGTGCATCTCTTACAGTAGAGCTTCCCTACGCGTGAAAAGATCTCATTGCTAGAATCACGGGGATATCACTACTTTCCATATGTTCACAACAATTTCAAACTTATTAAATTATTAAATTCATTGTTGCGTTTACAGTGAACTTATGAGTTACCCCCGTTGAAGTTTGATCTTCGTTAGCATCGTTACCTTCACATAACTTGGATATAAAACGGTTATTGCAAAACAATAGTTTTCTTACAAGATGACTTACGTTATAGAGTACGGCGGCGAAGACAGCCCAAAGTAGTATTGAGCAAACCATAATACCAGTTAAAACTGCCGGATCGTTCAGAAGATCTGATATGGTTTTCTTATCCGTTACTTGACTATGAGGATTCTGCAATGAAGTACCATTCATAAGCGAGAAAAAAACAGGATATCCAAGACTAGATATGGACGGGGTCTGCATTAAAGATAATCCAAATTTAATTGCAGTTTCATCTTTTCACTTCATATATACATGTATACATAGTATTAAATAGGTATCCCGAATTGAAATTCTTCGTTGATATCAATATAACCCATCATTAAGATCATTTATCTAATGTATACACAGGGACAGCGAAGCCTCTGGCTTAAAAGCGAGGGCGCGCTGGTTCAAGTCCTGCTAATGGCACATACTACAACTACATTTGAATTAAAACACTGGGCCTTTCCCTCTAAAAGGTAAGCTTTGCCAAGAAGTTCTTTCTGTAACTTTACTACATACCACAACACTGTCTGGATTATAATGAAGATTTTCCAATTCACTAGCAAGGTTTCCATAGACCTTAGGCAGCATGTCTTCATTGTCCGCAACTCTACGGAAGGCGAAAAAAAAGTGTTGTTATATCGTTGTATCGAAGTGTTATTTTATGTCTACATAATAATAAAGATTCTGAAAAATATGCGGATTGTTTTACGGCCAAATATCGTCAGCATTTAACCGGACGAATTCAGTGATTCATATGAGCACCGATAGTACTTAATGAACCAAGACATCCCCTCGCCTGATGACCCTTCATAAACACACGCTGTCCACCTCCATTCTGTCTCGTCATGAATAAATCGACGACTGTCTCTAAGATCGCGCAAATAATAATTCATATCACGCAATTAGATATGTTCGCATCAGCCAGCGTCAAGGGTCTCGGGCAGGTTTCATCCTGGGAACGTTGCTACGAACGCGTCTGTTCCAGCCTTTTCGCTAGACATGCAATTGTCCGACCGTCTAACGTAGCGGGTGCGTTTTAGCGTAATAATGCAGATCTGCAATATCGCCCAGCTCATGATTTGATTTGTGTCCAACCGTACCCAGATAAACGAATTTTAAACAATGTAATTTTTGCGATATCTGAAAATCCTTCTTGAACGATTCAGCAACTGTTCGTCAATTACTTAACGTTGAACAATTTTTTTTTTAGTCTAGAAATTCGCGTAAACCTTCCATAGTTCTATGATTACTTACCGTTCACGCCGACCAACATAGCGGGCATTAGCCGAAATCGTCAAGCAGAATAGGACGGAGAATACTAGCCGCGCGTTTTTGGACTCCAGCTTGAAGCTTAACGGTTTCAACTCAAGAGGAACAAATTTTCGTTATCACTGGCTAACTACAACAAGTTATCTGTGTCTGTCATCGCTTCGGCTTGCTGACCAAAAAATCTAGAACGATTCATTTTAGAAAAGAACTCACTAGAAGTCATGCTGTCCATTACAGTTAATGTGATTTCATTGACATTTCTCAAATGCATGCTCAACTTATTATTATTAAGAATTAACTAGATGATGTTGTCCAACGGTAAGTGAAATTTTTGAAGCTTCATCAGCTTTTTTCCTTCTGTCTTCACTATTAGTTGCAGATGGCGAGCAATTTCCAGTATTAAAAGCAGACCTTACAATTTTGCTTTGCCAGCCTCAGATGTCTGGAGAGCCTACAACTTCCGACTCTGGATTTCAGTAATAAAGAGGGTCGTAGGATGCGTGCGCTCGGAGTCGTGGCTATGCAGCCTTCACGTGCGTGCTACTTTAGCTTTACCTCGGTCGCCCTACAGATATTCTTCTTGCGAGAGAAATGTTTTGCGTGTATATCCAGATTCGAACAGGCAATAAACATGGGAGTAGATCTATAAGACAAAAAAAAAAAAGGGTTCTAGGTTTCATGTTCGATAGTGCCGCATCGTTTTGGTGGGTGACCTCTCTCAGCAGGAAACGAAGTGTTTCTACGCCTGGTTGGAATTTTCGCCAATGAAGACATCCGTAAGTTTAGTAGGCAGACACATTAGCACTGCACCATTACGCAGACACTCGAGACGATCCTAGATTACCTCGTCCTGAGTTTAGCAGCACAGAGCGTAAACAAATATCATTTTGTGGGAGCCAATTATAACAGTAGCGGATGTAAAGCGCATTTATTAGTTTCTTAGAAGACTTTCTACGCGAATACAATGTAATGCTCCTGTTAGGCAACCTTTGTTTTGCTAGTACTTAAGTTTTACTCAAACTAGCAAGCTTTTAGTCAGTAGAAAGTTCAATGCGTTCATGTAAATATCAATACAGTAACATGCTTATGGAAGGGAACATAACGAAGATCCGTAAACATGTCAGTCGATGGCAGCGCTATCAGCGCTAACAGGTTTGAGATAACAGAAGAACAAAAATCAAAAACACGTTTGTTAGGACACTTAAAACCAATTTAGAAAAACCAAGTATTTAAAACAAATGATAAATACAAATGTTGCTAGGACACTCGTAGCGGTTATGACTAAAGTGGGCAATCGTCGCAGGGCACGGTACAAAAGACAAGATGGATATCTTACTCTTATCTTTTAGCTCTAGAATAAGTCCATTACGGTTGTCATGAAATAAACAACAGCGGCTATGCAGCGAGACACAGCCGCTCTAATAATATAGAATTAGAAACGAAGGTTACTATTAAATATTTGTCATTATTTCGACTACATACTGTCACCAGATATTTCAATGACTAAGGTAACCGCCGATACAACTGAGAACAAATTTGTTTTTCAAAACGGAAATTTACTTTTCTTCTCACTACTAAACATCACGTAAATCAAGAAAATTGTACGGGTAGCTCTCATTTATGAACTCAATAGGTCACAATGGCTGCCACGGAGAATGCATTGGAAGTTTATAGAAGGCCATGAGGTGCGCGCAGTTAACTTCGTGCGTCTCGAATGCCTCAGTTTTAGGTGTCTTTCTGGACTCCACTGTAACGGAAGCCATGAGGTGCGCGCACTCAACCTCGTGATATTGGAGCCAAAAAATGTGAATTCCTCTAGCGCTGTTGGTATGCCTATCATTAAGACTTCATTACTGCAAAAAAATTACTATACGAAATCTTTGTAAACATGTTTTGCTGATATCCGTACAGACAACGTTTACACAACACTGTTCTCACTGGGGCCCCAACTATAATCGCAATATTGTTTGCTCTTTAGTGACCTTTGGTATCCAGATGCTTGCAGTCCGGTTTGATTAATTATTAATATATATGTGTAGATAATAACGAACAGAATTATTGGACGCATATAGTAAAAATCGAGTTTGGAAATTATCCCCTGTCTACAGGTCTATTCAGGAACAAAAAAGGAAAAAAAAAAGAAAAAATATAACTGTTTTTACATTGCCATGTGCCAACGAATCCTAGTTCACTACGCAGTTTTGGCTCAAAAGAGCTTAGCGATTGTCCCAAAGTCCCAGACATCTCATGGTATTTGTATAGTAGTGTTTGTGCAGAATAGCTTAAATACTTAAGTTAATGAAAAGAGAAGTACCGAAATCATAATGAGGCCACCGTGTTAGTAATCTTGAGGGCTCACAATGCGTATTCCAGCTTTATGAGAAATAAATTAACTTCTGAACACATTGTTGCTACAATACTTTATGCTAAATAATCTGTATACAATAAATTCTGATAAATTGAGTCCCCGTGACGCTGCATTGGTAGCGTGTTTGCCTGTTACACTCAGAGATACGTCAGATGGTGTTGATTCAAATCCGAGCACAAATAGTCTTTGGTTTATGCTGGGACGAGCCAGTTGTTTAAATTGACGCTAAAAAACAATATCGCACGTGAAACTTGAAATACTTATTCTAGTTAACTGCAAATATTGCATAGAAGCTTTCCGAACGAAAGTTAGCGAAGTTTCTATTCGTTGGCCGCCGAAATCGTAGCTTCAGTACAAGTCGATCGCGCGGGCGATTTCAGCCAGCTGTTCCATAGAACTGAACTACTACGGACAGCTATGAGCCAATACGGTGTCAATTTATATGGATACTTTCTACCTTTCTAGTAAATGGTTGTCGATAATTTTTGAGTATTAAGTGGTCTCAATTAACTACACATCAAAGGTCTTTGACTAAAGCAGTCTTACCATTCATCTATCAATTATCTTGTGTGATACGTAAGTCCATGTCTATGAAATTTTCGTCTACGCAGTGCTCAACGTGAATAACATCTGAAGAAAAAATAATGAAGTTATCCTAAATGATTAAAACTTTGGCAAAAACGGATGATCATGAAACTATCACTCGGCAAGGAAAGAGGTAAATCCAGGTTGAAGTAGCAATGGAGGCTCTGAAACAAATAGAGTCCAGAGTACAGAAGTTGATAATAAATAAGGGCTTAATCGGTAGGGCATAAGCAAGGTTTTTGGTATGAGCTAAATAGCATATAAAATTCATAATCCCTTCAGATAAGTAGTGGGTCGCTCTAAACTTCATTGCGCGTGTTGGTAGTCCGTCTTACGTATAAAAACGGGTTGTTTACCTCAACGCGATAAACAAGGCAGATTACCCTGCAATCTGTAGTTGTGGGACACACAAGTAAACCTATTATTCGACTATACAAGTGGTCTTGCGGGCCTATCGTGTCTGTGCGACCACTAAACAAATAACTATAACGATTTCATCATAATTTCATATGTTCTGTTAAAAAATATATTAGGGAACCATCCTCTTCTAAAGTTTGCTTTACATTTAATCCCTTTATTATCTCGAATTATATTGGTACCTGTTGGTGGACCAAGCACAACACAACCTCCATCATGATTTATCGCCAATATAGATATTAAGATAATACGCTATTTATGATGTTACTTTTTTCCATAGATGTTTAGAATATATCCCAAACTGAGTAAGCAGACATGTCGTCCGAAGAGGACGAAGGAACTTCGGGCTCAGTAACAGAGATTGAATGGTGGCTTCGTGGATACGTACGTGAAGCCAGCCGCCAAGGATGGAATCTAAGCCGTCAGGTGTCAGCGGTCATCGAAGCGTTTGAAGCATACCGAGATTTATCCAGCACCAGCAAGCAACGAGACCCGTATCAAATGATAAATCTACGGCAAATCGACTATACAGTGACTATATCTGATGATTCGGACGAGGCGGAAGCTGGCTCCTTTGAGGACCTTCGCGAAAGTCAACGTACTGAATCTAAACCGAAAGACATTAACGCAAAGATTCTCGTAAAAGAAGAACCAGTCGAGGCTACTGATGATAACAATGTGCAACTATCCGAACTCAACGTTGAAAAACATAGGGAGAGTCCTGCCAGGCCCCGCGGAACAGAACATCTGTTACCTACTCAAAAGGTTTCGCTACAATCGCGATTCCCGACTAAGATTATGTCTGATATTGAAGAGGGATCGCATGAAGAGAGTGAAAATTTGCTAACGAATATTGATATGTCACCTAAATGCGGCTTGGTATTATTGCCTTTAAATGGTAAGGATTCCATATTGAATCAACAACATGAAACTTCATGTGCTCTCCGGGAGGTTCCTATCAACCAAAATAATTGTGACTCAAAAATTAATAACCTCTACGTAACTGGTTTACACTCATCTTCTTTTCTACAAAATACGGCTATTTCGAATCAGGAACCTCAAGCTTCCTTAAAACAGATACGTATTAAGCAGGAGAGGTGTGACAACACATCAATTGTGTACAGTAATAGGGACGTGTCGGAAGAGCTGCTCGCCACCCAAAAGCTTCCGTCGCCAAAGCGAAGAACTCGAATAGATCCAACAACGATGCCTCACATGTCATGGACTATTAAGAACGAGTCGAATAACAACCATTTACAACATTCTCTATTAACCCAGGCGATTCCCTCTCACCGGCAGCATAATCAGCACACTGTTGAACTCGTTGTAAAAAATAAAGCTAAAGAAAATCTAGCTCAGACAACAGGTTTGCCCTGCAACGCTCGAAAACTCTCACCTAGGTTTAGTGAGATTCCAAAAGTACGACCTGGACATAGCAATAGTTATATCTCATATGATAAGCTGACCAAAAAATTGGAGTGGAATAGCCAAATTACCATAGCAGCGTATAATAACATCTGTTCTGCTCGGTCTCAGACGAAAAGTTTATTAGATAAGAATTTATCTAACAGCGACATAGACGTTGCTGATGCCAGCTGCGAGGACAATGCCACCCAGTTACTTGATTACCCGTTTTCACGAATCAAAAGCTTGGATAATGCAACAACATCATTAACGGATCTTCCTTTAGTTAGCTTGGACGAGCCTTGGGTGGAAGGTGACGAGACAAGGGACTTTGGCCAAGAAGACACGCATCTCCTACGTTAAAATATGTATAACTCGATAGTAGGTTCTGCAGTTCTACTTTCATGTGATAATAACAGTTTCAATATGTACTATCATTCAGGCTTTACGCCAAGCCCTCAGCTCCAATAAAACATTTAATAAACAACGCAAGTTTGTATATACATGGAGTAATCCTTTTACGCAGCTAGGTCAGACAGACTGGTTGAACTATATTAGAGAATTGAAAAAGACAAGTCAAACCTTGCGATAAGTGCAAAGACCATATGAGTGGTCTCGTGTAATACTACTTGCTAGGGGGACCGAACTACCATTGTATGTGTCGTTATTCTTTTTAATCTTTCTAATCTTGAGCTGGAATAGACGCATCTTCCGAAGATTTTACGTAGGACCTCAGCTATGTGTATTTTAAACGTTTTTGTCTACCATGTAATAACCAAAACCGTAGTCAGTATTTGTTCGACTGACATAAACTTAACGACATATCAGAATCAACTTGTCTAGAACATTATTAGTAAGCTACTTATTTGGTCAACGAATGATTTGACTATGCTTACCTAACTTGAAAAGAAGTAATTAATATTTGTCATTTGTTCTGGGACCAATTTCAGCATGTGTTAGCAACAGAAAGCTCTAGGTGAGCCCAGTATCCTATGTTTATAAGATAAAGGATAGTAGAGACCGACGTAAATCTATGGTATGAAAAAATGACGTTTTAGTTCGGACAGAATTTGGTCTTCGGCTGGAACAATAGCACTTCAACTATCAATCCATTTTTTCATCATCGAACGCCTACTTTTGTCGCGATCTTGCATTTCTTCAAATTAAAAAAATTGAGCAAAATTATGAACAATCAATACGATTAGATCATAAAAAATCTGTACTGTGTCGGAATTGTTATCATATAAATTTTATTTTACTTACACGCTTTGCCTTAACAACGGTGTAAAAATACTCATAATTACATTTACCTCATAAATTCCTTAATTGTCAAATCGTTTGTACAGTGATCGAAAAATTCATGTTAAGCTGGATACGTTCCAGCAGATAACTGAGTTACCAAAGTTAAAAGAATTTTACATGGAAACACTCGAAACTCTTTGTCTGTTGTCTACGTTCCGTTTCATGTGCTCGTGACCACTATATGATGGTAAGTATATCGGGGTCACTTGGGGGTTAAACTCGAATCAATAGATTATTATTAACGACATTGCAGTACTGAACAATTTCAACTCTGAACACAGGGAGGCTAATGTCCAGCATAAATATAGTTCATGGATTTGTGTAGAGCTCGGTCTGATTTGATTTTTCTCATGCGCTTAATTATTCGAGGTCTTGGATCACTGACTAAGTTTCATAGGTATGTCACAGGATACTAAGTACTAGTCATGCATGATATCCGCTTAATGTTCTGGCATTTTTTTAAGTTATACAACTATTTCTATACTGCCCGCGTAAAAGGGGTAGCCGATTACGACAAAATCGACTTCATTTTCAGGCCCACTTCGCTCATGCAACGCAAAACACTGTGCCCACTACGGAATACTTCGTCAGCAGAACGTCAGCTTTTCCGGAGGCATATAACCGGCGTCTCCGATGCATTTTACGCTGACAGTGCCTTTTGGTGAAATGCTTAGCCACGTAATCGATGCGTGTCGGAGCGAGAAACGAAGCCACGCCTCAGGCGGCAACTGGAGAGCTCTGCAGAGGAGATACCTGTAATTGAGACGTACAATTTTATACATGTTAGTGGAAACATTGTCTGTTGGCAAACCTGGACAAAATGCTTTGTCCTGCAGCTAAAACTGTATCTACTAGAACCATGTAGAACTTGAAAAACTGAATTTTTCCGTTTTAGCTTTAAATTTCAATCATATTCTGTGCGTTCTAGGAGATTTCACAAATTGTAAGCATGAATGAACTGTCAACGACATTTGCTACGCGAAAAGTGTGACTAACTAAGAATGCGTACATAAATATGAACGCGATATATCGCGGTACTCATTACTGGAAGACATCGGTTATTGGTGGGAATATCCGGCACGACCTATTAGAGACTGGACGTGTCGACCGTTATAATCTGCATTCATACAAAAAATTTGAGATATGTGCTTTTTGGTGTACTCCTTGCAAAGAACATTTAACATGAAATGTACAAGGGACCTATTTTTGCTAATCGTAACAGTGACAATAATGAGCCAAACACAGGAACAATAATAGGACCAATGAAATAATGCTAACTGGTCTCTACATCAACGAACATGAAAGTGAGTCAAGCTTAATATATACCGAATAACATTCGCATGGCAGATTAGCATTTCATAAGAGTCTTCCTTTTGCTGAGGATCTGCTCTGTGAAAGTATCTTCGGAAAGCAGCTTCGATACGAGCGCTATCCTGAAAATATGAAACAAGTATAAAAAGCACAGGCAACGGTTAATAACTATGTTACATTTAAAAGAGAAAAAGTTACTTATACTATCGAATTGTGAAACCATAGTCTTATCCAAATTAATATTATTTTTGAACAGTCTCCATTACCTGTGCCATATGTCACCCGCAATTTGCTTAACGAGAAATTACTGCTCTAATTTCAATTATAATTATCACTTGTATACCGATGAACAACTACTCTCTGAAGGAAGTGAAAAGATGTACTGCTACGCAAGTGAATAGAATAAAAAGTCGAAATCAGGGTTTATTAGACGTCCCCGCGATACAATGTGGTGGCGCACTTGTTTACTAATTAGAGGGCCACAGGGGTGGTCCAAGCTTGAAATCGGGTTTGGCACTTTTTGTTACATGCTGGGAGCGGCTAGCCTGAAGCAGAGCTTCCTAAGGTAGTACCAAAAATAGAACACGAAAATAAATTAGGGACCCACTAGAAAGAATCATGGTTATATATTATATTATAATCGGTTTTTTTCACATGTACGTACAAAAGAAGATCGTAGTCGATGAAAGCCTAGGAATAAGTATTGTAATAGGTTCAAACCACGCTAACTAAGCAGCGTTCAGTAAAATTCCATATAACTAATAGTATGATGTTTGGTAAAGATCTATTATGTTATCCGCTTGCAGAACACAAAAGAAGTGGGAAAAGTGATAATTCAATTGATACGTTCAAAATGAAGGTCCACTCATCGGACGATTTCGGATCGAGTTACGTAGCCTATCAAGAAATTGTGAAACAAGTATTTTGGCAAGTCCCTCAACACCAGTAAACGAGTAATAGAGACGAGTTTCAAAACCTATCAGGCGTCATTATTTTCTTTCGAAGCATTAGCCTCATGACTCATATTCTCTCGTTGTGAAATATGACAATGTAGTAAATAATTAACAACAGATAATTATCGATCACCTTCTATAACAGCATTGTTCTCAACGATCTTCAGCCTGTCGCTCTACACAAACAGGTATATCGTTCAAAATGCCTGCATCTTTTAACGTCATCATCTAACTGCCTATCAGCAACGTCCAAATCACTCGATACGTTTGTTTCGTAGGTATCTTTATCCTGTACGACTCTGATGGTAGCAGTAAATTGCTTCCTCACCTCGAAGGGAACTGTGGCCGACTTTGACCCTCCACCGAACTGTGTGTGTAAACAGCTCTAGAGCTATTTATGTAACTTATTCCCCACAGTCTAGCATGAAATTCAGGAGGAGCTAGGTAAAGGCGATGTACGCATTTTCGAGGAGTTACATAAAGAACAAATCAAGCTAAGAGTAGGCAGCCATTATGTAAGGTCCCTTACTTGGAAAAATTGCCGCTCCTCTGGTTGCCACGTAGAAATTTTTGGCTCAGGGGGGCAGGGTGCACCTTCGCGTAAGAACTCACACTGCTCTCTGGGACCATCAACATGACGGCAAATAATGTCCGCTGTTTCCACGGCCCGCGTCATTGTTGAGTTCACGATACGGTTGAACCGAAATCCTAGTTTCTTTAGCCTGTATATGAGTAGCGAATCAATCGACATGAATAGCTTGATCATATCTAAGCGCGATAAAAACGATACACAATGATTACACTATTTGTGTTAATAAAAAAAGAGTTTTTTCAAATCAGTGCACACGTATGTTTTTAAAATGTGTTATTTTCTAGCATGAATAGAAACATAAGATGTAACTCGTATGATTAGAGGCTTGCTTGTTTTGTCTAGGATATTCACATTGAAAAACAACTGAACGCTTTAAACACATCAATAATAATATGGCTAAGGCGCATGTCGAATACAACAATACAAACCTCAGCCCTGTCAGCTCGGCTTGTTCTCGTCCCAATGGAGTAAGTATACGCTCATCGTCGGTGTCCTTCATATCAAAATACTGGCCATGTCTGATGAGAAATATATGGCGAGTTGCTCTCGGCTGATAAGCTTCGACAGCCGCGTTATGCCTACAAAAAAATATTTCACATTTCCACAATTTGATTAATTACAGTTGTACAGTCAAATCAAATTTAGACAATCATAAGGTATATGATGGGCTTGCAAAATCACTAATGTACTATTACTGAATCGCAACAGTCTTAATCAGCATTAAAATTCCAACAGTAAAATTCCAAACTTGTTCTGTTCTGCTGGATCACTAGTCTTCAGCGGTCTCACACACGAACACGGATCGCGCTGATCCCAGTTGTGGTCCCACAATGTTACGGGCTCGTAGTTCACCGTCCACGCAGCATGAAGCCGATCCCGACTGTACACAAATGCAGCAACGGCACCTCCACCTAATGAGGTTGCAAAAATGCGACCCAACATCTAAACAACAATGGAAATAGCCCATAAGAAAATGATTAGCAGACCGATACTACTGGACTGTAATGAGTTGATCAGTACTTAAACAACTCTCCCTCTTCCCCGAAAGATTAAAGCAAACGCCATTTTCTTATCAACGTTATCTTGTTAAAACATTTTAATGCTTAGATCTGGGTTGGGTTTACAGTCTGGAGGCTCAAATTGTTCCGTTCGTATATGGCACTCTCCATTCGAAGACTCCTTTGCTGTAACCTGTATTTGACACCGATAAAGTACCTGTGTAAAACGTAACTCAAACGAAAGATAGAGATATTTCTATTTTTATGGAAGAAGGCACACGTATGTTAAAATTCATCGCGCCTAATTCAAATACTCTTCTATGGCCAATAACAGGTATACTGCGCTGCGAAACACTGCCACAGACCGCGCGAGATACCTAACCGAACGATGCTTTGGAGGCTTGGTTAAACGCAGCACACTCCTTTTTTTAATCAGAAAAATCGTGGACAGTAACGCTGCGCGAGGCCCTGTTATGAGAATAATTCCTGGATGGTTCCAATTCCTTAAAATCTGTCGATATTGATAGGTAATCTGTATGACCGGCATGTCTATTCTAAGATGATACAGAAGACCCACCTTTGTGCCAGAGCTCATAGAGTTCTCCCATAAGAGTACCGCCGGATTTGCATATGAATTATAAACGTCAGCTAGAGGGCGCTGCCGTTTATTACAACGGGATGCTATTGGTTTGGGTTGTCGCTAGTGGTACTCTATTTTTCGATTATTAAATCGATCTCGACATCGCAGTACGAGCGCCTTGACAAAGCAAAGTAAATCTATAAAAGGTTGTTTTTCAGGATAAATATCCATTTCATTCACTGTGTTCAAGACCTTCGAAAGGCCAGTGCCTAGAGCTGCAACTCTTTCGTAAGAAGTCTGCGATATACTTTAGAAAATCGTCGGACACCAAAAGACCGGATACTTCAAGTTCCAACGTCTTTTAATAGACACATAAGTAACCAATATGGCCACTTTGATAAAAACTATGTGAAGTTAGGTACTAGGGTTAGGGTTGTAAGTATTCACGCCCTATGATTATGATTCTTTATAGCACTAAAATAAATAATAAATGCGTGAAGAAAAAAAAGCTTTTCTTATTGATGCCTTAACAGATTAGGTGGAAACTGTGACGGCAGAATGTTTGATAGGACAGCGTACGATACACTCAAAAATGGCTGTTATAACTTAAACAATAGTAAAAAAAAGTCTTGGTTGATCCAAAATATTACGAAATTTCGTTCGAAACGGCGGTTTTACCTTAATACACAAATAACAGCCAAAATTTTGCGGAAATTTAAATAGAATACTTGTTCAGTGCTGTCCAATATAGGGAGGTTATTATTTTCAAGGCATGTACTGCTAATAACAGTTCAACTGATTTTGTTTTTAAGCGAGCTTCAACAGACATCGGAAATAGTACAGAACAAAGGCCATACCTAACGAAGAGATCCTATGTTTTTCAATTACATATTGTGGTGTACAATTTAATAATTGATTGATATTTAGCTACTTGACCACTTTCCTAAGTGTTTAACTTAACATCTTAACATTGCTACAGCTAGTCATAGAACCGGACAGGTGCAGAAAACAGGTGCTTTACGTTTATAGTAAATATTTGACGCCTCAATACCGACATAGAAAAAACTCTGCATCGTAGAGAAAAACCTATTTTTCCAGTAGTTTTCTAACTCTGACACCATGAAAGGGTATCAATTCAACGTGTTGCTTAAATTTTCATGTGCACCATATAATAGATATTAGTTGTGTCGCTGCGCCATAAAATTATACAAATAATGAATGACAACAAAAGTTTAATGTACCCATTCAGAGTGTCCATAATATTAGGAACCGAGATAAATGTCAAAGTGCAAACATCCGGTGAAACAAGTTCTCCTCATTAATCCCTCAACGATTTCTTAAAAAACAATACTCTGAGTTTTGTGCTACCGTCTCTTGACTCAATTGGCTTCGTACCTTTTACTGTGTAGTCGCGTGATGACTGGTTCGTTAATTCGTCGTATAGATCCAATAGACTATTTTACAAAACTAGGGCCGTCGATTGTCGAACGCACAAAGAAATGCGTACAAGGCAAAGAGGACAAAATCTTCTTGGCTAGAAAGCTTTTTGGAGGCTGTTTTCGTGAAATTACTAGGTCTATAGATGCCAGACCGTTTAGCTATTCCCCTTGTAGGGAACAACCCTTTCTTTAGCGCAATTGCGGTACTGTCTTGCCCTCTCTGACTCGACTTGTTGCCGGTTGCTGCTTTGTTTGGGTAAAACACACACCTGCTTCTAGCAGACGACAAGAGCTATTTCCAACTGTGTTGTGCATAGGCATGGCCCGATAAGTTTTAGTGCCAAATTCTCTCGAAGCTATCATATAAGGACATGTACTATTTTAGCTATCCTAGGCGTGGCATGATAATAAAAACTAGCTAATTATGGGACAGTTGTGAAGCTTTAATGCGCCTCAGAAACAGCTCGCACGGAAAAAATATTTTGTGTATTAAATAGGCAAGTGAGACTTCTTTGCCTTTAGTCACTACGACCAAATAAACAAAGTTTAGAATACGATAGTGTGGGTTGGGAAATTAGCAAACTACGCCCTCTGTTCAGATGCTAAGGAAAATGGATCTTCCGGTGCTACCTTACCTGGCCATTGCTTGTTGTGCATGTCCAACTAACCCGTTCAAAGTAGTATAAAGAAAAGAAAATGTTTATATTAAAAACAACATTGGCGCGTACTCTCTACCTGCCCATGTACGCTTTGAGAATTTTCTTTGATGACTGCAAAATATTTGACAGAAAATAAAACACATATGTATTTTAAAATGGCCAGCTTCGCTGCTTGGGCTTCAGTTCATCAGTTACCTTATAACTACTGTATGCAACAAGTGTAAATAAATGAAGAAATTATTCGTATTGGATTAGGTCAGCGTGGTTCTTTTATTAATGATGATCAGATGTGTAATACGATTGTAATAAATTGTACTAAATATGGTGAAACATCGTATACACTAGGGGCAACGTTTTTTAGCTAGATTAAATCTTATTTTATATCAAGCTGCATTAAACACGATTCAATTGAAATATAGTCATGCACAGATCGTGAATCCGTCAAAATGTGGCACATTATTCTGACGCACTTGACACCAAAATGTAATTAAATCCTTCTCTGAATCTTCTAAATAGAATAAGAATACATAAGAACATAATTAAGATAATCTAATACATCCAGCCCCCTTATCAGGTTGTACATTTTATTGAAAAAATGAACTAAACACATACCGATTAGAAATAGTGCTAGCTTGTAATAATCATAATAAATCGACTTAAAGTTTCAAGGCTTCAGCATGATTTAATAAGTCTCGGCCGGAAGCAGTGATTTTTTTGACGACAAAGTTAGGCCAGTTGAAATGTTTCCTTGAAGATGTGCGATAGGTATAACATTCATATACAATGCTAATACACTTTGAAAAAACCTCTAGGAATAGGAAAACCTACATTTAACAACGAGTAATCAAAGGCTATATGGCTTTTGTCGTAGAGGGAAAAAGACTTAAAATCTGTGCGATAACAACGATTTTTACACATCTACCAGCTAGTAATTACCATTAAATCGACTGATGGAATTCCCGGCTTGCCACAGTCTGGCTTAACCTAAACCTTCTCTGAGTCAATCCCTTTAGGAAACAAGTTGGTAACCTTCAGATAGCACATTTTTAGAATAAAAAAGAAACATTTGAAACATTTTTCACTGCGGTCGGCAATCTCAAATCAGCCACGCAAATAACGTTTTTTCTTATTTATTCAATAACAGTAAAAGCAACTTACCAGAATTTGAGAAGTGGTTGACCCTCTGCCCGGATATTGTTACAACACTATCCAAAACTCTAGCAGCGCTGGATAATCTCTCTCCAAAAAATACATGTTTTTTTATTATATTAATTTTTGTTTACAGTAAGAAAGAGTACCTATAAGTACACTGCTAGCTGTTCCCGCCCAAATGTCCAGCATTCGACGTTTGAATTTAAAAACCCGTACTTTTCAAATTCCAGGTACTAGATTATACCAAACGATATTTTTCAATGCAAATGCTTCGAAGCAAGCATATGTTTCAATATTTTCGTGGTCTCAGTTGGCGTTTGGCTGACATCCAATGAACAGAAGAAATTTCAGATTTACGTAGCCAATCCTCGCTTGGTGGCAGAATAAATGATGGTAAGTCATGCCGCTCGAATGCTAAAAAAGATAGACCTGGTGAACACATATTTTCCCTTCTTGAATTTGCTACTACTATTTATCTTTACGCAGATAACTTTAAATGGGTATTAAGCAGAAACAAAGAGTCTTCTTTACAAGTATATTTTCCTTATTTTTTCAATTATGGCAAATTGCAACCCTCAATCACAGGTATTCCTAAATGATACCTGTGCCAGTTAATAGATTGTCACTTCGACACCCATTTTAACTCGCGTCGAAAACACTAATGTTAGCTTTTCAACAGCGTCAACAAATGTTTATATATTCACACTTGTGTTTACTTTTGTTTGAATATTTTCATGAATTGGATAAAAATAAGTATCCTCCTGAATGCAGACGTTCCATCGTCAAACGCAGATTCGTTCCTCTTTAGTTCTATTACCCCCTTAAAGATTAACCTCGAGTTTTGAAACACGTTATGTATAATAAAGCAAGCTATGAGGGTGATTTTGGACACAGGAATACTTCTTAATATTTACGCGTAAAAATTTATAGGCAGCTACACAAACCACACCGGCTTGAGTTAATGGAATTTATTTTTATACTTACATAAATATCATTGAAAATTATCTTTTAGCTTTCAACTCAGCTTCCCAACACATGGCAGAGGTGCTCGAAAGTCGACCTATATTCAATATTAAGGTACAATTGGCTCCATTATTTCATCCATCTTCCGTTATATCGTTGTAGTCAAGCCACTACTAGTCCTGCATTTTGTCATTGGATTATAACTTTACACTGCTCTGATTGCCAAAGGCATACATAGCAAAACTGACGGAAGATTTAGTTTTACGTTGGACATTTCGGTTTCATACCTAAATTCATTTGTCTTCACCTATAACTCTATTGGTCATGTCACATTGGCTTCGTCTTCTAGAGAAATGTTTGTTTCATTTAAAGCATATGATAAGAAACACGAAATGTTTTTATTTATTCCACGTTATTTTTCAGAGTGAACATGCGCTCTTTAATACGGAAATATTCCGAGTAACCCAGCAGTGAACATCACCACTTCATAGAAACAGTATGAAAGAGGCCACCCGCGTGCGTATACACTATGTATACTAGGATGTTTGTCTTTATATCTCCTAAGTGAAATGCAAATTATTCTGTTAATCAATGAATATCATTTTACTCGTACACATGGTATTATAAAGAACTGAAAGATGGTATCAGAAAGAAGCTGAAATTCTTTATATCCATTCAACAGCGGTAGTAACGATCTCTCATTGGTGGCCAGCTAGCTTATCCATATATATATATATATATTGTCGCCACAGCTTTGTGACCTTTGTAATTGTAGCAGCACAATTTATTGAAATATGTAAAGGCCGGTAATATCTTTGTGTGTGCGTCAGTTCATGATACAACTCTCTCGTCTTTAGAAACTTACTGAGGATTTCTAACCTGGTCGCCATATTTTCCGGACCCTTAGAAACATTGGCAATTATATTCGGATGTCATTTGTCTATATTGTTTTGAAAATTGCTAGCGCGCCGTGCCTTCCTTAGTAGAACTGTATACTATGCAGGATAGTTCGACTTTTTTTGGATTCGAATTCTTGCAGCAGCTCATCGATGTCGTTATCTAAGTCATCAGATTCAGCCATCTGTTGGATGGAACATAATAAAAAAAGAATAGCGACATCCCTGATTAGAGTCAACTCATCACTGTTTTATAAGGAGGTGAAAAATTTCTCATAATAATATTGTAATACTTTATTGTAGTATGGTTAATTTGATACGAAAGAATCACACAATTAGAAAACAACATCCACTGATATTTCTATCAACATGTAAACAGGTTAAAGTATGTTTCAACCGTCGAAACTATTCGAGAACCCCTAAAGCTCTAAAAGCGTTTCACTTAATCGTGTCCATGAAACTGCATTAAATTCGGGCTATAGATCTTTGTCGTATAGCATAGAATAATCTAAATTAATTTTATTTGGATTAGAAAATATTAATAATCATAATCAATTATCAAAAGATAATAAATAATAATACATAAAACAAGCATCACTATTTTTGCCGAATACAGAAGATCCATATGTATTCAGTTCCCTACGAAATTCAAACTGATTTTTTCTAAGTGAGACTGATTGACGGTCTGCACCGTTGTGAAATTGCTTAAGGATATTGTATGGGCGTGACCAAGAACTCCCTCTACAATTTGCTGACATCATTTGTGAGGTGATCGTAACAAAAGACCAATATACGGCTGGTCGGCACTGCTAAGCCTTTTCGCTGTTTAGAATCACAATTTTTACCTACAACTAGAATTAAATATTGAGCTGTGGAAGTAGGCGTTTGTCTCCGTAATTAGGACGGTAATAGCGGATGTAGAACTTGATGTTTCTATTTGGTATAACTGACCCGGTTAATGATCATAATTGGCTTTGAACCCAAATAACTAACCTGTTGTGCAAGATCACAGAACATGAACGCTCCAAGAGTTGCTTCTTCATGATTGTCGAGCACATCTATATTAATTACATGAACAGGAGAATTATGCTCGATTGTTCGACGCGAGAATTCTGCAATAAAAGACATTTTCATTTTTTCGCGTTAATTAGTTTACTGTTTGCCTTAGTGAACAGTTCATTTCGCTGGTATCAAGCATGTTATTTTTGTTAGTTTTAATACTCATGAAATCGATAATGTCTTATGAGTACTTTATTATCGATGAAGGTTTTTAGGCAATGACGGACTAACATAATATCGTGTTAGATAACTAGCCATATAGAAACTGTTTCAACTTGTGCATTATCCAAATGTGTATATATCTATAATAGATCCATATCAAACAACACTGACGAACTTGTCACGACATTGGGTTGCAGAAACGAATCTCTTTTATTTATTTTATTTACCTTGATAACCGCTATACCGCTAACCGATAATAGCTGCACCGATGAAAAAAAATGACCAAATGTGGGGTGCATTAGTTCTAAAATGGACGGCTAAAATGTGTAAAATATAATTAACTTTGACACGAAAGACACATTCCCGCTCTCAGTATCTTATGATGCTGTTCAAAGCTATTTCTATGTGTGCGACTAATAGACAGACGATTCAAGCATAATCTACAGAGAAAAAGCTAACTGGTCTTTACGTGTCGGTTCCACTAGATCATTATAAAAAGCACCTCGTGTCTATCTAACATAGAGACTCTTTAGGCTCAAGTGTTTCCTTTACCTATAACACACACATAGCCTCAAGTTCTACCATTTGCAATACCAATTCCTTTTGCGCAACTTCTCAGTATAATTTACGAAATTTATTAAGCGCGCCACGATCATTAGGAATTTCATAAACCCACTGCCTCTTAAACACCAAAATATTCTATCAGCCACGTACGTTTCCCAACACTTGCCATTCTATATGCCTGAAATGATGCCAAAGTATAATTTGGCACGCAAGGACATTTACATAAATATCAACCAACCCTTTGTTTTGAAGATGGAAAGCTCTGATTGTCGCTACAGGAGCCCTTCACGCGAAGGAAGATCTACGAATGGCATAGGGTGAACAAAAATGAGAAATTGCGGTATACTTAGAAAAAAAAAGGATGATAAAATGATAAAAAATAATCTCCGATAGAAGGCGTCAATTGATCGACTGCAAACGCAGCATTCGAATGGGACTAGAAATTTCGTTCATAAAGCCATTTCCCAAATGGAGACAAGATCTGGGCGGAACGCCTTTGACACTGCAGTATTTGAATGGATTCAAGAAACATTAAAGATGGAGACGTAAGCGACCACTGTAAGGCTGTTAACCTCCATAGAAAAAGCCATTATCAACGGGATTTCGTCGCAGGGGACTTGAAACCATTCAGCGATGTCGAGGTCAGCGGTACTTTGTAAGCTGTAACACAGGCAACCTTAGAGAAGCCCAATTTCAGTTACATTAAATTACCCGAGTTTAACCCGAGATGTCCAACACGATTGTGTGTAATATCGTTAGGTATACGTATAATGGAATACTCCTAAACGCCGGTCTTCAAGCCTTAGAGTCAATCAATACCACAATAGATCCCACTACCTGTACGTTTAATATAAAAAATAGGACGAGCTTGTCTGCTGCTTTCATAAGTAAATATCAATCTAACAGATACAGGTTCTAACAGAAGAAGCTGTACAGAGGTCAGTTGTATCCGAAAGAAATCTCCGTAAATGGTTCTCCCGGAAAGCTGCTAAAGTTCCATGAAGAATAACGTGATGTGAACTGATACAAAACTCAATATACCCCAAGTCGCGCCACAGGCTCAGCTCCTAAGAGCTGACAAAATTAAAAAACCTTAGTAAAAAAAGCTACTATGAGCTCAAACACCTTAAATATCCTATCCAAAATTATTGCGTCTTCGGCCACTTCAGCGTAGATATTTGCAAAGATCGTGGGTTTTTATTATTACAATAACCTTGAACGGGTTTAGCAAAGGACTCGTATTGTTGTCCATTGGCCTAGGACCTTGTTTCACTTGGTAGTAGCATTCAGTTCCGGTTTCTGCTCTGCGTGTTCATCTAACGTAGGTATCTTTGAGTAAACTGTCATCTTGTTGATGTGCGGATCATAAACGAAGAAGCAGAAATTACGTATTGAGTTTTTATTCTTATAATGATGCTGCTGCTGCTGCTGCTGCTGCTGCTGCTGCTGTTGTTGTTGTTGTTGATGATGATGATGATGATGGTTGCGATGATGGTGATGGTGATGATGATTATTGACAAATTGAAAAATTCTAGCAGAAGTTGAATTTTGAAACAGAAGTTTGGCCTGCCCCCGTCTTCTGGGTACGGCTCGTTTCTGCGTGAACACCCACCCTCGACGACCTGATCGTAGACTCGTTCCTCGACCGTGAAGATTACATCAAAAATCTCGCTGCTGAGCTGGAACTTCTCAGGAGCCCGCTTAATTCGCTTATTTCGGTCTAGCATGTTCAGAATACCTTAAACAGACGATATATCACAGTTTTGACTGAAAGAACTAATTATTTTTAACTCTTATCAGAATTTGCACAATGACGTACCCCAGCACTACTATACATCCTATTAATTTCCAAACACAGTCTACCAAAATAACATACACACAGAATTGGCTTTAATCACGAATTAATCAAAAATCAACTTGAGAAATCTGTGTTGGCGAGTCGCTGGCTAGATAAAACGAACGAATTATATAGAAACCATATCACAAAAATACTGCAAACAATGAACTTTTAATATGGCATTTTGATAGACTCAACAATCAACGGCCAATTACCATTATTGGTGTACAGATTTTTGTCTTTCCGCATGAGGTCCTGGTACATTGTCTCGTAAGGCGTTCCAAAATCGTACACATTCGGTTTGTCGGGAGCATTTCCTGGGAGCTTTACCTGTAACACAAATGCGCCAGTGCCCCGTTAAAGCCCATTCAACAAGCAGCACGTTAGGATATGTATTGCAACTAAATCCAATGCATGTTACATACGATAAGTGAATTTCCTACGGGCTATTATAAATTTAGCTGATTTGGTTAAATGAGTTCTTTCGGCCTACCTCTGTGTGTCACAGGCTCCGGTTCCTGAGACCTTTAGACACCGCTACAAGATTCACAAGATGAGCGCTCCTCGTAGTCAAACATACTCTTTCCGTACAAAAATATTTACATATAAGTGAAAACAAATAATAACATATCACAGGCCAGCGGCATTTTTCATTATGGATGCATAGGTTTCCGTATTTAGTGACGCAAAATGAGGCACATAAACAGATCTATTTATGAATTCACCGTTTATTTTTTAGCGAACGATTTTGTGAGAGCCAATTTGATTTCTGCTAGATTTCTGAAAAACGATCGGTCCTGATTTTGCTGTGATTTGTATACGCATGTTGAAATTGCAAACCCGAACAACCAACGAAAATTAAACTTACCACACTTACGCAGCCAATTAACGTTAACCAACCAGCCGATTTAATTAATTAGATTAAAAATAACCACAAAGCGAAAAAGCAACAGTTTTAATTTAAAAAAAATCGAACGTTTTCTCTATAATGGTAGGAAGCGTGAATTATTTCTAAAGTAAAAAAAAACTATGCTAAACATCGTCAACATAATTTCACCTATCCATAGATATAACTGTCCATATTGTCACTGCTGAATAATTCTTAGTGTTTAAAGTACTGTTCAATACAAGGCAATATTGACATCTTTGTAAAAAAAAAACAGACCTTATCGCCCGTCCCAAATGACCGCACCTTGAAGCCGCGTTTACTGAAACAAGACAAAGAGAACATACTTGTTTGGTTAGGGGCGGTGTGCTAATAAATTCGATATATTTTGGATTCATGATGAATAGATATTCACTAGTCATGTCTCGTATCGAGTCAATTATCAGTTACTGATAATTGAATGAACTGAATCTAGCGGCTCTAGTGTACGCTGTTAATTGCCGAGTAGCGTAAACCATTAGGTAGTTCATAAATTAATAGAAAATTAAATAATTTGAAAGATCATTGAGCCTCAATTGGTAATGGAATTCGGAACTTCATGGTTGTATGTCTGCCGGCATACACACCAAAGTATCGCGGCAACAGCTAACTTGTTTACGCAATCATTCGAAAAGGTTTCCAAATTATCTTTCTTTTCTAAAAAGATCTTTGGTAAAAAGAGCCAGTAAAAGAGGTTCTCAGGTTGAGGACTTAAGTCCTCAACCTGTCCAAAGAGTCCTCTGACAAAAAGGTAACGAAGCCATGTTATATAATCCTGATAATATGTCTGACTATATTGTTGTGTGTCGTTGCCTACACATGCAAGTCCAGCCCAGTATTGAATAAACAACTGAATAAATATCACGTCATTTCTTTTTCAAAGCACATTTACACTCGTACCGTGACCCCTTTTCTCGAATGCAACGTCACGATATTTACCGTTGCTTACAAAGTTTGAATCGACTAATTATTCCAGTTAAAAGGGAGAAATATGAGACAAAGCTGGAGCAACGCATATAGAGATTGAAGGTCTTTGAGCTGAGTACGCGTACTTCACAGTTTTTGTCGTAGTATCCGAACAGGCTTCAGAGCTGAGAGTTGTCAGGCACTTAAGGCAGTCGAAAACCAGGCAAGACAAAATATTAAGTATTCTAAATATCTTAGTATAACGAATACAGGCATATGATGGTCGCCGATAGTTATGTCACTCAAAGACCAAAAGGCAGCGAAACTGTTATGCCATACACTAGCTTAAACTAAACATGCGTTGCTCTTTATCGCAGTATCGCGATGTACGACTTCATTCAACATAGCAATATTACTAGACCGACGATCTTAACTGCACGAAAGTCGCCGAAGATTTACAGAGCCGAAAAGCTATAAAGCACTCCAGATCTGGGGTCGGTCGTAGACCAAACACCTTTTTACTTAATTCTGAACTGTTTGTGGTTATCTCAAGCTTCATGTTGTTGCAGAATTGGCACAATTTTACTTTATTGATGTCATTTTTGATAACTGTTTATATTGCTGCTCTGTTATTAAATGCTATATATTATTATTAATGCCATTAAATATACAAAAGTCTGCTGGAGTCTATGGCCAAATAGTCACAACACTAATTACAAATAAGTAATCGTTGACAACAGCAAAAAACCGCTACCCAGGGCAATTTTATACATCGCTACTTTTCATAAAAGATCAGTATCCAGATCTGATACTTAAATATAATAAAATTGCAAGACTTACTATAATACAAGACTAAAAGGATGTGTGTGCTACATTTTAGAATGTTCCTGTATCGGAAAATTAGGACGAAAGGCATGGGACTCGAAAACTCTACAGTTACTTAGAATCAGCATATTGTTCTTATCTGTAATATATTCGAATCGACACCGGTTGTTCGATGAGCAACGATTCGCAACGGGCAACGGGTTCGCTGTCAAGAAAATTCGCCGTTGAAAATTATATTTCATGGCATATATATATATGCCATTAAAAGTGGACGCGTCCAAAATCCGGTCGCCGAAGGTACATTAAATGCAACAGTGAGAAAAACTCTGGTCACGAGGCGGTCCGTATTTCGTTGTACATAGTTGAGCTACAGTATTAAATTGTTAGGAACGTATGAACGATTTTTGTTTATCGTACATTTCTATATTAGATTATTAGGAACGCATGAACGATTTTTGTTTATCGTACATTTCTAAGTTTCGGTTCGCAGATACCTCAGTATCACATGCGTTTGGACAGTTTTTCTGCACTAGAAGCTCTCGTTGCAGTTTTGTTCGGGTGTCAAAACTATACCTTGAGTTTGAACCTGCACGATGGCTAAGTTTAATGACATGAAGCAGAATTTTTGACACATTACTCTTGTTGGTTCGAAGTCCAAGGATTTTCGAAATAATGCGAAATAGGCGTGGCATGTACGACGATAATTCTAAGGTTGAGGACTTTGAGAAGTTCAAATTGACTTGAGAATACACTTCACCAAAATTTTCGAAACTAACTGTTTTGAGCAATGTTTGAAGATACCTGTTAGATAACCGCACACTAATTTATGTGGCTTCTGCAGTTTTTTTTTACATAGGCGAAAGGTGCATGTAGCAAATTGGCTTCTTTTTTACTCAAGGTACGGCCGTATTCCGAGTCAAAACTTAAGGTAAAATTTTGCTACCCGGACGCTGGCAATAAGATTCAAAGTTTAAACACAACCTAACACTTAAGTAGCCAACGAAGAATTGGAGGAGCAAAGCAATTAACGGAGCTTGTTTTTTTTCTCAATATTTCTCAATTCTAAAACTACGCACGTGTGTGAAAAGACGTAGGAACATGTCAAAAAAAAATAGACATACTACATTGATAGCAACGAAATGAAAAAGTGACTTTTATCAGCCAAAAAATACGTACAACGTCAAACAAACCGAATTAACTTTAGACAAGCCCGATTAACAATAAGTGAAGTATGCTTTCGCCTATAGCGCGTTCAGGGAATCCATTGAAGGGGCGTCTTAATTGACAGGCTCAACAAGAGCAGGCCAGTCCGGCTTAATGGAGAAAAGCAAGCAGACGTAACAAAACCACCGAGCGTATGCGTTTCGCACATTTATGAGTGAGCGGAGTAGAAAACAACCTACAATTTTGACCTAGATTGTCATTCTTTACGAACACGGATGTCAAACAGTGAGTGTGAGCAAACACTATGACAATTCTTCACGAGTGCATCCGTTTAAGTATCAACTAAATAAACTTTTTCTAAGTTTATTTAGTTGATACTTTTTTTTAAGGTATTTTGGAACAATGAGAAAGCATATACTCGCCATAAAAAGTAATTCGATGAATTGTTACCATCCTCAGTTGATTTTTACACAACGTTCATTTACGAGTGGAACATATGTAGCAGAGAATGTAAGACAACCGACGTGATTAAAATAAAAATAGATAGCAAAATCTTCACAAATTTATCATAGGAGAACGTTTAACAAACAGGCCCACACCACGCCAGATCTATTATGCTAAGATAATACCCCCACCTCTACAATATGTGCGAAAACGGTACTTTTTTGAGGCTATATTATTTCTCTTTTATTATAAAACGTACCTTCTATTTAGACAATAGATCTTCGTCTGATGGTAAAAAAAATGCAGAGTCTGCTGAACGAGGGATACTTTTAGAAAATCCCATAGAGTACTTGAGTATAACATAATCAATTTTTGCGAGATATCTCATTAGTGGATCATCAACTCAGACTTCCATGATACTATTTCATGTTCGAATTAGACTTTACTCACTAAATCGATTCGTTAAGCCTTCTCAGTCAACGTCACAAAACCAGATTTCGAATCTACTATTGCGGTATATAGACCATCATTGCTTGAAAATTGTCTAAAATTTGACCTTTTTTGCTTATGGACAAGCTGGATCACATTCCGGATCACACTCCACATTGACTAATTGACCCCGTTTTTCGTGATTTTATCGCTTTGTAAATGTATGACGCATATACAAGTTGAGAATACATTTTGCAAATCTACAGCTTTCTGATCACGTCTATCAATAAGTCTTCACCTAAGACTCTTCTAACGGTCTCCAGGTGCCAATTGAGTGTCGAGTATGAAGAGACGTTTACACCTGCCGATCTGCGGCGTCGGCGGCGACTCCGGAGTCTACGCCCTGAACTCAACTCTTTAGAAGTCCTAATGTTTGACGGAGACTCGGAACCGTACACGGACCACTGCTATTCGCGAAACTTCTAAAATAACAAAGTGTTAGTATGCGGCTTTGCTGTGGAAAAGCATCGAAACTAGATCATCCAACATGACTGGAGAGATTTGCAAGAGATCTAAAACAAATTTTCCGCAATTTACCTGAGAAAAAGATGAGTTTCCATGCTGCGGTTCTGATTACTAGAACATACAACTGCAAAGCGGATATTGGACGGCATTTCTATTTTGTTAAGTAAATCTCTTCATATGCGTCGGCATTAACACCTGAAAATGTCACCAAACGAATCAAATGACGCTTATCAAGTTTTCCTTGAGACTCTGTTACGGCCCCTCGTGCCCGCTAATCAGACCCAATTTTCTGATCCGAAAAGCGTTTGATAGAATCCGGCTACCATCATTTGCACACTTGAATTCAACGTGGCCTCTTTATAGGTAGAAATCGAAAAATTAATACTATTGACGTAACGTATTTTTCTCAGTATGCTAATTCACAGAAGGCAATAGAAACTGAAGGGGTTATCGAACACATGAAACAACAAACACTGGTTTTTATCAATAACAGGTCGAACCGGCTAACATCGCAACCTACAGGCCGAGTTACAACAATGCCAAAATAAATGCAAACAACGATTCGCACCACGGCCACAGTTCGCCGTTACGACACCGAAATTCGAATGTTAACTACTTAAAAACTAGGACTTCCGCACCCTGAAACTTCAAAGGCTTCGAGCAGAGCAAAGCGGGTCGGCGTGGTAGTATTCGTCGTTTTTCGTACCTAAAAGGACGATATTTCTCCGTAATTTCTCCAGTGCCCGGAAGGAGTGTCGATTTTGTCAGATGACCGGGGTCGGTGAAAAAACGGGACACGGCAGAAGTTTTTACTCCGGACGTCCTGGCTGACGTCTAACACCAGCTGGGTCTTGAGAACGTTGCACAAAATATGCGGCGTTTAGTAACAATAGCATCACTATCAATGCATTGCCGAATGCAATAGGACGTTAGGTTGCAGGACAGGCTAAAAGACAGAGAAAAAGTGGTGAGTGAAGGACCGCAATGCAAGCACAGCGCCTTGTTGATAGTTGTTAAAGACTTCGGATCAGCTATTTAGCTAGAATAGGCCTTCGAAAACAAGTTTTGGCATCCTTCCGCTGCTAAGTGAATGTCCACTGTGATTTAAGCCGACAGCTAAACGCAGTCGCATAGGCAGTCTAATCATTGTTATGGTTTGAGCCACCGGGCGATGCGGCTTGTATAGAAGGGAGCGCGGTTTAGAATCGAATGGAGCGATTCAATATGAACAAACCGCTTTTGATCAAATTCGACTAACAAAACAAACTATGCCAAAATCGCTTTATTGACGAGCTGGGATTATTTATCACGAACTTTGACGTACCATTTCTGTTATAGTAGATTTAGATATAGACGATGGTCTGTTGCTCGAAAGGAACATCCCATGAAATTGAAAAGAGAGCCACCGGAGTGATTTTCTTCTACACCCAGTGTACAATGACTTTCAAACTACGTTACAATTGTTTTAATTATATATTTTGTCTACAATTTTTTTGAAAAAAATTGAAGTCAGTAAAAATAATTAAGCATATATTTTTATTATACTGGGATTGAAAAACAGATATTAAATATGATAAAAGTATAAAAAATGTATATATTTGGAGAATGACAAAGGTGTAACGGGTAAGCGAACTGCGGCTTACATTGTTAGGTAATATTCAATTAAGCACGATAACTATGGTATTGGTGGGCTTTCTAAGAGGCCTAGGAATTTTTTGTATTTTATATTGCCATTTTTTTCTGGGTATTAGTACGATCGGGTGTAAGTTGGCGCACAGGCTTTCCTTTAAGACTACCAGCAGTATATATTATAATTTCGTGGTGGACGTTTCTGAATTATATTTCTACATTTATATTGTGACGTCCTGAATACAAATCGAGTCACATAGGATGTCTATCTTCTATTTTCGCGTACGGCACTGTTAAGTTCGGCACAAAGACTTGTTATAGAATTACATCGTTATCCTTTTTCAAGACGAATAAATATCCCCGTATATTACAGATATTGGTCAAGTAACGCTGCTAAAGCACAATACAAGATTATTAAATCAAAACATATCTAGGTATTAGTACATGGATGTTAGAGTGTGCTGGCATACACGACAAGTAGGTATTATAAATGAATGCTTCAATAAACTATATTTTATAATAAATTTTTCTACGAGGATTTACGCACAATGAATTCTCGTCTATATGTTTTGAAGCAAAATAATAATGATATCTAAGTTTCTGTAGTGAGTATTAGGTATCGGGTACATTCGCTATCTTCGCACGTGATTTTGTTTGTTTGTTCCATTGTCGTAAATGGAAATTTTTTATATAAAATTTGTTACCGAATGGTTGTTGCACACACCCCGTAGTTTTTTAGCGTAAATAAAAGCGTCATTCAATTCGTAAGTATCGATCTGTTTGGTATTGTGATACGTTTGAGATTTTCATAAACTTACGCATCTGAACTTTATTTAAGGAACTCATTTAACTTTATTTATTTACTAATCCATTAAAATGTACCGTTCCTGCTGGATAATTTTCATTAAACTTCATTCATCAAACATTCGTCGTACATCGCGCGATGGCCGCACTACTTGCACGATGACACCTATTTTCGTATCTGCATTCAACCGTTGTCCCTTCAGTGGTGGGGAGGGCAAAAGCCTATCGGCGAGGGCATTCGTTATCTGCCTCGTTCGTGCTGATAGACAATCGCAGTTGCGCACAGTTCGAGCTAGCGCCGAAGCTCTAGAGACGAAAATGGCGCCCATGCCACGAGTCGACCGCGGTCTGCCGTCTGCTTTTCGTGAAAACCTTGCCGTGCAACAAAGGACAACTGGCCGCTTTGCTCTTTCCATCTACTTGCGCTGGTCCTCTTCCACACCAACCTTTCTTTGCCGCGTTGCTCTACGATACTCCCCTGTCGAAAGCCACCACAATGTTAGCACGGTGGGTGGGAGAGACCTTCCGAAGTCTCCGCTAGAAAACGCCAGCCCACGGACTATTGGCTAGCGCTGTTTTAAAATACGAGCTACGGGTCAAGATCACAGCCTACCACTGGTGAGAGAAGGAACGGATCCGGCTAGGGTAGCCTGACTGGTTACCGACCATCGGGGCTCTACCGAGAGCGAAGCGGAACAGTTCTCAGTGAGTAAACGAGCGCCAAGTGATACGTTGCTGGTAGTGGGTGAGTGCCGTGGCCGTGTGCGGAGCACAGGGGCCGATAGCGCCTCGGGTGTCCACGGTTCCTCCGATGCTTACAGAGGTCGGAAGCGATCTCAGATATCTGCTCAACGACCGAAGACACTGCACTTCGCCCCAACATGACCGGTGAGTAAGGAGATAAATGGAACAAATCGAACTGAGAAAAACGCAAACGAAATTCACCAGGTTCGTCAATTAACAGTTGCACTCAATATTCAGCTCGCCATTGGATACGCAGGATTCTTTCAGTTCTGGGTTAGTTCTTTACTGGATGCGTGCGTGCGAATGTATGTGTGTGTGTGTGTGTGCGCGTATAGTTTACAGCAGAGGCATTAGGAAGACTGAGCTGGTGCTGCTGATCAACTAAGGTTCGAAAGCAGGCGAAAAACGAACCGAACGCCATAAGGAGAAAGTGACATATCTCAGGATAATCGAAAGACGCACAAGTCTTAATGGATATGGTCGTCCATAGACGAACATAAGGGAATCAACGGAAAGCTCTCGTAGGTGCTTCGGAGAGACAGCTGATCGACCTACTGCTGCTGCTGCTGTTGTTAGCGTGCACAGGACTACGACAGGTCCTGAACAGCAGACACAGTTTAGTTGGGATATCCAAGGGTGGACAGGCCGTTTCACGGCTATGGCGAAGCTTTTTACGAATAGAGCGATGTATGATCATCAGTGCTATTAGGCAGAGATTATACCCGTTGTATTAGCCAGTATCAGCCGAAAGCTTAAAAAGAGGTAAAGCTTAAAAAGAGATAGAAATTCGGCGTGCAAGCGCGCGATAGACAACCAATAGACCTATTTATATCAGATATGGGTCACGTATTGGACTCGAATTGACCGACGTAGGTGTACATTCAGTGTAACTCTGGACGCACAGACGGCAAGAAACGCTCTGAAGATGATTTTACATGGTGCATCACATATATTGCGAACGCATGGACGGCACGTTAACCAGGTGTTGCGTCCTGGCTCACTCATTTTGCCGCGGTGCTTATTCCTTCGTTTTTCAATCGTCCCTACGATTGCATTACGTTTAATTAGTCACAAATATTATTGTGCTTGCTGGTATTCAGTCGGACACAATGACTTCATCGGGCCCAGTCTATATACTCGAGAGACATTGGGAGCCCTGGGCCTGGGCAGAATTCCATGATATAAACAGTTTTCTTCGCTATTGGTACTTTGTATGCTCCAAATACGCTAGAGGACCCAAGCCCTGGACGTTGTAGCGGTTTAAGCACCAATGGCTCAAATGACGGGGCCTGTTAATGCGCGTTTCTCCGCCGGCCCTCCTACTGGCCTGGTGACGAGTTATGGCGGCTTGACTATAAGGACGTGCAAGTTTGGCCTGCTTTGTCCTGTCCTATCTGTAGCAAGAGACAGTGTTAGCCTACTTGGTCACTATTTATCTATCAATGCTGCTGTGCCTATTGAATAATGGCTGGTAGGAGTGAGCCTATTTGTCTACGTGAGCGTATGCGATTAATGTGGAGGGTGCGTTGATCTGTTCGTGATCGTAAGTGGCGCATTAAGTGGTGCCGCTATTCATATCCGTATGTTTTCTTTCCTTCTCTCTTTCTTTCTCTCGTTGTATGAAAGAGAGGAGAACGAACACTAGAAGGCAGCGCACCATTATGTCCGTGCGGTCGGGTGCGGGCGAGTACTATATTGAAAGTGACATGTTCGTCATAGCAATAGTAACAAATACACATTGAACAATCCAGTCCTGAAGGTCTGATAACAACGTATGGCCTATTCTGAAACTGTACCGTTTGCTTAAATCGCGTATTGCTAGCTCTAAAATGGCGAATTTTTAGTGCTCTTCCTAGTCTAGCTTATGCACGTTTGGAGAAAGATTCAAGTTTATATTCTTGGCAAAATAGATAGACCCGCTAAGTAAAACCCACTTCAGCTGTAGTTCGGTGTCACCAAACTGCCGCTGGCGAGAAGCAAAAATGATGTGGGGTTTAGTTTTGAGGAACAAATATCAAGGAGTTCAATCTTTCCGCGGCAAAGCAATTCGAAGACAAGGATCCGGCGAGAGAGGCTTCTTTCTATTACTTTCCCATGCTGACGTTCGTGGTAAGGTCCATTCAGCAGAGAAAGAGTGGTGAACTACTTCCCAACGGTGAATGAGAAATATATACAAATACGTTTCAGCGGCGCTGTCCGTACGCGAGTTTTTCGTTTACGAATAGATCTCCCCAGAGGGTTCTACTCGTTACTTCGGTACGAGCTAATACGACGACCAGTTCTATGGGATCCGTCTGTGGAAAGACGGACATAGCGATCTGATATATAGTAATGAGCCAGACGTGTGAGATTTGCTGACGGGGCAAATCAAACGGTCAGCCGTCTGGAGTGACTCGTGCAACGTGCTTGCTTTTACATCCAGCACAAGCAGCAGGAGCCAGAGTTCAAGTGAAAGCTTAACTTACTAGACAGCATCAATGAGGGAGGAAACCCTCGGATAAACGGAAGCATCGTGTTGTGACGACGACGACGATGACAACTAACGTCCATAAAGACTGACGGAGGGAAAGAGGGGGCAACAAAGCTAGAAGCTCTACTAGCGGTAAAGGCAAGCGTTGTGTACTTTCTACTTAAAGAGAACATTGGAAAAGCTGATATGAATAAAACAACTTGCTCGACTTAGCTAGGGAATGAGTACATAGTGAGGCGCATAACGTTGCAGGCGATGGCTGCAAAATGCAAGCTGAAAGCCCGCTAGCTCAGCGTAATCAACAAATGTCTATGGTATTTCGCATAGAAATAGAGACAGACATATAAACTTGGGCGCTACCGTCTAAAAACAAACGATTTTTGGAATGGTTAAGTGGACGGCCTCTAGAAACAAGATTGGACTCTGGTGGGAACGGCAGATGAGATATGCGCTTTATTTTGTTCCGCTGATAAATTTTTGGCACATGAGTTGAGGTTAAATTGAGGTTAGCATCTTAGCCGAAATTCGGTGACTGCCAATGCCCGCAGTTTAAGTCATCCTGGTATGAAAAAATGGAAACCAGTAGATGATGTAAACAAAGACACGCGTAGGTAGGATATTTTATATAGCTTCTTTCGTGATCGTTGATCTTCTAATGTTAGTCTACCTAGGTTCACTATTTTTTCCCTCAACTTAGCTGAACTTCAGTGCAGTCAAATTAACAACCTCTACTAACTATACATGATCTATTATAATCGTTTATATAATGATGAAAATGCACTTCCTTGACACTTCGTATCCCTGCACGGAACGAAGTAGTGATTCAGTACCAAACAACGTTTTACACCTTTCTTTCTCGTTATATCTGTTAAAAATGGCCCCATTTGTGTTTAGAATACAAAGCTATCGTAATGGAAGCCACTGGAATTATTGCCGCATCGCACCCGTTTTGGAGGCAGGTGTTTGATTTGGCTTAGTGTTATCCGCGTGATTTTCTGCTGCTGCTGACCGCCACACGGCATCATTCGACCTCGTCTTACGATGCTTTCAGCTGTGTTGCAGAATTCTCTGATGACCACCGCAGCCGTTGAGGCAACTGGCAGTGTTCGACTGGAACGAACGAAAAGGATCTTCCTTCGCGACAATACATTGAACCACCTCCGTTCGTAAGGTGTCGAATAATCGATTCTGTTTGCGATATCTGAAGTCGGTGCTGAAAAATGAGCGAAACGAGGTTGTTTTTCGTGTCGGACACCCAATAGAACCGGAAAATCTAAATATATCATATGCATGTAGGTGCGTATGTATGTAGATGTTACCATTTAATCCTAATCCAGTATCATTCATTAAGTTTTTCTCAATCTGTTCCATTCCCCCAACTAATAACGCTATTTATCCTTCCACTTTGGTCTTCTCTATTGCCTTACCAATAACAACAAAAGAATCTGTACTGTCTACATCACGCCCGAATATGGGCTCTACTAGAAAAAGAATATTTCTTCACCGATTCTTTCTTCTCCTTTACGCGACCGTCCAATTTACGAAGATGTGTTGTTCTTCAGCGCGCAGCGCGCCGTGTCGCGGCTTGGCGTCATATTAATCGTGCTGACGATACCAGTGCAGTGGGCCCGTCATGCGTTGCATCAATAATAATCTCTATGTAAACTCGTTCACGAGAATGCGCAAGATCCACAACGGAATGGTGATGGGATGTTTCTGCGTAAGCCCTTTCATAGTGTTGTTTGGACGGCGTGCGTCGCCGGCCTGTAAGATTCCGGCCCTCGTCACGACCCTCGAGATTAATGTTGGCATGCTGCCATTGTGTATATACGACAAACTGACTGTTTTCGTCCTTGAGGTGCCTCTGATTGCTGATACCACCACCATACAGCGTTTTACGTTTATACAGCCTTTTACATACTTCCAACTCGAATAGCCTCTACCAGGCGTTAAGTACGAAGTACCCCAAACGAGTGTTGCTGCGCTCACGAGGCACCAGATTAAATTATAAGCAGGAGGAGCAAAAGTAGATTGATACACATCTGTGCGCAACAACATGCTGTCTCCCAGATAGCGCGACTTTCCAATCCCTACATGTATCCGCCTTTTGTACCCCTCAATTCGAATGAATTTAGGCAGGCTTAATTCGACCCAGTCTATGCAATCTTGCTATCAGTTTACGTGGTCTGTTGACCACGAATCACATAACTGCAATAACTTAACTTTTCGGCCCTCCTCGTCCATATCAAAAGCCCACCTAGTTTCCTTATAATGCCCGTAATCTTCCCTTCATAGAAGTGCGCCTTTACGTAAAACTTACGAGACAGCTTCTAGCGTAGTTAAACTTTCATCGCTGGCTTCGAGCGGCAGCGTGGCTGGTACGATAACGGAACGTTATTGGGATAGGGCACGCTTTTTGTAAGTCTACATTTATACGAATACCAAATTTTCTGCTTCTATTTTTATGGACGATTTCTAGAAGAACGGACGACAGAGTGAGACTTCGCAAGCGGCAAAATTTTTGCATGCATTCAGGTGATTCACACGAAGGTTGAGAGCTGGTCTAAAGAATACACGCGCTAATTGAGTTATAAATGGATGGTCGTAGGTGGCAATAAGCTGAGAAAAAGGCAGTACTATCGTTTATAATATAATAACAAAACGTTTATAATGGGCCATTGTGGATTTGTCAGACGTGTTTGAACAGGTCCCCGATTTGTTGTGCAGAGACCAGATCAATTCTTTTTGTTTTCTAGATCGCATTGGCGTGTGTTACAAATTTCATAGACAAGGCATACACTACATTTCATTAGCCGGGGCGACAAGCATACTTATATGCAGTTTATCCGTGAACCCGATATAAAAAAAAAGCGGCTTCATAAACCAAAATTTCTACAGGATCGGCGCGGTGATTAATCCATTTTGGGAATACACCCAAGAACAAATCGATGCATCGTAACTCGCAAGCGTTACTCATTGATTTCATGTTTTTTTTTCTTAAATAAAGTTTGCAGCTGTCAGCGATGCGAAGGGCCTTGTAGGCAATATCATTTCAAGTCCAGCCTTACGTAAGTTGCGCATCATGTACATATAATGTTGTACATATGCAAAACGAAGACGTTCTAAATGCCGGAAGACTAGCCTTTTGTCTCATCCAGCCTATATCGTTTAGCCATCAAGATGCGTTAACAGAATGTCCGAGTAGCCGAGTTCTTCGTACTGCGTATGCCTACAGCAATATAAGGACCATAGAATTGATAATGTATAGATATGTTGTTGAACGTATATATTATGGAGACCATCTAAAGATTTATTGAATTAAACTGAGTCCCCATATGGGCATGGGATAGACGGTAACCGTTTTGGTGGTTGCTTGTTTGAACACTGCCCGACTTTGCCCTGCCGCCCAAGGATGCCCTGTTCTGAAATAGAGTAAATTTAACAGTGAGTGCATTAGCTGACACATAGCTCTCCGTATGATGCTGGTTCTAATCACATTATTTAGTAAATATTCACAGTTCTATGGTGATTCTTTGCGGTTGTGGTGTTGATCCTGATAACGAGACGTTGGCGCCACAAATTGTTTGATCTCTGTTATTTATTATGTAATATATGTCGATAATATTAAATATGTACAATTCTAGCAAAAAAAAAAACGTATTTTTAGGCGAGAAAGTAGAAGAATGGATGCCCGCTCTACAAGGACATAAAACACAGGGACTATAATTATAGAATGGATTGATCATTCAACCATATTGTATTTCAAAATAGCCTCTTGTCGATAGATCCGTATTTCCTCGTAGAGTGGAATTAGCGCGTGAAGCCACGAACGGCCGAAAACTGACTGCAAATTATGCACCAGCGAACGCCTCTGTGTTGGTTTATTCTGTAAAACGATTAATTAATTAGGTAAAAAATAAAGGACATCTGAGCTTACGAAGCTTACTACCGAAGGTCACAATTTGTTTCTCATAGACTCTCGAAAATTGAGCGTTCTAATACTTAAGAGCTAAAAGTAGTGCAATTAGCCTAGGCAGTCGAAACTTGGGAAAAAGAAAGCAATGCGGAAAGCAAGTTACTTTAGTAGCGCAGGCACAATCTTTGTAACTTCAAAAGGCAAATCTGTTCGCTCACTAATTGATTTATACACGTTTTTAGCTCTCAAAATATGCATTGGCTGCGTAATCCAAGATAGTAAATACGATTCCTCACAAAGGAATAAGTTAGATGCGATAGAAAGAAATACTGCCATAGCATCTTCGTCCATACTCTTTGTCTATACATGAAATGCGGCACATCTTTGTCAATGTAACACAAGTTTTTAAATACTAATTGTGCAAAGTTACTGCGTACACCATTATGCCGTATCGTACAATCAAGTTCATACCACTCGACCATTGAGCGATGTATAAAGCTATCCAGCACTCTTAGGCCCGTCATAGACGAAGAGCGTCCGAACATCTGCTGGCGAGTGTTGAAATAAACGCTCGTGAGAACCGTATGCTGCCAGAGGTGCTATTCTAGATATTCTATCGCTACGTGGCACACGATGCAAATCTGTCAGAAGGTCGTGTACGAACCATCAGAAATTCCATAGTAGTTTGATTTAGAGCTACGAAAAACAGTTGGATAAAGGCCAAAATTAGGCTTGCGGAGCCGAAGAACAACGATGCAACGAAGTGAGTAAATACGGCCAAATCCATAATTTCGAAAATGTTTAGTCGCCAAAAATTCCAATACAGGAAAATTGCTGTAGATACGCCGTGCATCGCGAGTAATAGAAGGAACTGTAATCGCAAAACGCATAAAAAAAATCCATCATGTCAAGTAATACATGAAATAGGTGGGAATAAATTTTACGTAAATAAATAGTTTTTTGTTAGTTTAACGTCCGGTACCTAGGACGTATGCGTTACTGACAGCTAAGACGGCTGCCTCACTGGAGCTCGAAACGAATCGTGTCTCCACGCTCGATTCCGAAGCTAGAACGCCTCATCACTCCGTGTCCGTGAGCTCAGCAGGCAGACGCGCAGCCACCGCAGCTTCATGGGGATAGCGTGAAAAGGCGCCGTATTACGCTAGCACAAGCACTCATTTACAAAATAGGCTTTTCGTATGCATATTGAGCACTGAAGACGAACTTCGTTTAGTTACATGTTACCTATGACAACGCTCCCGAGCCCAATCTCACTCTAGACAAGAACAAAGATGATTACGAATCCTCAATAATGATTATGTACATTTCGACTATATATTATCAGATATTAGGAGTCCTCAACTGTGCCATGTTTAGCTGACCTCTAACACAAAACAAAATATTTTATGCCATTTTGAATATTCTTGACCCCGCTAATTCATACATGAATAAATAGGCGACGATTGTGCCTGCCGATACACACGTCTAGCCAGGCACAATGATGATCGAACATTGGCACGCAGACGTTACAGATTAGGCAGTGATACGTCCGAGCTTCACGAGGCAGTCCGCACTTTTTGCAGACGCAGTTGGTCGTTACCAGCTGATTTGACCGGGGTCGCGATTTGAACTTCAGGTGGAACGCCGTGGCCAGCGTTGTGAGGGCGCTTCCCTGAATTCAGCACGGAGAAGAAGACAGGACAGGGAGGATACTGATAGTGAAGTTGCTTGTTTAGACAAGCTGGACTAGTCCGGTGTGTTTTGGCTATCGGGGTTGATTAAGTCACATGTTCACTGAGTTAAAGTAGTATTAAAAAAAATGACTATTTTCGATGATCATGCTAAATAAGCAGCAATCGATGATCGATTCAGGGGGGCAAATGCATGGGTAGTGAGGTGTACCGAAACAGAATACTGCAGAGATTTGGTAGAGATTGGGCCATTTCAGCATAAGACGCAACAATTTCTGTGGTAAATGATATATTCCGGTTTAGTATATATACACAGAGTTAGGCAAAAGCTTTCATGTTCAAAAAGAAAGTGGGTTATTAGTGTGTACGAACGCTGGGTCTGTGAGGCTGGTTTTTTCACAAGTATAAGGTTAACTCTTTTCTCATTATTTGCCTGTTTTTCTTCTTTATATTTTTGCACCACTCTGTATATATTAGTCTATTACAAGCAAATCCGGTGAACTTTGAAACTGGATAACTTTTAAACTCGGTCGATTAGAATAATTATTTAATGTGGGTGAGAAATACTCTATGCACCCGGTCCAGCGCCCCTGCAGCTTCCGGCCATATACCTACCATTCGCGCTCCCATATGTAATGTCTCGATTTATGGCTTCTCTAAACACGCACGAGCTTCGTAAAACATAAAACCCGTAATCACACGAGTGTATAAACAGACTGAGGCCAACGTTAAATACTCTTCCATTCAACCCAGGAAGTAATGATAAGGCTTCTCTGGCATTGTCGTCAAGCAATCAGACTACGTGCGTTCGACTGCGGACCAATGCTGCATAAGAGATTCAAGATACCGAGCGGTATTTATCGTCTTCTCCTTTGGCAAGTACCTCGTGATAGCAGATGCCCCTGACGTCCATTCCAAGTGCTACCACCACCTTATATCCGAACCTATTCGATACTGCCATCGCACTTGATTTTACTCCGGGATGATGCCATTCATTCGCCTGATCTTTCTCACGTATCATCATCGTAGGGATAGATGCATCGTATATGGAGACCGTATGCTCCAGAAGAGACTTTTGTTGATTAAAGTTCGGCAAATTGCACGTAGAGTGCACCATGCGCATTTCTATTGGCTTAAAGTCAATCTGTGAGGGACATATTTCTTACCCGTTTTCAGCAATTTCAGTACCTCAAGGTTTTAACTCATTAAACGTTCCATGTGAAATGCCAGTTCGTTGTCAGAGCCATTATACACCAAGTTCTGCTTCTATGGAAAGCCTCTTCGTAGTGCGTTTTTGTTTGAGATCCAGACAGCTCATCATCTCCTCGCTGCACTTTTCAACCTTTGTTCTTAAAACGTTGCGCTGTTTACATGCTATGCGTTAGTTGTACGTGTTGTAGTCTTCGAGAGACGAAAATTTCACCAATAAGCATTAATTTTCAATACTAAAGAATGTCTATCGTTTTGATCCCAGTTTTCCTGAAATAAACTCGACCGGTTTTCACGCATAGGTTTTCTAGAGAACTGAGGTATTTACTAGTTAAATTTTATTTGCTAGCGGCGCATAATTCAAAAGCAATTCAATTTCAAAGTCTGTTGGATTCGATGTAACAGCCTATATATATATATATATATATATATATATATATATACGTAGGTTGCATGTTGTAAACGTTCACCGTTGCTCTACACCTTATTCTGTACCAATAATTTTATAGATACACTGCATAGAAATGTGACTGCAGCTATTTTAACATTTTACATAAGTACTCATTATCGTTGTTTCCAATGGTTGTTAGCTTTGTAATAATGAAACAAAAGCTGTCTACTTTATGCACGTTTTTAAGGTCCTTGCACCTACCTGAAATATGGCGAAGTAAAATAATTTTTCCGTTAACGCTACATCCTCTAATATGGTTGGCAAAAAATATGAACAGAAAAGTAGTTGCTCAGCTAAATGGTACAAAATAGCGAGTGATGGAGGCAAACATTTTAGCAGGCCGAGGCCTTGAAGAAGCCATGAGCCTTTTTTAAATGAACGAATAACCACACGAATTGAACCCACGCCCATTCTGAGCATACGACCCAACACGAATAAACAAAATGGGCTCACACCCCATAAAAAAGCTTTTTATGCTGCGGCCAGTCCAATAATGCGCCCAATTGCGTCACATAAATCCACATATTCACCAAACTTATCCCAAGAGTTTCTTTTAAATAGAGTTTTTTTTTATGCCAGTAATCAGCGTATCAGAACGAAAATCACAAGAGTATCACGGACACTGGCTGCGGGTCTGCATAACTAAGCACTTTTGCTTTCTGTCTATCCAGTCAAAAACTTGCAGCTCCTGCGTCCTAGTCTCTTTCTGACACTGAGGGATTCCGGTGTTGGCCTCATGGTTAGAGCGGCCTCAGTACAGATGCTAACAATAGCTTCAAGGCTAACGGAAATTAGTACAATGTCATTCCGCATGAAAACGAAGGGTACTATAGTTTTACTTCGAATCGACTAGCTTCGTCCTTACAGGAAAATAGCGTTGTGTTGCATTCACCTCCACACTCTTGCTACGTAAAATTGTCTAGGGTATTACGCTTGGCGCTACTGTGATGAGTATTGGTTCGGAAGGCCGGCTACTTCCGCGAAAAAACAAACCGGGTGCGGCCTGCGTCCGCGTTCAAATCTGGACGACCTTACTAGAAGTACCGAAGTAACGAAACACGTTACCATTGAACAGGTGCCCGTACCCAGTCCTATTCAGTCAAGAAGCCTGAGGTTCGGAGACTCCAGAACAAAATAAAAAACAGATTACTATTTTCCTAAACTGAAAAAGATGGTTCATGTAAATTCGCTACATGTAAGATAATAAATGCTTCAAGCTTTATGTCGGGTCATTCTAGCGTGAGCATTGCTGGCACCTTCCAGTATGAAAGAGGGAAGTATGTCTTCATACAACTTCGGATCTACATTCCTCTCACTAAATCTGAGCTTAGTACCGTTACAGAGACAATTTTGTTACCGGCTCAATTGGGCCAATTTAGCAGAATTAAAACCATCGTACTAATGGTTCCCATGGATGGGGTCTACCTTTAAAAACATCTCAGCCAAATAGTATCCCAGTTGATCCTTTGTAGTTCATTTAGGTAGTTTATCTCATCCAATTTACTGGGTTTTCCACAGATGGTGCTAATGCTTAATATCGCCCGTAAAAGGCAACGAATTAAATCCGCAAAAGGAGCATATTCTTACTGTTACGTAAGCCATATTTTGTAAGCTCCCTAGCGCAATAGGTATTAAGCGAATGACTGCGTATACTTATAATGTAATGCTCTGCGTGTGGATATGTTGCTTTTAATAGACACAGTGCCGAGAACCATATGTTTCATCTGTTTTATACATTGTACACGTTTTATTAATGTTTTTATGAGTAGGCGATACGATTTTCTTGTGTAACGATAACTTAAACCTTCCAATGGTATATGTCTGTGTCTCTAGCTTTCAATAGTGTGCAAAGTGATCTTTGAAGGCCATGGAGGAGATCATTGCTGTCTTAGGATTCGGTCGTTCTAAAAGTCACTAGCGAATACCTGTGGAACCCGGGTCTACGTTTAAACCGCACTATACACCGCAAAAGTCAGGACCATTTAGGTCTATGTAATGTTACAAGTGTAGCTGAAGTTGTAAATAAAATCTAAATCGCTGCTTTGCCCATCGAAGCAATAAGACGAACCGGATCTGAATCGTATAAAAAAAAATGCCCAAACCAAGAAGTGATCAAAGTTACGGGACACATAATCGTTTTTGCGCTTTCGTTGGCAACGACGCTGGATTACGATATAAGAACGTTCAGATGTTAATGACGTGTGTTTCTAAAAGCATTAGCTTGCTTGAAGCAATATTTCGACCAATTCTTCTGGCTTATACTTCCATCTTCGTACAACGGGGCATCCACCGTACTGAGCAACGACGTATGCTACACGCGTATTTATTATATCACAATAATTTGTCATTAGTGGAGTAAATAGTTTTATTCTGCGTTTAATCTACACTACTATATGGCTCGTCGTTGATATATCGGCAAACCCATTTGGTTTGAGGTCCTGGTTTTTAATTTTCGACTGTGAAATTCGTTGACCGCCGCGTGGGAGGACCGTTTCACGAAACGCAACAGTCATATCACGACGCAGCATCGCTTTTCTTATGGCAAAACGATAACTAAATGCTATCTAACTGTTTCTGACTTCTAAATTCTCGCTTCAATTGAACAGATGGCAAAAATCATGTGGAAACACAAGCTCTCAGCGATTCGGAACATCCACATTTTTTTTTTTATAATGAAGCTCGGAAAGCGTTTTCTTCTCTATAACTTTCATCATAATTTAGTCAATTTTTTGGCGATCGCGGCACAAATCTTGATAACCTATTTGTGCTTGACACAAAGGCTAATGGTACGATGATGGCCGGCATTGATGACCCAAGCCAATCTCGGTCTAACGAGTAATTTGGGTCCGTATCTTATCACGCGGGATTTTGTTAATTCGCTAAAAAAGACATTGTCCGTAACTGATTAGTTCTATATCTTTGTTACTTATAAGTGGAAGATACGCAACGTTGGCTTCTGGAAAACAAACAAAAATACCATTTGTCATAAAAATGTCTTGCATGTCTCGGGCGAATAATTGATCACAGTGTGTATATTCTGCAAGCACCTTGAAGGTACTCACCGATGACTATTTCCATTCGCTTCAATATATTAAGCGATACATGCAACCTCTAAACATGCAGATATCAGTTACATCTACCTTTATATTGTCCATATCATGAGTGATCAGCCTTCGATAATCGACGGTTTGGCGTAAGGAAAAGGAAAGCGTGCCTCCTTTCAAATAGATTATGGCGCTTATTGCTCGTTGCAAGCAAATGACGGAATTTGGAGGATTGAAAAATTGGTCTGATGTCCATTACAGAAAAATACTCGCCCTCGGACCTCGCGTAATTGTTTCGAGCCGAAGTCGAAATCGGGGGGTCTGCAAGCCTCTGGTCCGATGCAAGACGGTAAGGATTAACTGGAAACTTTATTGGAGTATTGGTTTTCAGTAAAGCGTGAACTTGTATTGGCTAAATATTGCTGGTTTCTGAAATAATGCCTAATAGTTTAAGTACAGGTCGTAAAGCACAAAAAAAACATAGGCTTACCGATGCGGGTCGTAATTTAACTGCGCCTCAAAGCATGTTATAAGATCAAGGGAGACATGGGCAGGTTTTCAAGATACTTCCAGACGAAATACATAAACACAACATGCATACCTCAAACCGTATTCTGCTAATTAATCTTGAGATCGACTAGTCCGTGTTACATTTGCAATTGTGTATGTATTGATTCCAAAATAAATGCAAACTTAATTCCACTCTTGTACAGTTTATCGAGAAGCTGATAAATACCATTACGCTGTCCTGGGTTCTAAATACGTATACTTGCAATATGAACGACTAACCGAAAATCAATGTGGGCCGTTTATACATTCATATTATTATGAAGGATGCATTGTATGTCTATGACAGACGTATCCTGTCAATTCGTATATAAGTGAGTAATAAATCTTCAAGGTGTTCAGCCTCCTTGTCCATGGTTCACACATACGTATGGCGCCAACCTGCGCTATTAATGTTTAATGTTCTTATTTTTATTATCCTAACGTCATAATTGTGTTAATTAGCACCAACAATACGCCCTAACCGGCGTGAAGGCCGCGCCAATTGAATGCACTAATGCACACCGTACAACGCTGCCTCCTTCTAGGCCTGTCCCTTTCTACCAGAGTAAAATAGACGCTGGGAGCCTTAAATAGCGACACGAATCACTGCATCACCTGCGTCTTCTTGACCGTTGTGCATTGGGTGCGCTAACAAATTATAAAGTGACGCTTCTGCTTGGTCAGCTTGCAACAGGCTCCAAATGAGGAAAGGGTCGACCCACGGAATGCCGGCGTCACTTCGCTGCGGTAAATCAGGATCTTGCCAACAGGTTTGGCTGAAGATAGATTTTCAGCCTGATCGGCTTCTTCGTACTTTGATATACCCATTGCGGACGTGCACAGGGTCCACTACAAAGTTCTTGGCCTCTTCGTCGGGGTTCATTAAACAGCTCTGTTCACTAGGAGTGCTTTGTTGACAACACTGTCTACTAAGTTTTTTAGCGGGCAGCTAGCTAATTCTACCCACAACGATGCACGGGCAAAAATCAAGCTATTGAGTAACTTGTGTCGTTGTATCTATGCTTAGAGGAATCGACAAAGAACAGTTGTAGCTCGGGTACTGTAGTGAACCTAGACTTGTTATCGGTCTTCATCTCTATTCACATAGTTGCTAGCCACAGCTCGCCACCATTGAACTAGTCGACTCAGCGTTGTAACCGTCAACGATGATCGAGGCTTCACGGCTCTCAGATACGACGCTTTCGGCCAAAAATTGGCAAGTTCAGGCGCAATACTTGTACAGAACATAATAATGAATGAAAATTAGACCGCAGGACTGATTACTTCGTAGAGCTTTATCTCTTTTCGAACCAACGGGGTAAATGCTTTTATGCTACCTATATGCACGTCTTAAACTCCTGGTAGAAGTGCTCGAACGCGTGCCGTGAACTCTAGCATGCAGCTATATCCTGCATATCGTGCATTAGGCTACCCGCAACATGGTCATTGGGCTGCACCTAGTTGTTTGGTGCGCAACTGAAGTAGTGCGTCTTCATGTACTTACTTCGTGCGTTGCGAGGAACGTTGTCATCGTTGCTTGGCGTAAGTTTCCATTTGACTTCAATTAAAGTAGATTTTACATTCGGCATGATATTTTAGAAACCGCGCGACAGTAAAACATAACAGAAAAAACGAGTAGAGATTGAGGCTTTGGCGCTGAGTTCAACTATACAGTGTGTATTGTAAAATTGTTATCACGAGAGAGAGAACCGATGTTAAGCATCTATTATTGTTCCAAGACTGCGCTGCTATCAGTATGCTCTGAATATATGAATACATGTAAATATAATTTTTTTAATGGCACAAATTTATTTACTACCGAATTAACAAGTATGTCTGCATATATTGGTCTCCTACAATACCATTGTCATACATCTATTCGTGTTTATTTATGCTCTCTGCTAGAACTACTGTGAAATTAATAATTTTAACGACGGCTATTGAAAAAAAAAAGCAAGTTGACGCTATTTCAGTACGATGTCTAATCTGTATCCGATCTGCATGGTAGGACTGGGGGTGTCTATAGGACATACTGAGTCGCTTTTCTGGTTTCGATGCTGATCTGACGGTGTTGCTTTTAGCCAACGTGTTGACCCCTGTTTTCGGGTCATTGTTAGAATATATCAGCCATTGGCAGACGTTGCTAAGATGATGGTTGCAGACCGATGGCGGTCGAAACCAACCTAATTTAACGTAATAATTTTATCAAGGAGTGTCCTTTAATTTCTGCAGAGCTTCCATTAAGAAATTGAATTATGTAGATGATGCCGTTAAGAAATGGAAAGTTATAGGAGCCTATCGGTAGTGTCGCAGAGTTATATATATCGTTTTTTTCGTAATCTTAAATTAATAGGGTTGCACCCTGAAAATAAGTTTATCGTAAAAAATGTCGCACAAACATTTGTCGAATGGTACCCGTTATTGGCTGTCAAGATCAAAGGTTCAGTCATCAATGAAGCGCTCCGCAAAGTCAAAACGATATCCAGTAACTAGATCCCCTAAAAGTAGATAAATTGCAAGGTCTGTTAAACGATATCATGGGATGGAAATACCCTATTAGTATTACGGTGATCCTTATTAGCTGAACTTCTCTTCGATTTTCATCGACTACAAACTTAATAGCAATTGTTCATTTTCTGTTGTTTTTATCTATTACAGAGATGTCGACAGTGGCGCCAAGTGCAGTGCAGCAAGAAGCCTCGGGGGGAACGGGGGACAGATTGGCCACCGCCCCCAGCACCGCCGCCAACTATCACCAAGAACAACAACCTGGCTTAGCGATTCACGTGTCGGCAAATGCTAGCAGACAACCACAGCAGCATCAGCCAAGTACAGCGATAACTGGGATAAGCACAGCATGTACAACGACTCCATCACTCCCAACTAGGATGGGCACAGGAACTGGCTCCGCATCCTCCGAATTGCCCACATCACTTTCAAAACAGCAGATTCACGAGATGAAGACACTGAGACAGGCCAGCTCCAATGACAACAACAAAGAGAACCACAGCAGCGCTAGTAGCCCGAAGATCAACGGAATAAATAGCACGAATGCAACGAGCAACAATTCTGCTGACTCACTGGTACGAAGTGGTCATATCAGTCCATCACTGTCCTCAACACCGTCAAGTCCAGCACCTCCATTCGCAGGTGAGGGCGGTGAAGGCAGTCCAAAGGACAAGACCCCCATGTGCCTCGTTAATGAGCTGGCGCGCTTCAACAATGTTCAGCATCAATACCGACTTGTCGAGGAACAGGGTCCTCCGCACAAAAAAACGTTTACGGTTATGCTCAAGCTAGGAGCTCATGAGGAGTACACCGCCACGGGAAGTAGCATTAAGCGCGCGAGACACTCTGCCGCCCAGACGGCGTTACAGAAAACGGGGCTTAGGCATCCTACGCCGAAGGCTGCGGGAAAGGTAGGTTTTAACTTAGGCGCGAATCACTGAAGTTTGTTCGGCGGATTATAACACATAATATGTAAGACTGGTGATGTGCATGGTAGTATGAGCGCGTGTATGAAATATTGTGATAGAATTATGCTACTGTATTCGAACAGCTATATGAAGTCACAAATGCGATAAGCCGATTTGTAGTTGGGGCATAGAAAGTGTGGAATGGTTAATCGATAAAAGGCTTCATTATTTTGAGAAGGTTGCTGTTCCGTTAGGCCTTTATACCGCGCTCTCTTCGATTCTATCGTGTTTCTAAATGTGAATTGTGCTATTGAAGGTATTACCATAAAAGCTACTTGATTTTTTTGTCTTCCCTTTCAAGCAAAGCACACTTTATGCATAGAAGCTTAGCCGATAGTCAGCTGAGGAGATTTGCACTCGTAAGTAGACCGAAATTCTCCGGATAGTGACAGCTCTAAGGCACTTCAGGCCGAAGGTTGACCAAGCTCCAAAGACCTATACCTTTGTAAAAAGACGTCACTTGTCGATAAGCTTAATGAGCTAAATATATGCAATTATTTAGTCCAGAATGACGTCTGCTTGGCTTTCTCACCTGTCCATGATCTCGACCGAGATATTTTTAGGTAAAGAGTATTTACGCAGATATCCTCATCCGAGGCGTCCAAATGTAGAATCATCGCTGCAGTTAGTGTAACATAGTACGTACTTGCATATATCGATTAATCTCAGCCAGTCATTCTAGTGCACAAAAGCTTCCCTTTTTCAGATTACTTTACCAAGATAGGGTCAAGTGGCGGGTTTGACCCAAAACATTAGAGCACGCCCTCTGGTCAATGATTGGATGCCAGGTCACGGCATATTCACCAACGAGCTATAATATATAGTAGATGTGAGATCATGAGAGTTTTTCGTTCGTTATACCTCGACCAATGAAAATTTAAACTTGGTACAGCCTCACTGCGCTTGAGAAGGTTATATCTCTATAGCCGTTCACTATTATACGTATTGACAAAAACTACAATGATTCACATTTTGCTAAGAAAGCCACAACTACTCGCGGGAAGTTTCGCAGTAAACTCTAAACGAAAGCGGATGCACAATATCAAAGGTATATGACGCAATTTAAGCCAAATCAACTGTAAAATGTATTGGTCAAAATGTTTGTGTTTTTTTTACATGGCGTAATGGTGGAGGGATTATGTTGGGGTATCGGTTAATCCTGGTCGAATACGCTGGGTCATCGTAAAATTGGGTTGCTTGAATTAAAAGTGAACAAATTGACATCATACAAAACTAAATTGAGCAATTTAAATTCAAAGCTCATTTATCCACCTACAGAAAATCCTGAGCGTCTCTTCACGTTGGCCCATTTACATTGAGCAAGTCGACGGCGGTGACATATATCGACGGTGCTATGCTTGGATTTGACCTATTCTAAAGGCCGCCGTTTCACCGAAAAACAGTACTGACTTACAACCAAACAAAACTTGCTGCCATAGATGAAAACAGTGAGCTATCATCTGTATTGGAGTGAAGAACTTCAATGTAACTTATGAAAAAGAACAAACAGATATCTATCAAATAAATGGTAATCTAAGGTTAAGGAAGGCTACGTGTATCAAGTACGCATCACAGGTACAAATGCACTTATATATTTTGGAGTATTAACTAAGCCAATAAATAGCAACTTAATTCTACTTATTTTTATGATTCTTCGGCCTATGCTCGTCTGTGTTGTTCTAATATATATATATGTATATATATATATATATATATATATACGCCATTTTTATTAGCTCTATGAGGTTTCAGTATTAGTTATCGCGGAATTCGATGCATAAATATCGGCGCAAAAATAACTATATTGAATCTTGAGGAGGCTCAACCGAACAGATACAGGCACATAACCATTTCTGAAATTGTGAACCATGAATGGCTGATTTTGTTTACTAGCGGGCGTTTCCACGTGTAGATGAAAAAAAGTCTAACTATATTCTTGCATTGTGTTAATGCAGGGTTCGAATGGTCCCTTGACGCCGACAGTGGAACTCAATGCTCTAGCGATGAAACGCGGTGAACCGGCGGTTTACCGCGTGGTCGAAATACCCCGCCTCGCATCCGCGTATTTGCCGACCCCCCTGGGTTATAATAGAACACCCTGCACAGGGCCGGCTTTGTACGGGCCACACGCTGTGCATGGATTAGGTCATTCTGGACATTCCCGCTATCATCCGCATTTCCCGCCTCGACTTCCGCCCTCATACCGCGCCATTCTCGACGTTGGCGAGAGGAAGTTTATCGGGGAAGGTAACTGATTGAAGTGATTTAACTTAAGGTTCATGAAGCGTTGGTTGGAATGGCTTGATTTAATGTAATAATCACTAGCTATTAGCTAACACTACAGACCTGAAATCAACAACTTCTATCACCGTCGTATAATCCTAATTTTTACTCGCTTTGATGAAGTGTCATATGTTTGTCAAATTTATTATGGCAAGTTGATATAAATGACGGTGTATATTTCAAGTGTTTGACCTAGTAAAATTGAATAAATAAGTTTGAGTGAGTAATTCGTGTTAAGGATAGATTTGATCGTTACGGGGGTTCGACTGCGAGCTCAGGCGGTGTGTTCAGGTCACTGGTGATGGCAGCTATAACGGCGGCAGTACGTTAACTAATCCCTAGGCATTACTTAATGTTCCTGTATAATCAATGATATTATTAGGTATTACCATATAGGATGTTTGAGAACATTGACTCTTGCTCTGACCTTCGATTTTAATTGGACAGAAAATATATCTCAGTATTGCATATGTCTTTTGCTGTAACCTATCTAGGGAACACGGAGCAAGCTGCACGCCATTCAGCTGCAGAGGTCGCTCTGGCGACACTTCGACAACTGCCTCTTCCCGCGTCGGCGACGCGCCGTAGCGCCGTTGCCCTAAGTGACGATGACGACGACGAAGGCAAGAGTGCTATCAGCGTCGTTTACGAGATGGCGCTTAAACGAAACCTTCAGGTGGACTTTGAGGTCATTGCCGAGTCGGGACCGCCTCACATGCGCAAATACATTACGCGCTGTCAGGTTGGTACCATAGCTGTAACAGAGGGATGCGGAAATGGTAAGAAACTTAGTAAGAAGGAAGCCGCCGAAAAGATGGTCGTTGAACTGAGGAAGCTGGCGCCTGTCATGCAGTTCTGTCAAACTGGACAGCAGCATCAGACCGCAACTAATCAGCGGGGTAAAAATAACGGAGGATCAGTTGAGACGTCGATGGCTACAACCGAAAAGAAGAAGGCTGCTCCGAAAAAAAAGAGCAAAAACCTCGTCAAGGAGCAGAGACCCGACGGTACCTTTTATGGACAAGGAATCAACCCTATCTCAAGGCTCATCCAAATTCAGCAAGTACGGCTTTTCGGGACAAACTGTACGATTACTAGCCGTTTATTTAAAAGTTGTTTTTTTTTTTTGGTTTTTTTTTTTTTGACACGACTGCTACCGCTAAACGACACGTATCTGTAATATACTTGCATGTCTGCAGTTGCTTACGATACAGCCATTGATTATCGCAGGCGAAAAAAGAGAAAGAGCCGGCATATTCAGTGGTGGCGGAACGAGGCGAGCCACGTTCGCGAGAATTCGTTATCCAATGTAGTTTGGACGGCGGCATGGTGGCCACTCAGGGAACAGGACCGAATAAGAAGACTGCCAAACGAAAAGCAGCGGAGGCCATGCTACAGCAACTGGGATATGCAAAGCCTGTTGCACAGCAGGCAGGTGGAGCTAGTAATAAGGATGAGCGGGGTAAGTCTAAGACGCCTTTGCAGGGAGCTTGCGGAGGCCCGCATCGTTGAGGCAGCAACTTTACTCACATCGAAGTTGTACTACTTACCTGCATGCTTAATGCGAAAAATGGTTTATAATTGCGGAATATTAGACATACTAATGATAAGTATGGATACTATTTGTTAGTGCTCTTCTTCAAGAATAGTTTTTTTTATACGACACTAATATATCTGGTTTGTGTCGCTTGAGCAGAAAACGTGGACACCTCGAATATGAATGGAACTTCAAGCGGAGGGAAGTCAGGCTCAGGTCATTGTCGCCAACTCGCACCTGGTCTGCTCGTTGTCTCTAAAGGCGGAAAGGAATCGAAGACTGAACAGACCAGGGGCAAAAACGTGCACACCGACAAGCAAGCGGCCATAGCGAAGGAGCTGTTGGATAGCGGGGTTTCGCCCACGGCAATTCAGGTCGGTAACCATCAGGGTCACCAGAACAAAGAGCGGAGTACCAACCCAGGCGCAAACCGACAGACCTCAGCCATGACCGCAGGCGGGGGCAGCGACGGTGACGGGAATTCTAATACGGGCCCGCAGGGCTCCCTTATCAAGGCCAAGGACCAGCTAAGCTATCTTGCGCAGGTGCTCGGTATTCAGGTGTCCTTTATGAACTTCCCAAAAGGAAGTGAGTTTTTGTCACTTGTCGCGCTTACCTCCAACCCTCCTCAGGTAAGGGACGTTAAGATAAAGAGTTAATGTCACGTATGCCTTAATATAGGGAATGAGGAGGCGGTTTTTTGAAAAAACTCTCAGAATATTTTGAACGATTTACGCCTAGTGGGGCTCATAAATCATGAATTCCGTCCCCATTAAAAACGCTTAAGGAAGAAATGGAGACAAAACAATTTAGACCATATCTGCCAACTGGGGAGCACATTCTGGTAGACAACTGAGAGTTCTTGTAGTTAGCACCAATTGCTATTGCATTCTAGCAATGCCATGGCTCGGGCCGCACCGTGGAGGAGGCGCAGGACAATGCGGCCCATTCCATTCTCGTCACGCTAGCGCAACTGGGCATCGACTCGATTCAGGCTAACAACAACAATAACAATAATGGGAAAAAAAACGAAGGCAATAAGACAGCTGCAACGACGACAGCCTGAGTCTTTGTTGACAGCTGATACATGATAATAATCCGCCAGGTGAGCTGAAAGATGGTTGCTATTATAGCGTTTGGATTGTACACAGACTAATTCGAGTGAACAAGCTGTCTTTTTCGAATCATCTCGAACACGGTGAGGTTTATAGAAAAGACTACGGGTGTACTATTTGTCGGTAGACAGCTGCCGATAGCGGCCTTTTAGGCTTGTCATTCCTTTTTTTTAAAAAAAATTTTGCTTTAATTTTTTTTAACGTTTCCGACGTCGACGCTTGAAAGTTAGATTTTCTCTAAAAGATAAAAGAGTTTCATTCAATATACCTGTTAACTGTAAGTAAAATTGCTAGGTACTTCTTTCCCGAAATATTTTACTCAAGCCTTTTCATTTTTTTTTTATATTTATGGCCGCGTCTTACTGCTTATTATTATTATTATTACTATTGTTATATTAAAATCTCGAGGAGTGCGTATCATTCCGTTTGGTGACCTTCCCTATTCCTAGTCTTTCAGGCTATTTATGAAAAATGTTTCTCTCCTGCTGGACTAATAAAGTGATCCTACTCACTTATGATAATGCTGAAAAATCTCCAAAAAATGCAAAGGCTTTCAATACTTATGAAATTTTAAGAATTAATATTTTTGTGAGATTGCGGTGTTGTTTTTATCGCTTAGAAATGGCAACAGTTGCCAAACACGTGGCATAATGACAATGTCTCTAGTTGAAAAGAAAAATGATTGAGTAAAGTACCTAATAGACAGTGTTGTAGCTTGGTCAAAGAAGCTTACCATGCCTTATAGTCTCTTATAAGGAGGAACGTTTAGGGAATTTTTTTCTTTGAAAAATTAGGGAATCCATTTTATGTGAGCTGCCGGCCAATAACGAAAATAGAAGTTGGTGTGTACATTCCGAGAAGGCTACTCCATAATGCAGGTCCGGCATCGTTTGCAGGTCATCGTGTTGGTTAACAAATTGTCTGTAGAGAACCTCACCGTTTTCTGATGACTAAATATAAATAAATAAGTTATTATCTAGTTCACTTAATGTGCTATTCTGTATTGTACTGTAGAACTACCTGAGAATAAGCATGAAGGTTACCTAAAATAGTCATTCAGTGTTATCTTAGTAGCTCAAGTAGTTAAATCAGGTAGAGATAATTAATGCTAATCTACTTAGAGTTTATTATATCCAACGTAAACGTAATTTTAATACAAGCTGTCTAACATATCTAATTTGTTGTCCAGCTCTGAGGAACCAGGTATGGCTACATGATTGTGCATCAGTTCTGTAAAACCACAGCTTGAACTCCAACACAGAGACACCAAAGAAAAATCATGGTCTCGACATTATTTTGTGGATAATCAGCGCAAAACGATGAAAGACTTACAACTATATTATACTGTAAAATGGTATATACATATATATATATATGCACGCTTATGTACGTAGATCTATATGCGTCCAGTTACGACTACTCGTTGAGTATATCCTACGGACAATGCAGAATTGAGTGCACAACGGTTGGCGGTCAGGTGGTAATTTAATTAAGAAATACGAAAATGTTGGGCAGTTAAGGTGTTCAATTGACCGCTTCTTTTACAATAGGCAAACTAGAAATCAGTTACGGAACATTGGGACCGCTCACATTATGATTTTCGCCATGAGGTTTCGCTTGGAAAGAATGAGTAACGCGTAATAGTAGGCGTAGTAACTATTTTACCGAAAAATTAAAAGATAATGAAGTACGCTTAATGCTGATATCAGCCTATGAACGTAGCGTTCAGCGCTGTGATTTTACGTGGATGCGATCAGTATTAGTATCGTACGGTACCCGTCCTCTCAGAGAAACTGTAAGAACAACAAAAACAACAAGAAACTAAAACGCAAATGATTAGGTAACGCCAAGCAAATCACTAAAAAAAAAAAACTAACGTATACAAAGATTGCTAGTTATGACAATTATTCGATAATTAATAATAACAATAGTAAAACTGAGTTATAGGTTGTACACGATAGGTTGTGGACGTGAACAGACTGGGTCTGCCCAGCGATCTATAATGCTATACATTGTTATTCTGCTGGTGAAGATGCAATATGAGCAGAAGACAGGGATGATGCCACAACGAACTAAGTCGTGAGGTGGACTACCGGGTAGGCGGGATGAAGGGATACGAATATACGAGTCCGACAAAATGTTGCAAACTTATTGCCGTACTGACTCGGTGAGCGATGATGACAAAGAGGATACGAGGCGACAATAGGAAAGCTCTTCCCTAACAAGGAGAAACGGACCCTGAACGACGGTTGTGCATAGGTATGCACTGAGGAGAGGTAAAGAGCAAACTATTCCAACTGAAGGTAAAACACGCATTGAAAAAAAAAAAAAGAAATCTCAACAACGGTACTACAGCTACTTCTAGGAATTGCTATACCATTATTATATCCATATCGAATGAATTCAACGGTAATTGTCGTTAGTAAAACGACAAGCGTAGAAACGAAAAAAAAAAAAAAATTTAGTGAGCCAACCTTCCTGAACGAACCTGAATGTACACTAGGATTGATTAGGCTGAATCAATTAAATGAAAATACCGTATGCGTGGAATGTTAGTATTTGCCGTCGGGAAATTAGTAGTCGTTATGTTTACGCGGACCGGCTGATCTGCATAGTTTGGATAACTTTGGGTAAATTTGGATGGGAGTCATCGAAACTGGTCGGGCTTTTGTATGTGTGCTGTAAAAAGACTTAAGTCCGCAACTTCAAACTTAAACACGTATTGATTTGTACCAGGGTAGCTTTTGTCAAAATTTTACCTGATTCAGATGACAAGCACAACCAGTATAGTATGACTCCCTTACCCGAAGAATACTTGGTGCGCGCATATAGCCGTCACTTTGATGGACCCATAGAGTTCCTAGCCAATTCGACATAATCAATCCTTCGACGGGGGTAGTCCCTGTCAAAAAGGCGTGACTCCCAATGGAGGCCCACTATGCCTAAGTGAATCCAATTATTTTTTCCCTAACTGCCCCAATAAAACATGTTCCCCAATAAAATATGCTTCACCACCTGCTCTACTCGATACACTCGTATTGCAAACTTCAATACAAACAGAGGCTCTCACTTCTGTACTTAACTCTCTATCTACTGTGTAAACAGAATGTCCCGAAATCTATCGACCGAAAAAAAAAAACTCACAGAGAAATAACTCTTATATTGTCGAATAGTATACGGAATGATACGATGATTTATGATGACGATAGACAACAATGGCGCGCGCGATGGCCGGACAAGAACCAAATCCGTGATAGTAGTCGCTAGAGAGTTTCTGCCGTACTGTCTCGACACTCCTCGAAGGATACGTGTTTATATATATATATATATATATGAGCTGGACTGGAGGAAAACACAGCGTAGGCGGCCGATAATTGTGAACGAACATGATTATTTGAGATAATACTCCGTTATCACGACTGATTTGACCCGCCGACTTCGATAGTGCGGCTCTGCCTTGTGCTTTGGTTGTGCGTAGCCTAGATCTGTCTAGGATACCTATATAGTTAGCATATATAATAGATCCTGTCGCAGCGGCCAGGAAGATGCGTCGCAAGCATGAACCATGAGCATTCGATGAACGGTATGCGACGTACCCCGTGCTCCCTCTCCGAACATGAACAAATGGACGGACAAAAAACAGCGCCACTAAATCTATAAAGACGTCTTCATCCAACCTAATGATTATTAAGCATACGAAAGTACTACAATACAATCACTACAATGACTACGTCGCATTCAGTAGAGTACATCCTCAAGTATGACATATATATATATATATATCTATACTGAAAAGACATACACAAATAAAAGCTTCCCTGAGGGTCGCGCCTGTGGGGGCACCAGTACTCTAGGGCGCTCAATACGAAGTGTGGCCTATGTGCTAGTTCCTCTTATATGCTTTGAGTTCGCGTCGACATCGCCTGTGAAGAAAACTGAGGTAGAGGGAAGAAAACAAAACACTGAATAACTCCCTAAATTACGTGCTCCTATCATTTTGCAGACGTGCAGAGTTTAGGTGCGCGCGTACACTCACACAAAAACTCATATTCAGAGAAAAGAATAAACATTACGAATCTAATACCACGATATCACTACAAATAGGTAGACAGTTATGATCTCTCGTACTATCTCGAACTCGTATTAAACACCGCCTCTTTGCCATGACAGGTCGTACCATGCTATCGATGATTTCATAGCCATGTAACAGAAGTAACTGCGTTTGCTGGTAAAAGATCTGACGGTGGTGAAGACAATTACGGTGAAGTAAAAAACAGAAAATTAAATCGTGATAATAACAATACTAATAACAGTGTTATTGATGGTAGTGGCTGCGAAAACTCTCGACAATGTAGCTTCCGAGGGCACCTCTCCCAAATGTCGTCACACTTTACGGCCCTATTCTCTTCCTCCTCAATGTACTATAGATAATTACGAGTTAGCAAATTTCTCTGTTACGACATCGATTATGACTATTCCCTGGTGACGAGCGCGCGTGCCCTGCCAGAGAACGCATATATTTATTATAGCCCGTAACGTAATTCTATATATATATATATATATATATATATATATGGTCTCTCTTTGGCGTTTGTTTTCACAAGCCACAATATATAACAGTCTATACCGCTCCATGGATACGATATAACGTAGAACAAATCTCGGTCAATGGGAGGGAGAGAGAGAGCAAGATAAAACCTCAGTATGACATATTTACATCGTTTTCGGAAAGCAACAACATGCGCACTAAGTAAGCAGAACAAACAAATAAACGGCGGATGTTACCAAAGGACAAAAAGGTAAACGAAATTGACATCTGCGCAATGCAACACGCAACTCATCGAACGGCAAAGCAGTGAATGTTGACGTGCATGAGCCGACATGATCCGAAACAGCCACCGACCAATGGTGCGCGCGCAGGCAAATTTTGGCTGTGCCTGTCGTCTATTCAGGCCGATAACCAATGAATCTGTCCATGGCGTCAGGACAGTAGCGGAAATAGTCCGGTTGACCAGTTTCGTCTGTGGCACTTACCCAATAGATCTAGCTTCATTGATGTGTAGTATGTCTAGAATGATTAAGTTAATGGAAACAAAAAAAAAAATAGATGCTGACCGACAATGGGCGATGGGTCGGCATTGTGAGCTTATTACAGAAGGTGTTCAAGGGAGAAGCATAGTAGCTACGAAACGAAGGATATGAATCTTAAAGAATCTCTCCCGTATTAAACAGTTGCTATGATGATTATCTTTATAATAGTCCGATGATATACTCTTAACACTGTATGATATGTCTGTTCGTAGTGTCTTGTTTTTTTGTGAACGTTTGCTTTGAATTGTTGTAAAATAGAAATTTCTCTTTTGAGCCAGGAACCCAACGTTTGACATGGCTCTGAGTCAGCGGTTCTGAAATATTCGTGTCGCCAGGCGCTATCCATCAGAGCCGTAGAACTGCGACAGATGAAATGGACTTTCTAATAGCGAGCACTCCTAAATTACCAAGATCTACCCATCGGCAAGTAATATTTATTATCGAACATCTATGACGGCGGCGTTGAAGACCAGCTTTCGTGATCCTTCGCCTACATTCATTACAACACATTATACGAAATGAATCTATCGATAATTTAGTAGGCGCCGGTAACGGGCTCCCTACCATCGTTAATCATTGCAGCCCCTTTTTGCAGCCCCTTAAAGTGATTTTAAACGGAAGGCGCTATGACGTTAATATTATCGATACTCTTCATCATAGTAACGATAATGGGAACGGCCAACTCCTATTTATAATAACGATAGCTCCCGTTTATTAAGATGCAACTTAAAAACTCGCAGTATATTCTAAGAACTACTATGGAAGTGTGTGCTTCACAATTCAGTCTCAAGCGAGCACGATGAAGTGCGTTTGAAACGATGGTCAAAACAGAACCGGATTTCGCCGAGGGTTGCCGTGAATATATGCAGCGTCTCTGGCCAGATACATTCATTCTGCGGTTATGGCAATAAATCAGCAAGCGAACTTGAGTCGACAGACAGAAAAGGCCAGAGAGGCGATTTTCGAGTTATTGACGCGCTCTGTGTTTGATAGAAAAAAAAAAGCAACAGGTAGCTGCCAATGGAGTCTTACGCGACTCCCACATGTCCTCCAGGCCCCCTACATTACTAAGCTAATTGTGTCTTAACGACTGTATCGCATATTGCAACAGATACAAATAAGCCGTTAGCTACAGACCACTGGTCTTAGCAAGCGTGTCGACTGCAAGGAAAAACAAATCTACTACATCATTACAGTAATAGTTACCTATTTAAATCCTATCATTTAGCACAGACTGTGTTATAAATATACGATGGTGTCGATAATAACAAACAGCGACAAATGTCATACGGCAGGACGCTCTTCTATTAGGGATGTCGATGAAAAATGTGTGTACAGCAGCGGAAGACACACAATGCATCAATTTGTGCTAGCAGTGGAACAACAAGAGTCTGAGATGATAGCTCGCGACTAACTTTGTGCTGAAAATAACATTTTGCGACCTTTTATATTTGTCCTACCCGGTTCCCCTCTCAATTTACCGGTAACACTGTTTTTGATGATAACAGCAAAGCTTTTCCTCCCTTTCATTATAGGGTTATATGCTTGGTGCCGAAAGATTCTTGCGAGGCTAGAGTTAGGCTAAATGGTCTACCTGTCTTTTGGCCATGTCAAATCTTCATAACAAATGGACGAAACAGAAAAAACAGATGACAAAGTCAGCACTAGGAAATTGCAAGAATTCGTCCTCGCAAATCTTTTTCCCCTTATCTACTGACAGACTGTATAGGAGCGACATCCGTGAGGCAGCGGTCGTCCTTTATTGGCACCCGCACAATTTTCGTATTCGTAGCAGATATATCCTTTAGTAATAACCCCAGCCCAGGTTTGTAAGCATCTGAGCTAACCGGTGTCCCAAAATAAACCTGGCGGCTATGATACCATCGTCGCGATCGTGGGCCCGGGCCGTTGACGCCGTGGCAGCAACAACATTATGCGTCAGTGTGTGGTACGTATACGGGTGGACTAGAAAAACCTGACGTGTTCATGGGGGCACGCTGGCGATGTCCCCAAAACGTGATTCCTCAAGCTTCTAGAGTGGCCCAGCGGGATAGTCAGGCTAGCCGATGGATGCCCCTGCTCGCCGCTGACGGCGACGGCGATGGCGGTAGTCGCCAGAGCTGGGTATTGTTGGTGGCTGCTTCGCGGTGCAATTTCTTTTATATATTTGAGGGCATATACAGTTAATATTATTGATGATTATTATGATTGTGGTTGAGACGCAAGGGATAATGAGATGATACATGGGAACGACCAGCACTGATGATAATGATTCATACGATTATAATGATAGTGATTGTTGTAAGACAGCGAAGGAAAAAAAATTGTTGTAAAAGCAACGGACGAAATCGAATAGCGGAGATAAGAAACGAGGTTAATTGCAGTTTAGCACCTCGGAGTCTGTGTTTACCTGACGAGGCGGGTTCGACACGGATATGGAACGTATCATTTCAACCTACAAGATTGTATTGAAACTGACAAACAGATCAAGATTGTTCAGCACGACCGGAAGGTCGTACGGGAATCCTTTCAATAGCAGAGTCAACAGCGGTGGTATTGCTCCCCTCGAAAAGGTCAGGGATGACATTGTGGATCCTGAGGCATACTCACGTAAGCGCAGTGTGCGGAAGCGGAAGGTCGTTGCTTTCAGTCATTGGTAATAACTAACTAGATAGCTAAACGGACACTTGCAAACAGACAAAAACAAAACGATGTGCAAGCCAATAAAATAGGCACAAAAATGCAACGCCAACGTCAACGGACAGGAACATCAAACTACGATAACATACCATTTTACCTGGTAATTCTTGAGATACTCTATAGAACTGAAAAGACTGAATCAGATGATGAACGCAAAAGGTGGGAGCATTGGAGGTCTCGGTTGTGATTTCTTGACTTAACGACCTACCAGAGTCCCACCTACTCGGTTACTATTATTATTATTATTATTATGTTGATAGCAAAAAATAAACATAAAACTATAAAATATTGTGTCGTTTTTCATAGAAGATCTGTAGAAGTAGAGAAAAAGTTTTAGAAATCTTAACCAGTTGTTTAACGTCCCGATCTGCCGAACTAATCTGGGGTATATGACGGGTGAAAAAAATCGTTGACGATGACTTACCGTTTATCCAGTTCCAGCATGGAACTGAATTGTTTAAAAGCTTAAGAGCTTGCAAGCTGCCAGCGAGCAGGTCTTTAAAAGGCTTACAATAAGAAGAGTGGGTTTAATAAAGTTTGATAAACTAGCTGTTCTAAGTATTTCCAAACGCCTTTCAGTACGTTTCAGAACGTTTTTCAGTACAAATATGTCTCGTAGAGCTGGTTTTTTTTTGACAGATGTGCTAATAGGTTGTTTCTATACGTAACAATCGTTCGTGCTGTCAGGACGTCGATAGGACATACGAGGAAGTCGAATTTTTAAAACTTCGTGAACTGCGACCTAATCAAGTGCTATAGATTTCCATATTATAATTTCACTCGTTATACGTAGGTAGTTACAAGCTAGAAACAGAAATAAGAAAAATATTAGAAACAGCTTTAAACACATTTATTTCTTGTTTGAAGTAAACGTTTTACAGGCGAACCGGTCGAGGCACATATGCTTCTACAGAAGACATCGCCGTACATTAATTTATTGATATATCTCCTATCCATTTTTCTGTTAGCCTATAAACACCATAGTTTACAGTTAGACGTCCTTCACCAAGCAATACTGGCACCATCCCTTAGTCCAACCTGTGCTCAAATCCAATTTTTCTCTTCCGGAAATTAAATACTACTATGCCTGAAATGATACTAATATCTATATATTTATATAATATCTATATATTAACCATAAAAATTGCGCGGAAGTTCATCGAGCCAGTTGTAAACCAAGTTATTTAAGGTGATTATACACTATCGGACCAGCTTGAATCTTCATAATCCAACTTAAGTAACCTATTATAATTGTGCAAAAGAAACGTTTAGTGCATATGTAAAATTAAGTAAAAAATTAAACCCTAAAAATCCGTAAATAAAATATGCATGGATGTGTTGAGCGTATAAGTTACTTAATCCATTCATATTTGATACTAAATTACCTTTAAAATATAGTAATTGCTTCGCTTCGATAGGCAACTGTATTTTCGTTCTGGCATGAAAGACATACCTCTATGTACTATTAGCTCCCCCCCTGTCTGCGTGCGTTCAATACACACGCAACGGTCACGGGGGTAAACGCAAATCTAGAAAAAGCATTAGGAGGATGGGCGAACAGCCCTGTAAGTTATGTCGACGCGTAATTGAAACTTCTGTCATGCCTTAAACTTACGTGACCACTTGACACAATATCCTGCAAACGAAACGACGCCTTTCCTTTGTAGACCGTTAGTCATGCTCTTTCTACAATTGTGCGCACGGTGCTATCAGCGATAACTACAATAGAACTCTGCAATTTGATAAGACGAAACATCAGAGGTCCGTCGCTATGATTCATATATATACATATATATATATATATATATATATTGGATTATTAAAAAAGTACTGACCGTTTGAGCGAAAGTCGTTGAAACTATTACTTTTGTTATTTCTATAAATTATATTGCCAGGCGATATGTGCGCTATTTTGGTCGATGACATTCTGCCATTTGTCTGCTTACAGCATAATCTCGTCATCGCAGAACTTCTGTAGTTCCTGGGCGAGTCATTAATTATAGTAAATAATTAAATTAGCGCTACTGAGAGATTTACGCGAAGACCGATGTAGATGATAATCTGACGACGCAAGATCGAGGCTATGCGGTGGATGCGTTAAATTTCCTATCAAAACTTTTGTCGGATAGCTAAAGTTATGTTTGTCCTGGCGCTGTTCATCGTGGAAGACAGGACCTTCACGAATCACTAGTTCCGATTGATTTCTTCTCAACTTTTGGCTCAGATTTTTGGTCAGTTTGTTAGTTGTTTTTAGCAGACCACTTTTTTCATTATACAACATTGTCGTACGTATTCCACTGTTTATTGTCCATTTATCGTCATGGCTACTCGTGCAATCGGTCTTACTTAACTTTCGCAATGATCTTATCAATTTTTTTTTTCCCTAATTAGTCGACTACTAAGCGGAGCATCTTTTTGCTACATCAAAATTTCCAGAACAAAAGCCAAGAAACCCTTTTTTGCCAGCTCTTGCTTTGGTGGACTTGGGCAGCATCTGTGTTTTTATTGCAGTAAAATTATGCAGTAGAATTATGAAATATGAAGGAACAGAGGTTTTTTTTTTTTTTTTTTGCAGAAATTCAGTTTTAGAAACTCTAGAAAATAAATGCAAAGAATATTTGAACATCTTTAAAGGTATCTTGAAAAATGGCCGTTACGTTTTTGACAATCCGGTACTATCGAACGTTTGGGAACACGTTCAGGTTCTGAGTTGATGACAGTTTTGTGATCCCAGCATTAAATAAAATGCCTATGATATTCTGTGTTCGAGGCAACGCTATTTTCTTTTTTATAACTGTTCTAGACATTAGTTTAATGAATCAAGTTTAGCTGGGGTGCATACAAGTGATCTATTCTACGCAGATTCACAGTACT